TGGTCAGCAGTAGCAAGCAGCGTCGTCGGAATTGTCGTCATCTTCGCTTGTCTTCGTGTCTGCACCATAGGTTGGTTGTAGTTTGTTCGAAGGACCACTTGAAAGGTCGATGGACCGCCTTTTAGGTCAAAGGGTCCGAATTTGTCGTCAAAATGTGTTAAAAATTAAAAGGCAAAATTAGTCATCAAAACTATGTCCGTCTTCTCATCGGTCTTTTTCAAAGTCCTTTTGTTTTGTCCCAAGCTGTCAGTTTTAATTGTCGAATGTCTTAGCGGCCAGCGATAAAACCGGTCAAAGAGGCCGCAACAATCACTAAAGGCTAACTGCGGTTGCCCATCTGCCTGCCAAGCATGGCCACTACTAGCAAACCCCCCTCTATGGGGGAGGCTTATGTTCAACAGCAACAGTTAGCGGCTAAAATGATGTTATTTATTATTTTATACAACTTAGAATGGCACACAAGCTGACGACCCACCTGATGGAAAGTGATAACCGTCGCCTATACTCTGTACCCTGTAAATTCACTGCCATATACCACCCTTCAAACCGAAACGCAGCCATGCAAACACAACGGCTTCACGGTAAAAACACTTATGGAAGAGAAGTACCCAAGCAAACGACTTTTGTACAAACTCTCTCTAGTTTTAATGTTGATAAGGAATTGTACATACATAAAATTTGCCTAATAAAATACTTTTGTTTATAATTAATAATAGTGCAGCGACACCCCTGATGGAATGTCGCACATGGGAGTGATTTCAAAGTTCACGGGATTAATTTCGGCATCAATACATGCCAGATCGAGAGGTAGAAAGCTCGCTTCCGTTTTTACACTGGTACCTACTGACAGTGTAAAATAAATAAACCTTTAAATAAAGTTTAAACCCGCATTCGTTCATCAGTCCAGTAAGTACCACATTATATTAAAACCCAGCTGATTATGGGGTTTTTCTTTAATAGATAAAAATGGAATGGTAACCCCGCCCGCGCTATCGGTATACACCGACGAGGCACCAGTGGAAAATGATAGGTGAGAATGAATGCAGATCAGTTGGCCCACCATGATGAATTCATCAAGAATTATGAATTTATCATGATAGTTTCCAGAGGGAACCGCGTGGAGGTCGACCTGATTAGGAATATTGCTAGCAATGGGATTCTTAGTCTCCATTATTTACAATTCCTTTCTCCCCGCTGATTATGGGGTAGGCTCATGTTCAGCAGTGATATGATAATAATGATGAAACCTTAATTGCAGAACCCAAAAAATTTTATTGATAATTTTATTTTATTATGCAATTTTAATATTATCATAATTATGTTAAAACGAATAGACGTATTGTCTATTTTATACCTATATATTACCTTTACAAACATACTAATACTGAGGAAAGAAATTGTTAGTAATGGACCATTGCTAGCAAAATACCAAAATAAACCAGCCCCATTGTTAGCAATATACCTTGTTAAGTCAACCTCCCCGCTGTTCCCCCTAGAAACTGATTCTTGAATCCGTCACGATGGGTTAGTTAGACCTGCTTTTGTCGTCACCTATCATCCCTCATTGGTGCCTACCAGCGTTTACCAATAGGGCAGGCGTGGTTACCATTCCATTTTCACCCATTAAAAAAAACAAACACACTAGTACTAAATACCCAAGAATAATACAAAGGTCTTATATTGTGCTGAAGTCGAGATCATCGAAAAATAATTGAAAAGTCACAAGAATAATGTAGAATAAATTATAAATAAATTTGTTCTGCAAAGTAATTTAGTTTTTATTATGTTCTAATTCTAAACATGTGAAACCGGCACACATCCACTTGTAAGGGTAATAAAAATTTTTGATCCGCCTTCGATTCCGGGCTAATCCCATAATCTCGTATACGTGACATACAGACGGACGACACTTTATTTATATTAAATCTGGAGACATCTCGTCACAGGAGATTAAAGAGTTAAACTAAGTCGGCTACAAGAATAAATTGGAATGTCTTTTCAAATTTTCTTATAAATAACAAAAGACACTTATCACCAAAAATATTCCATCGTACCTAGGTAACTACCCAAAAGTTCAAATTGGTTAACGGTCAAATCCATTATGGTAATATAATTCTAAATTTAAATATTTTCGATCTAAACCTTATTATTCAATCGATTATAAAAACAAATACCTATTAAAATTGAATTAGAATCGATGACGTAGGTAATTAAGTATGAAACTTTGAGTTGGAAACGTCTTTTGTTGTATAATCGTGATGAAGTTTGCACGATGCAGGGCTGCAGGAAGCGAGCACAATTTACTTCAAGGGTGAACTTTTTAATATCACTGAATATAGGTACACATTTATTTCGTTACAAGAGGAAGTGACGAGAGGAACCTTAACGATTAACTGTGAGTGAGGGCGTTCAATACTAATGTATATAACATTGATAGTTCTCAATATTTGTTTACGCCGTGCTAAGAGGCAATTTCATAATTCAAAGAAAAAAATCACTTATTTGTAACCTATTATTCATTAAGCTTTCTACATTATTAGATAATTATTATTATCATAATTATTAACTGTGTAGTGTTGAATATAAGCCTCCCTCATAAGGGAGAGCCTTACCAGTCGTTGCCATGCTTGGTAGGCATAAGCCACCCCTTTCTTTCCCATGGATGTCGCAAAAGGCGACTAAGGGAACTTCGGGGATTGTCAGCAGCGTCCTTCTTAAAACATCCTAAAAGCTTAACTGCGGTTGCCAACCCACCTACCAAGCGTGGCAACTACTAGGAAAACTTCCCTTATGAGGAAGACTTATGTCCAGCAGTGGACAGTTAACGGCTAAAATAATTATAATAAATAGGTATGTGTATGTTTATTACGCATACACTTAATATAACGTAAGTAGAGTTTACTTTTTTTTTGTTTTTTTTTTTATTTGTTCTTGTTTTGTGCGCTACTGTGTGGGCCGCATGCTTCTTCGATTAAAATATTTCTTTCTTCTCCTTCTTCTTCTTCAGAAGAAGAAGAATATATATATAGAAATATATTTTCCTTGGTCTTATTTTGTAGATATGAATATCACAAAAGATATTCGAATATAAAACAGAAGCTCTCAAAATCTCTGCTCGGTTTAATTTTTTTTTTTATCTAACGTAGTTTTGAACTGAAATAATAGTAGAATAGAGAATTATTTAGGTAATTTATTATTTTTTTTAGAATCCACCCTCTTATCTATGACTAACAGTAAATTTGAAGAATACATCAGTTCACTTGAACATAAGAGCTATATAATTCATCTGAGATGAGAGCAAATTTTCACTTATCATCATCAGTGATTCAATGGGATCTTACTAGATCTGTTCACACTAGTGTAGTCGGATATTGGAACCAATTGCAAACAATTACAGTACTCTCTTGGAGACCATTCACATGGTGGACTTAGATGAGACTTTTATTATGACAATAACGGAAAACTCAGGGTGTATCTAATTTTGAATGATAGTTTTTCATTAGTAACATACATTTTTATAATGGGCTAAATGGCAGATTATATATATTCTTTACTGCACTTGTAAAACTGCACTTGTATGTTACATTTAAAAAAATAAAACCGTTTAATAATCTATCTATAAATGTTGTGAGCAAGGGTTATATTGATTGGTGAGACACCAAAAATTAACAAATTTTCAAATATTTTATAATACTATTAAAGAAGTAAGGATTAGACATAAATGATCTATTGCCATGGACTGAACGACTGATTATGATGTGAACATGTCAAAGATAGTCGTATTTATATATAAGTATTTATCAGACCTAACAACAAATTATGGGCGTGCTAGTAAATAACAACACCTGAGTGTAATTGTTTGAATTTATTTGGTGGCCAAAAAAAAACGATAAACGTGAACAATTCCGTACAAATGTTCTGCTACCGGAGCACAAAATTATTTTATTGTATTCCAAATCCGATTATAGTGGAAATCCAATGAGATATACTAATATCCACATATTGTAAGTCTTACAAGTTTGTAAGCATTTAAAAAACATATACGTAGGTATAAAAAAAAAATACAGGCAAAAAAACTTGTTTCGATAATCTTTTATATTGTATTTCCATTAAATTTCATGTTACTACAGAGAGAAATGTACTGTCAGTAATGGAGTCTAACAGTCTCACTGCTAGCATAATACCCCGTCGGGTCGACCTCCACGCGGTCTCCCCTCCCCCTCCCCCTGCCCCTGGAAACCATCGTGATGAATTACTGTTCATTTCATCTTGATAGACCTGCTTCCATCCTCACCTATTATCCCTCACTGGTGCGGCGAGGTTACCATTTAATTTTCCAGCCATCCATTAAAAAAAAATTGTTTTCTTAAAAATGTTATGTATTGTGTCGTGTTTTGTGCCTTGAATATTTTTCTTATACTTGCAAATCGCACTTTGATAAACATTGTAATAGCACAATAATTTGATGAAATTATTGCTTTGTTTACATAATATTCAGTTTGCTAGATGGCAGCGATGCCAAAAGTATTTTATTTATCCTCGTATTGTAGATTTAATAGTAGGTATTGTTCAATTTGTATCTATTTGAATCTAAGGGAAATTTATAACAAATGCATATCTACCCTATCTACTTATAAATATTTATATATATGAAGCATTTGTGTCAAATAAATTGTCTTTGTGGTTTAGGTAACATGTTATAATTAACTTTTTTTTTTTCATATATAAAATAAGAAAATTAGACTGAAAATGAGATACTATCTACTTAATATTATTCATTCCAATATGGTACCCTCTGTACATTCATAGTTTCTAGTGAATGTCTAGATAATTATCGGCAAACCGATTGTGACGAAAAAACTTAAATTATTCAAAGCTTTTCGGATTGAAACAACTTTGAAGTTACTTTCGTATACTAAAATATTAAAGCGGGTGAATCGGTCCCCAGCATCGATTGAAAAAACCTTTGGTCGATGAAAAATTTAACAGGAAAAACGCACTTTTCTTAGCCGCCGGCGCTCCCGCAACGTCGCAGCTTTCCGTCGGTCGACAGCCGCCGTTTTCCTCTTACACGCTTTGCATGCCCAAGCCAAACATCGTCTGCTTGGCCCCAAAACATGTTGCACGTGGTCTTCTTCTTTCGCGCCATTTTCTCCGCCATTTTGGGTTTCAACATTTTTTACCTCATTTTTCACTTGGCAACACTGATCTGACTTTTCGCTCGCTTTTTGAAAATCAAACTCTTTATAATTATAATCAAAGACACTATAACTCATTTTGACACTTAACGAAAATGGCCAGTGTTTTTATAGTTACTCCACAATAAATGTTTGAAGATTTTGGTTTTTTTTCGGGCGTTCGTCGCCGCGACACACGCGACACTGCTTAGTCGAGGGTGGACTCGAGATTTGAGAAAATATATGCTATTAATAAACAGTCTAGCCAACGTTGAGAGATGCCAATTTATTACTGTTTAGATTGAAATTGATGCTGGCAATATTTTTCCGTTAAATTTGTTACGTTGAAAGCGTGGGGACGTTTTTATTCGTAGCTCGTTTTCGTGTTGTGAATCGATTTTTAATGTGCCGTTTCATTTGAAATATACAGTCGGTGTTATAATTACAATAAATCATGGTAAATGATACGTTCATAATAAAAGAAAAGAAATGTACTGTTTATTGTAACAAGGAAGAAAGTTTATATACTGGAAAAACAATCCAGTTAACAAACAATTTATGCGTAATCCATACAATGAAGGATTACGCATAAATTGTTTTGTTACCTTGTCTTAATACATTCCGCAGGAGGGGAGGCGGGAGATTGTTAGCAATACTGACTATTAGTCTCATTGCTAGCAATATACTCTATCAGGTCGACTTCTACGTAGTCTGCCCTGGAAACCATCGTGCTAATTTCAGACCCATCACGACGAGTTAACTGACCTGCCTTTTCAATTTCATCCATCATCCCTCACTGGTGCCCCGCCAGCATATACCGTTAGGGCAGGCGCGGTCACCATTCCATTGTCATCTATTTAAAAAAAATACATCCCGCAATAAATAGCAGTATTTGGCATATATCACTCTATCTAGATAAAGTATACAGCCAGTCTAGTATACTCCATATAGTAAATTTTGCTTCTCAATAAACAATTTTTTATTACGCAAAAATAAGCGACATTTTTAATCGTTTGCAATAAATAGCACAATTAAAAGTATTTACGCACTCTATCTAGGTAAAATATATAGCCAAATACGTATCTACGTAGCAGATTTTACATTGAAATAAGCAATTATTTATATCGCAATGAAAAACGCCGTTTTTAATTGTCACAAATTTTTTATGGAACACGAAAGAAACTTACTCGTATTAATGTTAAAAAAATTGTCGACCTTAAAAAAAAACCGCTTTTCTGAAATACTTGAATCTTTTTGAAAAACGAAACCTTTGGAGAAAAAAAAACTGCTTTTTGAGAATCAATATAAATAGATATTGAAAACTCAAAAATATAATACAACTTCAACTCCTATTAATGATATAAATGCGAAAGTTGGTAACGATAGATGAATGAATTTTTTCAGACAAAAACTACTAAACGGATTTAAATGAAATTTGTTACATAGACAGATTATATTCTAATTTAGCACATAAAGATTCATATAACTCACGCAAGTGAAGCTGCAGTATGCAGTTAGTAAGCGATATCCCTCCTTTTTACTTCGCCGTAGTCGAATAAATAGACAACATGTTTAAGTCGTTTCTGGTCGTACATTTTATGAATCTCAAAGCTAAACTAAACATCTCCATCTCCAAATTATATGCAGTCTTGCCAGTTTTGTTCCCGAAGTTCGAAATTAAAAACTGGGTGTAAGTATGTTTTATCTGAATACGCCATCCAGAAGCGGACTATTTCATTGGTTTCCCATCAAAAATCCAAATTAAATCGCTAGCCAAAGCTATTCGCATAAAAATTGCTGCACAAAATTAACTATGGTTTTCACAGTTGTGTTTCTAAAGGTTTAACTTAAAATCTAAAGTATATTTCACAATAATACATCGCCTAGAAGTGATTACCTACTTTCACAATCCACGCGTACAAAGTTGCGGGCAAGAGCTAGTCTACATTAATATTATAAAAGATAAAAGTTTTGATTATTTGTTTTTAATTCATAAACTCAAAAACTACTTAACCGATTTTAAAATTTCTTTTATTTATAGATAACTACATTATCAGAGAGTAGTAGGCTATATATTATTTTCAAAAGTCCTGTAGATATACCCGTGCGAAGCCGGGTCAGATCATTAGTTTATAGTAAAATTATAGTTATAAGCAATTTTACAGTGTGACAAATTGTACAAAGTCATAAGTGTAAAGTGACAGGACAGTACATGGCGTCACAGTACTGGGGCGGAGTGGAGGGGCGCGCGCGCGCCGTACGGCTCTCCGCCGGTGGAGGGATGCTGGCCGGCACAGGGCGGTCCGTGGAGTCGCCCTGTAATAAAAAAATATAGTTTGCTGACGTCATTGATAGATTTTGCGGTCTTATTTATATCTTTAATAGACAATATAAGAAACTTACGGACCTGGTAAACGTTTGTATTACCTCTTACCGCCACTTTTATTATTAAATCTGCCATTAACTGTCCAGTGCTCAACCTCCTCTAATCCTCCTTCTGCTTCCCCTATAAGGAGAGTTTGCCAATAGTTGTTACGCTTAGCAAGGTTAGCAACTGCAGTTAGGCTTTGAAGTTGTTTAAGAGGGACGCTGCTTCATATCCTACGATCATTAAATTTCCTTAGACGCCACTTCCGACACCCACGGGAAAGGAACGAGTGGCCTGTTCTATGCCGGGACCACACAGCATTACCGCTACTTACCGGAACATTTTTCTCGGAATTTTCTTATATTATACTTAAGTTAAACATATAATACATATAATGTAGGTGGTGAGTAGTAAGCGAATTTCTTATTAAAAACTTAAGTATATATTTTTGGTGGACTGACAAAAACACTAATATGAAAATATTTATTTCTTTTTATGGTGTAATATAAATTGTTTTGGTGACAAGTAAAATATTCAAAAAATATATAAATATAGAAGATAGTGCTCCAATCTCATTTTATTTTTGCATTTATTTTAATAATAATACCTAAATTCTTCTTAATCCAAAACCGCAGTTCATATTCACATTCATTCACATTTTTATTACTATTCAATAAATAGGACTGTTCTGTTTTGTTATAAAAAAAAGTGAAACCTGGCGACTCTAAACATGCCTATAACCCCGAACACAACATCCCCCGTTGATTGGGGTGTGATCCGCAACAAGGACATCTGCGCCATTAAATTAACAATATACGATAACTGTGCAAAACAAAACGATTAAAATATAAGAAAACCTTCGTGGAAAATATAGTACATTTCATGTGACGTCCAACAGCACCTGAAAACCTAAAAACAAAACGTGGACACATTCCTCAATGGATCAGTTGTAGGTGAGTGTAACGATTTTTCGTGTTCTTATTTTTAAAACTGTTCTATTTTTGAATAAACTAATATTTTTTTCTAAATATGTCTTAATTAAAACAATATACATTTTTTAACGTCTAGTTTTCATTAGAATTTCTTTTTTAAATTGGCAACCTGTGATCTCACACTTTTTTAGGGTTACGTTGAGAATATATACTTTTGAGTAGGCGAAAAAAAATTATAGGAAAAGCTCCATGTGATATTTCCTTTACTTTAGATTTTTTTTTAATATTAGTTTATGCTCATAATATCTAGAACTTAGTTACAATGACCTAATTTTAAGATGTCACTTACCCAGATATGACCTAGGTCACATTCGTTTGTATCTAGGTATTTAAGATTTGTCTCAACCTTATATTACACTTACATATTTTCTTGGAAAAATTTATTTTTTTATTTTTATTTTATTTTTAATCGTGACTATTTGTTATAGCACAGATAATATAATAGTTACACTAACCTATTTAAATATAATTTATGGTCGGGATTCGGTCAATTATCGTTTTCTATATTTTTTCGTTTATATTTAAGGTACAGTAAAGTTTCATACCTTCTTTTAATGAATTTTAAACAGAAGGAGATTCTCTATTTGTCCGTATTTTTTTAAATATAATGTCGCTATATTTATAATTCATTTTTAAATTCAGTTAGGTTTTCTCCCATTTTTAATTAGAATTTTTATTTAGAATATTTTTTTTTTTGTGCAGAATATATTTTATCTTTACTATAGTGTATAAATATAAAATTGTATTTGATTGATACCTCTTGGCACCAATCGAAAATTACATGTAAAAATATTATAATTAATACAATATACGACAACGAATACAAGATAACGAATCTGGAATACTATACGGATTGGAACAGGACATAAGCTATATATCCCGGTCACGCAGACGAATTCGCAAGTAGAAACTAGTAATTTATTGAATAATAAAATATTTTAATGAGTTCAACATAATTTTTAATACATTTCCCAACATTGCATTCTATTCAGTCACAATGAAAAGTTAACCATTTATATTATTAAAATAGGATTGACGATTTTTGGTATTCGTGGGACAATAAGGGAAGAATTCTAACTTACTTAATACCATACTACTGGCTAGGCAGTTTGATAGATATATAAAGATATGTACTAATTTGGATATATTTTTAATTATATTTATTAGTATTAGAGAAACAATTAAAGTTGTGTAGTTAATGTCAAAAATCAAATAATATTTTTATACCACTAGCATACGTTGTAAACCATAGGTTATAGGCGATACCTTTACTATTTTCCGTGAGGCACACCGACAGCTTATTTGCCAATCCCACTTGAAAATAAAATAAAAAGTTTCATAGTACATATTTTTTAGATTTGAATTTGTTATATCCATGGCATTGCTCATGTTTATAGGCGACGGTTACCGCTTTCCATCAGGTGGACCGTCAGCTTGTTTGCCATTTTAAGTTGTATAAAATAAAAAATAAATAAAAACCTTTACAATTTTTTTTTAATTAGAATAAGAAATCACCAGGCACGACCTTCTCGTATTATTCAATTACACCTGTCATTAGTGAACAGGGGAAAAGAGAGAGTGTTAGTAATGGGGTCTAACTGTCCCATTGCTAACAATATACCCTATCAGGCCGACCTCCACGTCATTCCTCTGATAATTATTGTGGTTAATTCTTGTTGAATTCATCACAATGGGCCAACTGATCTGTTTTGATCATCACCTATCATCCCTCACGGGTGTCCCGCCAACGTACATCGCTAGCGTAGGCGGGGTTACTATTCTATAATTATCCATTAAAAAAAAAACATTAGTAAACAAAGTAAGGGGTGACAGAAAAGATCCCCATGGGTCGAAGTTCAGGATGGTTAATCCTGACCTCAAACGCGATCAAACATGCAGTACCCTTTTGAGGCGAGAATTAAAAATTAGTCATGTGTAAGTAGAAGTCGCAACCCTTGGGTTACGTGCCATCGAGTGTTCAATAAAATAAACAATTTATAAATTAATAAATAATACATTTAGATTTCTCTAATTAATGCCTTTTTTCTTTTTCATTTAAGATTTTCCTCTTGTCGGTGCAACTAATTCATACATCTTCTTCCAGCCAGCTCTGTCCCAGGCTATCCTTGACCTCCCTATACGACATGACACCTAGTGTTTCTTTTATCTGTCCCATGTAGTTATTTCTCGGTCTTCCTCTTCCTCTTTTGCCCTCTATTTTAATTAATGCCAAGTTCTAAAAATAAAATATCTATATTATATACAAGATTCATAGTCATAAAAGATTTTATGTGCCATGTGTTTCCATTTACTTATTTATTATTTATTGGCCACATTACATAAAATCGTTTAAAATAGAAGGTAGACTCCATCTCGAGAATTCATGAAACTTTTCTAAGGAAAGTTTAAATCTCTCCTACATATTATGTATGCACATCATATTATCTTAATATATGTAAATCTAGTATCATGAACTTCGTTCACGTTAATCATCAAAATTGCTCAACCAATTTTAATGAAATTTTGTTCTAGTTTTTATCCTAGTAAAAAAAAAGTGATCCCATAAGTAATGGAAAGAAACAGTGTTTTTTTTTTACCATTCCATTATCACCCATTAAGGGTGATAACGGGAATGGTAACCCCATCCGCGCTATTGGTATACACCAGCAGGGCACCAGTGAAGGATGATAGGTGAGAATGAAGCAGGTCAGTTAGCCCATCGTGACGAATTCAACAAGAATTATTCACGATTGTTTCCAAGGGGAACCACGTGGAGGTCGACCTGGTAGGGCACCAACATATTGCTAGCAATGTCGAACTCCATTGCCAACTATCCCTTTCCCCCAGGAAACAGTGTTTACCGGGTCAACTGACCCAGTATATCATACTAGTATTATTAACAGAGTTATTCACACGCACAGTCTTCTGAAGGTTTAACTTCAAGTCTCTGTTTTATCTTGATTGCACCACATAAAAGTGGTTACCGACTTAAAAAAATCTATATGCATGAAATTGAAAGAAAAACCTAGTTTATAATATTTTTTACACCACGAAGATGCCAAACAAATATAATCCGTCTAAACGTGGTAAACGGTCACTGTAGCCTATGGAAGCATGCAACACTAGGGGTATCACGTACGTGTTACCGACCCTAAAGAGAACTTACTATACCCTTTTTCAAGAACTCCATACTGTAGTCTCTAGAAAAAACTTCGGCAGCGAGTTCATACCACAGCCTCAGCGTTCGCGTACATATATACGTGACCATTTAGGTTCTAGCGTATGAGAATGAATTCCCTGTCAATGGCCAGCGGTGCGATGATAAAAGGTGGCTGTGGGCATCACTTCAAATAATTCCTCGGTACATAATCCGTTACACAAGATGTACTCGTAGAACACACAAAGGGAGGCAAAGTCTCACTTTAAACTTAAGGGCTCGATATCGCCTGTGAGCTTGAGATCGTCGATTATTCTCATGGCCCGTCTTTGAACCGCGTCAAGAGGACTAAGCTGGTAATCAGATGCTCCGGCCCACAGGGGTAGTAGTACTCTATAAGGGTACAATAATAGTTTATAATATATAAATATATTAAGTAAATTTATAATTATTTTATTAATTCTTTAAGTTATAGTAAAGTTCGCCATATGTAGACACTTGTTTACTCTATGCATTATGTAAATACATGGACAGGATCTTCCTGTTGATTTATACTTCTCACCACATTAAATCTCACTATCATAATGGAAGAGGCGTACATATTAAAAAGAAAACCATAATTAACAAATAATGAATAAAAGAATAACACCAAATAAGACAGTAAAAGTAAGAGAGCTGCAGATAAATTCCAAAGCGGCTTAGAGGCGTTATAAATGTAATTATTTAAAATGTATAAATTTTGTAAAATGTAAAATTATTTAAATTTACAAAAAAAAATACTGACTATGTGGCAAACAAGTGATTATGATTTAAAAACTAAACTTCTCAGCAGATTTTAATAAAAATTTTATGGCATCAATGTGCAAGGATATCCTTTCAGATAAAAAAAAACAAGTTTCCATATCGGTTTACAACTGACAGAGTTATTAAAGGCAAAGAACATTAAAAAAACATACAAAAGTATTGAGAAACTCCTTCTTGTTGAAGTCGGTTGATAAATAAATAGAAATGATAGTGAAAATTTATAATTTTTTTTCATTAACAGTTAAATTAAAGTTATAGTCTATGAATTTACATTTCACCATTTAATATTCATATAACTACATGCATTATAAATTCAAGATAAAAACGATAACTTTGATACGAATAAGAAATGATAGGCCCGCTTATTAAATACGTTTTACTCATTATGAAAATGAATCAAGTGACAATGGACTCATGAATATTTTCCGTGTCTACAGGTAATGAAGCCTTTGTAAATGAACGGCCGCGTTAGCGCTGATGACGTCGATATGGATCCCAATTTGATTTTGTGTCCTCCAGACACCGCCTGATTTAGGTATGTACTAGATCATACACATCTACATTCTAGATGGAGCGTCAAATATCAAAAAACGTCTTAAAAATATCAGCAAAGTATTGGCTGAAAATCATCTTCGTTTAAATAGTCTTTTTTACAAGCATTTTAAAATCGTAATTTTTTTAATCTACTCAGAATTCGTAAAGTTATTATTTTCTGAGAAGATCCCATATTTTTTTATGTAACATATTTGTATATCTATTGTGCTCTTTAAAACTTGATCGTAGGCCCGTGATATAATTATTCCGACTAATAAACTGCAAAGGCCGTGGATATGAATGGCCGATGTCAGAAATTGTGTCAATTTAAATTGAACCGACTGTAATTAATAAAATTTTAAATCTTCGATCATGAAAAACATAGATAACATAGCAAATGAACTTGAGTGTCGTTAGTGGATTCTCTGGGCATATCTTTTTTTTTGTGAATGAAAATGGAATGGTAACCCCATTTTCGCTATCGGTATACGTTAGCAGGGTATCAGTGAAGGATGATAGATGAAGCAGATCAATTGGCCCATCATGATGAATTTGTCTAAAATTAATCACGGTTTCCAGGGGAAACTGCCGTCGCGGAAGTCGACCTGTTAGGGTTTATTGCTAGCAATAGCCCTATCAGATCTCATTAGTAACAATCCCTTTCCTCCCTCTCTGGGTATGTCGAACGTTATACATTCACTACAACGGTAATAGTTGATGTAGATTCTGATTATTTTTTATTTCGCTCACTATCAGTGCAGCGGCGCGGTGTGCAAACGAGAGAGGCGCGATGCACCCAACGGCCAGGTGACGCTGTCGCCTACACCCGCGGAACATGTCATGGGACTCAATAGAGTCGCGCGACTTCCTCGGGTAAGCGACATCTATAATATCGTCATATCCGTCTTTATCTGTCTTCTGTTAAACATAGTCCTCCCCCATGAGGGAGGTTTTGCCAGTAGTTGCCACGCTTGACGCCAGTAGTTGGCCACCCCTTCAGTATCGTACGAGATAACTAAGAGAAAGCGAGGGATGGGTAGCAGCGTCCCTCTTAAAACATCTCTAAAGCGTAACTGCGATTGCCAATCTGCCTGCCAAGCGTGGCAACTATTGGCAAAACAACCCAAGGGGAAGACATGTGTTCAGCAATGGATATTTAAAGGCTGATCTAATGATGATGGTGATATTAACTTGACCATTGGTGATATCATGTCGTCTTAGTGTGAAATGGGGTACTTAAATTACTTTGACGTTTTTGTCGTGTGTTTTTTTATTTTTAAATTTTGCCAGTAGAATTGTTTGCTTGGGTACACCTGTTTTATTCGTGTTTCCACCGTGAAGCAGTTATGCTTGCATGACTGTGTTGCGATTTCAAAACCGAGATATGGCTGTCATAACACCATGCTTCTGAGGAATATCAAATAATGAAGGATTTCATGGAAATCGCAGTGCATATTATGATATCATAATGCCTTTTATGTCTATTACCGACGGTTATCACTTTCTGTCTGGCAGGCTATCAGCTTATTTGCTATTCTAAGTTGTATAAAAAAAACTTTAACTATTTCTAACGTTCTAGCGGGGTGCCGGCGCATCAGTTGTCGGCGACGCGACTACTCAGCTCACCTGACCCGTCGCGACACCATCTCGATGAGCAGCCAGGTTCGATTCTAATAGAATTCCAACGATAACTGTAAAATGGGATGAAAATGGAATGGAATACCCGTTTGCGCTATTGATGTATACTCTGGCGGGGTATTAGCGAAGGATGATAAGTGAGGATAAATATCGGTCGTGATGAATTAATTAAGAATTTATCAAGATGATTTCTAATAAACCCTCCCCCCCCCCGGTCCCCAAACCCAATGATAATATTCTTGCCACTTAATATGAAAATATGTTTTGAACCTTTCATAAAAAGATATTTTGTTTATTAATTATGCTCCTTTGAAAAAACTACGTTTGTTTCTAATATTTTATTGTACTTAGAAATTATATAGAACAGGTACTCTCTTTGTAAAAGTTGAGAAATGGTATGGATTAATTTATAAAATAACTCGAATTACCTGCCTTCAAATTTTCCAGAAGTTTACCCATTCTCTGAGGATTATACAGGGGGAGACCTGCGCAATGGTGCTCTACGTTGGGGCTCCAGGTTTGGGCCAGCTCACCGTCCTCCCACCGCTGGGCTGCTTGACTGTTTCCGTGTTTGCCGGTCAAGGTTGGACCAGTATCTAGCCAGGAGAAAGGTAGAGAATATATATTTTAAAGACTAAAGTACTAATTAGCGCCATATTCACAAGAGACATAATATCTTATTTTCGAGTGTAATAATGCATGAGGCTTATTAGCTCCACTATGTCGTTTAAGTTTAGGTTTTTTTTTAATGAATAAAATTGGAATAGTTATCTCGCCTAAGTTATTTATTTACACTGGCGAACTACCAGTAAGATTGAAGTTTTCCAGGAACTAAACACGATGGTTTTCAAGAATGACCACGTGAATGTTGACCTAACTAGGTATTTTATTAGCAATGTAGCTACTAGTCCATGTTATTAATAATCCTGTCCCACCCCAAATCCAAATACGTGTATAATATGTAGATACAGATACAATAAAGTTACTTAACCCTCGAGTTACCCCGAATGTGTACCTTGTTATGCCTGGGACACACACAAGCGAATACAACGTCAATCAGTTGCCCACAATTATGCATGATTCATCATTGATATGATTTACAGATCGAGCGCGGAGTAAGACTCTACGGTCAGAATGAACAACGCCTAGCCGTGAAGATTTGGCTGTCCGCCCTTCGTGGCATCCGACACCGCACCGACAAGTTCACGCTACTTGGACATTTGTACCAGGCGTACATGGACTTCGGGAAGTACAGGCTAGTACTCAAACAATTCCATCCTATTAATCTTATATATAAAATTCTCGTGTCGCGGTGTTTGTTACCAAACTCCTCCGAAACGGCTTTACCGATTTTTATGAAATTTTGTGTGCATATTGGGTAGGTCTGAGAATCGACCAACATCTATTTTTCATACCCCTCAATGATAAGGGTGACCTACCCTTATATATATTTTTTTTATTTTTTTGATATTTTTATTTTATTATGACTAAGCATCGAAAAATATATACAGCTTCAAATTTTTACCCTTTTACGATCAACCCCTGTATTTTAATCGCGATTTTTATATTTCGCAATAAGTGGTAAAACAACGTTTACGGGGTCAGCTAGTTATATTATAAAAATGCAAAAGTTTGGAACTATGAATAGATATTTCTTAATCTTTCTTGCAAAAAGTACTGAAAGGATTTGATTAAATATGTGGTGAAACTGCAGAAGACAGCTATACTAGTTGTCTATCCCAGCTTCACCCGCGTGAAAATAGCCATTCAAACATTCAGATTAAGTGATATAAAACGATCATATATAATTAATAGATTGTATGGAATAGAGTAACGAATACAAGAAATTCTTAATTCATCTGTGTGTATGAATATATTTTTTGTGAACATATTCTGGAGTCTCTGTCACTTTTTTACTAAATGATTCTCTATTTTTCTATAGGAATTATGTCATCCTAATTTTGTCGAAATTGATGAGTTTGTAGATTTAAATTTTAAATAATATTTTCTTTTAATACGCAGAGAATCTCTGGAATTCGCTAACCGTCAACTTGGTATATCCGAGGAGTTGGACTCGGCGCCAATGCGAGCGGAGGCTTACCTGAACTTAGCACGCGCTCATCAAACCTTGGGTGGTCTGGACAGGTCTGTATATATTAATTAATTTATTTATTTATTTATTCATTAGTACAAATATGTGTACATGGCGGACTTAATGCTAAAAGCATTCTCTCCCAGTCAACCATAGGGAAGTGTCAGAATACTCGAATGCGGTACTACTAATTATTGATATACATACATACTAAAATTACATATATAAACGAATAAATATATATGAATAACAAATATACTTACACATATATGATATATACTATATTATACACGAATTTGGGAATAATATAAAGCACTTACTGCTCGGATAAAGATAAAAAGTGAGCGTGAACGCTTTTTTTGATAGACGGTTTAGTCGGTAGTCTCTTAATGGCATCAGGAAGCGCGTTCCAAAGTCGTGAAGAATGTAGGAGAAAAGATTGAATTATACGATTTAAAGAAAAACCTAATTGTAACGTAGAGTTTGGTTTGTTCACGAATTCTGTTTAAATATCAAACCATGATCCTTCTATCATATTTGGAAAGTAATTTATTGTATGTTCTATCATATACACGGTGCTGTTCTGGGTTCTATTATCATACTTCTATACTAGGATCGTTAGTTTGCCAGTTCAGATTACATAAATAAACACACACCTACACACAAAGACCGAGGAATGACAGAATGTTTCATAAATATATCATTTAAATATTTGAAATTAGAATACGGAATTGTACAGCGCTAAGGAAGTGATGTTTTCTCTTTACTTTCTCTGTATAACAAAATGTACAAAATATATTAATTTGCGTTATCAATCTCTATTCCTCAGAGCTCTGTCGTACGCTCGCCATGCCCTCTACAATGATTGCGGAGGCGGGTCAACTGCAGGCTGCGTGCACCTCACAGTGGCAGCGGTAAGCTTGGAGCTGGGGGCATTCTCCAAAGCGATGGATGGCTTCCAGAAGGCACTGGCGGTTGCACAGGCGCAAAATGATAACACGTTGTTACTTCAGGTATGTTAGATCTGATGAGAAAATAATATTACATTGATGAAAGTGGGAACGAGGTACATAGTAAATGTTGTCAAATGTATAGCAGACAACAGTGTTTTTGTTGGAAAATGTAGGTTAAATAATTATCAAAAAAAAAAGAATTATCGAAATCGATTTCGGTGTGTTTGGTTCATACTTGCCAGTACCAGTGAGGCATAAAAAGTAACGATGAAGGAATTAAGTATGATAATTTGTAGTGACCGCGTGCAATAGCATTATAACTCTACAGAGAATATTATTATTATTTAGAAGATTAGCAACACACGTGCAATTTCTCTGATGTTGCTTATAGGCGGTGGTAATCACTTACCATCAGATGAGCCGCAAGCTTGTTAGCCCTCTATTTAATTAAAAAAATTCGCAATGGGGTCACTAATTCTGTTATTAACAATTTCTTTCTATCGTAAGTAATTCATGGTGAATTATTCATAATGGGTCAACGGATCTAATTACATCCTTATTTAATCTTCCTAACTGGTCCTCCCGGGGGGAACGATTATTAATAATGGAGACTAAGGGCCCCATTGTTAGCAATATACCCAACCAGGTCGATCTCCACGTGCTCCCCCCTGGTAACCATCGTGCTGAATTCCAAGTGTATTTATCACTGTTGAGCTAACTGACCTGCCTTTTCATCCTAACCTATCATCTTTCACTAGCGCAGTTAGTTAGCGCAGGCAGGGTTACCATTGCATCATTACCTAATAAAAAAAAACTGGTCCTCCCGCCAGCATATACCGACAGTATAATCGGAATTGCCATTCCCGTCATGTCATTAAAATGAATCCGTTTGGCTCACCGGTGCAGGTGTACGTGGGCCTGTCGGAGCTGTGGCGGCGGCTGCGCGACGCGGAGCGCGCGGTGGCGTGCGCGGCGCGCGCGTGCGACCTGGGCCGCACGCCGCGCGCGCTCGACCTCAACACGCGCCACCACCGCACCGCGCTGCTGCAGATGGCCGCCGCGCTGCGCGCCCGCGGCGAGCTCGGCGACGCGCACGACTACTGCAACGTTAGTATCGCCACCTGCATATTATACCAGTACAGCTGCTGCCTGTACCTATACTTACACAACACCGTGAGAAGCGATAGCGCAATTTTTCAAAATACGAACTCCCAAGATTAAAACCCAAACATCAGTTTTTTTTTTTTTATAATTCAGTGTTGTCTGAGAATGAAGCATGCAAGAAACTTTTGATAGATAGATAGATAGAGAAGTAATAAATTGAGTCACTTACTTCATGCTTTGACACGTAAATTTGTTACCCGATAAGCAATAACAAAGGCCTTTACGAGTATATATAACTTAGACTTATATAGTTATAAATTACTTAACTTTAGGTCTCCGACCTCAATTATTGCGACATGCTCCATTACTGCATAAGTACCCCCAATGTATTTCAGGCTACCTCAAACGCATTCAATAAATTAAGTAATACACATGATTATCGCAACGTTAGTATTTGCATGAAACTTATATACTTAATTATATATTATATCTCCAATTATTTACAAAGCATTTATTACTATACTATATACTATCTATCAAAGTATATATGAACTATGTTACTATAGCACAATGCTCCATGTTTTTATTTTGCGCTTAATTTTTCACACATTGTCGTTTCAACGTAATAAAGTTTTAGTTTATGGATTACACAGAGTCCACTCGTAATCGTATTGAGGTTTCGATCACAAAAATGTTTAATTAAAATATTCTGAATAGATATCTCACCAAAAATTTGTTGTAACAGGAGGCACTGCGACTGGCAGCGGTGGCGGGTGACCAGGGTTGTTATGCGCGCGCAGTGAGGATAGCCGGCGACGTGTATAGGCGAAAATGTGACATTGGAAAGGCGCTAAGGTAGAGAGCAATTTCCTCTGCTATCTTTAATACATTTAGATTATGTAAGCAATTATAAAATTTTACGAGAAACTCATGAGAACCTTACGAGAATCTTCTGTTTGAGGAAAAAGCATCACGCTCGCTGAGCGATGATTCTATATGAAATGACTTATAAAAGTCGATCAAGCAAGAGATATAATGAGAATGATTAAGAGATCTCTGGTCTCTCTAAAGCCATCTGTTTAATCCAAAAGCTTAATAGACCAGATAGAAAACAATCGTTTTAATAATTTCTATATCTTTAACAAGTGAATTTCTATTTTATTCAAGGCACTACGAAGTAGCAATGGGGGCAGGCCAGGCACTTGGTGACAGGCTCGCTCAGATGGAAGCTATGGATGGTGCGGCACGGTGTCTCGAAGCTTTGCGTCTGCAGGGCAGGATCTGCAATTGTAGACCGTTGGAGTTCAACACTAGGTTATTGGAGGTCGCGACTTCAGTTGGTGCTAAGGTGAGGAACTTTATATATTACTTATAATGACAGACTAAGATATCTTTTGATGAAATCAAAGGCAGACTATGTACAAAAGTCATCTGTTAGGTATCTTTGTCCTACTCTTGCTTCTACCTGGAAGCAGCTGTACATGGTTCTATTTCGGTTTAAGTAGTAGTATATAGCAGTCTACAAATAACATCATAGTCCTTAGGAAATGCAACGCATGAGGGGTACCATGGGCGTCACAGAATGTTCTGCACCTATATATGGGACACTACTCAATCCTATACCTTGCATAACATTCACACTTTTGTAAGTTTCGATATGAAACTTCTTAAATAAAGGTGCTTCTGTACCAGATGCTAGTGCGTCGCGTGCGACTCCGGCTCGCGGAGATCTACACGGCACTGGGCGACAACAACGCGGCGGCGCGGCAAAAGCGCGCGGCGGCGGCGTGGGCGGCGCCTGCATGCGCGCGCTGTCGCGAACCACTTGCCGAACAACCTGAACCGCTCGCGTCATTGCCCTGCGCTCACATTGTCCATCACGCGTAAGTGTATTTGTTTGTAAAGAACTATACAAAAATACCAGAGGGAGACTATATAAAAGACGTTGCTTTGCAAGTATTATTATGTACTAATAAGATTTTTTTTTTAAAAGACAACTACTTAAGGCATGAAACATATCCATAAATGACGAATATTTCGTAGACAAATTTGTTTTATCCAAATTGAGGTTTGTTATCTATTGTACTTGGCAAACAGTTCGCAGCCCATTTGTAGCCAAACGTCACAAAAACGATATGTGACGAATAGTTGAGACTGAGATGAAGGATAGAAGTAAACCGTCTAGATTGCTAAAAAATGTTAATAACAGAACACAAATGACGCATAACACATAAAATATTTAAAAAAAATACAAACGAATTAAGAACCTCTTTGTCGACTGACTTCAAAGAGACAGAGATTCTCGATTGGATTGTATTTTTCTATATTTATTACCACATTACATCGTCAGTTGAAAACCAAGTTGTAAATTTATTCTTTTATCAAAAAAGATATATTTACAGATTAGTTCCATATGACGTTTAATCATAAAATCGTTCAGTAGTTTAATTCTTAAATTAAAATAACATGTTTTGTCACAACCGAAGTCGATTTGTTTATGGAACTAAATATTCATTATTAAGTTATTTAGTTTGTATTTTATAGAGGATGTATCAATGACGAAAAGAATGGTGTTCTGATATCAGATGCATGCCTGAGTCGTGGTCACGGCGCTCGACTCGTAGTGCAAGCGGCGCAGCGGGCGCGGCATGTGCGGCGACCGAATGTGCCGAGTGCGCGTCGCCGCGCGCGCCCCGCGCCCCGCCGCCTGCGCCGCCCGCGCCTCGCACACTGCCGTCGCAGGTCTGTCATACCCATTATCTATACACAAATGTATAATAAAATTAATAATAATAAGCGCCACTTTTACGCAGCAGTTGCCTGATCTTCATGCTAAGATACCCTATGTTATGAAATATCAGATAACGGACATCTGAAAGCACAACTCAGAATATCTAGACCCGAGCCAATTCAAAAAAGTTCGTTTTTTAAATTGACCCGATTGAAAATCTAATTTGGGAGCTCATTTACGCGAAGAAACGCACTTGCCACTATATCATGGAAATTCGAAAAAAAATTAACTAAATGGTGTTACATAGGATATAAAGATATGAGAGATCTTAACAAGAGCGATTAAAGACAAATATTTTTTAAAATTTTTGTCTCTCTGTATGTTTATTTAGTTTGGAATTGGATGTCATAACCAATTGGATGCGGTTTTTACGGTTGTGTTCATGTATTACGAACTTATAATAATGTACATTTTATCGAAAGTATATATGTTATCCTAAGTGTATATCTCAAAATCCACGTGTAAATTGCAGATAAAAGCTTAATAAAAATATATAAAATTAAATTGAAATAATAAAATATATGTCGTGTGATCCCGGCATAGAATAGGCCACCCCTTCTTTTCCGTGGGTGTCGTAAAAGTTGACTAAAAGAGGGCATGGATAGTAGCATTCCTCTTAAAACATCTCCAACGCCTAACAGCGATGGAGAATCCGCCTGTCGAGCGTGGCACTTACTAGCAAAACCTCCTATGAGGAAGGCTTATGTTCAGCAGTGGATAGCTAAAGACTGATATGATGAATAAAGTATTATTATTAAATCATTAGCTAATGTTGTACCTAATTCTAATTTCTGTTTATTGACGCTTGCATGTAACACTGAAATGTGAATGTAGTATAGAGATAATTGCTACAATTTATTATATAATCAATAGAGATATTCATATAGAATTTATTTCATATTAATCGCCTATTAATCGTAGAATATTTGCTAAGTAGACACTTTTATAACTAGATCTTTTATTTATCATGTAGCTAATTCTTTTGTCATAGTAATTTAATTTTGAATGAAATTTTTAAAGACTTTGTTTTCTTTTTCTTTGTGTACTTTAGTTAATATTTAATGTTATATTTTAATTCTTCATCTTAGCGTCATCTCGGCCTCTGCCAGGGTCCACAACTCACAATTGAATTTGGCTTTAAATCTAAATTGTTATTTGGACCCCCGGTGGAACCCGAGGAGTAGGTCATCTGAACTTCTAAAAGTGAGTCGTTCACCACTCCCACCCTCATTTCTGTGGCATCACCTGTCAATTTGAGGGCCATGATTGTTCCTATTACTGTCATCGCATTACCTTTGTCGTCATTTGGAGTTGGCGTTATATACTTCCTTTCATTGGTGTTTGTCAATCATCATACTTTCGTATTTGTTTGTTATGTCGTGGAACATTAATTGTATTTAGTACGCATATATCATGTGTTCCTTTCAGTCAATTTTACATTTCATTATTGCGTCTTTTTTTTACAACACTGGGGGCAAACGAGCATACGGCTCACCTTTCTTTCATTTATAATTATGTAATAAAGTTTTATATATTGTTTAATAAGTATTTTCTGTGTAGGTACATATTTTAATGTTCCAAAAATGGTAATAGATAAATGAACTTTTTTTGCATAACATAGATGGCGTTGCATAATACAAACAAAAACATTGATAGTTTTCTACGGCCTTACTTATTCTTTGGCCATTAGTTTGTTTGCCATTCTAATTGCATAAAAAAATTACACCAATCCAACTGAATATACGGGGTGCATATGTTGAAAATTGTTTTGTAATTAAAAAACAAAGAAAAAATATCACATGTACATGATCTTAAGTCGTACCTATGTGTGAAAATGAAACCGAAGCTTTCCGTTAGATCTAGAAAAGCGCTTATGATTTTATTTTTTCATTAATTATTTTACCGTTTCTTGTAGAAATTAATATTTGCTTCTTAACTCATTTAGACATGAATTAGTTGCACCGACAAGAGTAAAATTTTAAAAGAAAAGAGAACTCATTTAGAAGCTCTGTGGTCAATCTTCAAACCGAGCCTATTGTACGCCATTCAATAGTATTATATTATGTATGGTCAAACTATGTATCAACAAACTGATATTTTCTTTTATAAAGTAAAATAGGCAATGTGCGATTGTCTGAAATTTATTCATTTCTTTTAATTTCAGGACTTCCCTTTCGGCACCCCACCGACGCTCCGTGATTCGGATCTGAACTCCGTGATATCTGATCATAGCAGTCAACAAGCCACATCTAGTGTTTAATTTTTGCGACATTAGACTACCTACATGATTATATATGTATTTTTTCAGTCTTATCAATATATACTATACTACACTAAATTAGAGTTCATTATAAGATGTATTTTCTTGCAAATTCATCATTATGAAACTTAAAAGTGAATATTAATATTATTTATATTAGTTACAGTCGTATAACAGGTGAGTTCTTTTTTTTTTTTTTCATTCAAACACAATTTTTAAGGTAGAAAACCTGATTTAGCTTATCTAATAAATGAGCCAGATTACTACCAGTATACAACCACTATACATTTATACATACTTAGTTATATTGCTTTTATAATGCTTCATTAAAAAATTTACACTAGAAGTAGGTAGAGTGTGGCGCTCTCACGATAAAACTTTATATGCAGCTTTCATTTTACAAAAAGGTCTTGAACTTAGCTTAAATTAAAAATGCTAAATTACGCTGCGGGATATAGATCTCCATCCTACGAATAATAGTTTACGTCGTAGAGTTAAAATAGAACAAAGCTACGCTATAGGGATACAAGTCTACGTAATGAGCAATAAATCAATGACAGATCATAAATTCAAATAGTAAAAATACATAGACAGACGCTACATGCGACGTTATTCTAGCCTACATCGTAGACTCGTAATCTCTCGTAATTCTACGGCATAGCTTAGAATAAGCTACGCTCAATAGTAATTCAAGTAAGGCTACGCCGTAGACCGTAGACTCGATCCTTCCTTTCACTACGGCTGTGACGTCACAATGGCAGATATTAGGGCAGTAAACGGATCTGCCTGGCTAAGGTAGGTAAGCTATCATTAAATATAATATTTGCGCTACCTATCCGTAACTCTCTACCCATCCAGTTAATATTTAATATATTTTTTTTTATTTGATAGCGACAAAGCGAAGTCTTTTATCGAAATTAATATGAATGGATTTATCCTCAATAGTTCCATGCTTTTGATACTTTATAATTTCAAAATAATATTTTTAGGCTTTAAAAAAAATATTACAAAAAATGTAAGGGGAAAAGGGTGATAGAATATTTTTACGGTGAAATAAAAGATAGTAAAGAATCCTAATGGAATTGTAAACGATTGGAAAGGAACGAATGTCCATATCCTTTTAAATTAATCTATTGTATAACTTTAGGATACGATTCCTTTAAAAGATACGCTTTATTAACCAAAAGGGAACCTTTGTTTTTGTACGAATTATTATAAAATTAATTATATACATACATAAAAAAAAGGTATTGATGTATATTTAATAATAATTATACATGTATAAATCCGTTTAATATGTAATTAATGGTTTTCGAAAGAGTATATACGCTTATATCATAAATTAAATTTGTTGCTACGTTATTATATTTTTGTTGTAGCGTGTAATATGTAGGAACTAAACAAACGATATGTAGATATAATTCCAAAATGTTCCGATTAAAAAAAAACACTTATTAAATATTCTAAGTCCACGATAAATAATTCTCAACTGCCAAGTAGGTATGGTCAATTAATGTAAGAACACAACAACATAAAAAATAATAATAATAATATAAATACATAAATTCATAATCAAATAACTGCACTGGTTTTAAGGGAGAGCACTCTATATGGAGTAGTGAAGAAGTATTATATATAACATATCCATTTTTTTTTTTTCCAAAAAAATAGACAATTTATAATACAACCTAATTCACCTAAAGATATACAGAGTCATTTATTCGTACTTATATTCTAGTTAACAATAACTTTTAATAAAGAAAATCCACATTATTATTATTTATTTAGACATCATCAGACCCTTTTGTGATTTGATTTGATATGCTTGTTATTTACTATTGAGTGAAAACTTTGTACGTCTGCTTAAATAAATAAATATTTGGAATCAAATATGGATCAAGTCGAAACAATTATCGGAAATGACAAAAATATTGAGTTCTTTAATTTTCCGTTAGATATGTATATAGACATTGATATAAATTATATGTTATTTAATGCTAACAAATTTTTAGCCGTGTCTTCATCTATGTACTCTTCCATCTCCAAAAGTTCCTGTGTATCCAATGGTTGAATCATCAAAGTACCAACGAACAAAGTCGCTGTAATCTGTCAATTTATTAACAAATATAAATACTATTTCACTACTCCCATAAACCAAAAAAATTCATAAATTATATCGACGTTGCTATATAATTATGTTACAAATCCAATTTACATAAAATATTATGTATATAATAATAATAGTAACAGTACTGTTATTACTACCTGTAAGTATATTTTGATTTTATTAAAAACAAACTGTTAAAAAATATACAGTTTCCGATATGTATATTAATTTATTGAAACATACTTATCGCATTACAGTAACATAAAATTAAGAAGTATAGTTAGAAAAATATTATATATTATAACTATTTACATTGTGAAATAAATATACATATATACGTAAGTGCAGTCAGCTCCATAAATAATCGTTGTAATAATGTTAAAATATAGATATTTAATATCAACAAATCGATCTAAATTAAAATCCTTACATTCCTTTATTTTCAAACAAAGATCTTCGATTTTACTTTGTTATTAATATAAAAAATATTTATGGAGTTAATGCATTTTTTAATCAAATTTATTTAGACATTTTCTTTTGCTTGCATCAAATTTTTTGGATGACATTAAAAATAACACGCTAACCTCGTCAATTCTGGACCGATTTTGATGTATTCTTTTTGCAATCGACAGAGATCAATAATTTTATTCCTGTTTGTCCCTTACCAATTTTATTACAATTGTTTACGATGTAAGCAATATGAAAATATCTAAATAACTTCTGATATTATATTATCAACTGAAGTATTTGTAACACGTTTGGAATATGTGTATAGATGTTACAAATGCAACAGACGTCCTATTGTGTCCTTCTGTCATTGTACCTGCGCAAATGAAAACGTCTACTTAAATATATAATTCCTATTTGTCAAATATATAATACTATATATGTATAAAAATATACGAAATATACCTGCCTACTTTATTCTTCGTACTAAAAATTAAACATTCGATATTTTGTTTCTGTAATAGTCTTGACTCGGTGTAACAAAAATTATATTGATATATTTTAACTTTCTCACACTAAAACTAGCTATCGTAGTTGAAGTGCACGATATAATATATATATATATATATATATATATATATATATATATATATATATATATATATATATATATATATATATATATATACAAAAATAGATTTAATTTAAATATATATTTCCCATGTGTTCTGTCTAACATATTATTATTGTATGATATCGTATGATAAACTATTGGTTTGATGCAATAATATTTATTGTATCTACAAATATATTGATAGTGTCAAATAAAAGGATCGTTTTAATATTTTGATAAAATCAAAATATATAATAAATAAACTATTTTAAATTAATTGTAATTACTATTAAAACAAATTTTCTTTAATTTACAATATAATACTATTCATCTTATATATTATATGATAAGTATTAAACCACAATCAAAAATATTTCTTATACATGATTGTGAAATGTTGGTGTACGACATTCTCGTAAGACATTACGATGCGTTACAAGGGCGCGAAGTGGGTTCGAACAACGCGTTACGTAATATTGTTTTTTTTTTTTTTAATTTAAATAAAAAACCAGGGAATTAAAATCTCCCAAGTTGGCAATCCTTTTCGGTTATATTTTACGGGGAATCCCTCGATTATACAGTAGGTCATTTTTATATTGTTTTCGTTGTCGGAATTGATTAGTGTTGTGACTTTTAAGTATAAATGGTCATTTGGAGGTTAAGTAACGTTTAAAGAGGGGAGGGGGAATACAAAAAAGTTTTTGTATGAACAGTGAAAGGGTAAAAAGCTTTGTCTGATTTTGTTGCTCCTTCTTCTTAATTTAATTATATTTAGTATAATACTCATTTAACAAACCTTAGATAATAAAATTTACGTGACTACGTGTGTACTATCTTTATAAAACAAACGGATGCATTTATATTAAATTAAATGTAGTTAAGTGAATGTTTTTTTAAATATTTCACACAATAAAAAATAACATTATCAAACTTAAAATGACCTTTTATTTGACAAATTAACTTTATTTTACAATAATATTGAGTGTTATTTTAAAGCACGCCAAAATATTCCTATGTGATTCTGAACAAAATAATAAAATATATTATTGTTACTAAAAATAAACATGTAGTTGTGAAATTGGCGTTGTGTTAATCGGTCATTTTAGATAAAGTTGAAATATGATTGTTCGTTATATTTTAAAATTTTAATTGAAATATATTGGTTTGAGAATTACTTGTTTTATTTATTGCATAAAATGCTTCGACCTTTCCTTCCAACTTAATTAAAAGCAAAAAATGGCAAAGATAAGAAATACCTAGGTAACTAATATTAGCAGTGCTTCTTGATCTTTATGATCATTTTGAAAAGACCGCCGTTCGTCGACGTATCGTTCGACGACTACCGGAATTGTCGACAGAAAGCGTTCCATAATACGCACTTAAACAGTATTTTATATGTGTGCACTTCAAATGCCTTGACATGAAATAAAATATTACCATTCAAAGTTATATTGTAATTATTTTATCTTCATTTTATATAGATTCTATTGTGATTTGAACATTAAATTATATTATTTGATATTAACGTTGACTTGTCAATTTTGGCTGTTTATATTTTTGTCTATGCCGCAAAGAAAAATAACAAAAAGTTGTTTATAAAAAAAAACTTCATTTGTATTGATTTCTATCGCTGTCGCCCAGATTTTCTTGCAAAAAAAGTCCTAATATTTTGAATAACCCCATAATTCTTGCGTGAAAACACTCAAGGTATACGAAAACAGTCAACAATATATTTTCGGCTCCGTTTGTTAGTCTTTTTATAGAGCTGTTTAACCACCCGTAACGTGTTCATTAATAAAATTTAAATATCTAGGTGTTTTCAATGATATTACACTGTTTTAGGTGAAAATGAGTGCTATAGCGCAGCAAGAGTCCTTGGTTAAGGAGAGTTTATTTCAATTCATCACTAAAAATATCCCATCTGCAAATTTAAATGTAATTGATGACATAGTCTTGTCCTACGTTATATCTATCTTGGAGGAGGCTTCTCAAGATCCTTGCTTCGATGTCGAAGGTAAGGAATAATGTAGAAAAAGAATATTTTGTATATCATAAAAATACAAATTTTTAGTCCAATTCCAAAGTACCTACTAGATTACTTAGGGAGTCCATTTTCAAGGTAAGAATGACGTCGCCTTTTTCATTGTTTACACGAGGATTTCATCTAAATAAAATAATACTAGTTCCAGAAAACCTGTTTCATTGAATATGCACCCTATAATCTTGTTGAACTTTTACTTATTTCATTTAAATATTATTGAAAACCTTGTTTTTTATTGCTTTTTATCCTTCCCTGTTTTATAAAGTAAATATAAAGGTATAAGATATTTTGTGAACTTGAAATGCCTTTTAGCTATGATTTAAGAAATGTTTAGATGATCTTTTAAAATATTTTTAGTAAAAGTTTAAACTTCAATTTGAGGTGTAAACAATATAATATTAGGATTTATTTAATGTAAATAAACCAATTTAATATTGTCATTCTGAGTTACTTGTAAAAGAAGAACTACACCTAAAGAAATAAAAAACAAGTTATAAAACACTTGAGTTTAAAGTCTCTCTAAAGTCATGAAAATCTTAAAATAAGCAAAATGTAAGGTACATTTTACCTACAATCTACAATGTTAATTGCTTGTTATCAATTAGTAGGAGTAGAATAGTTGAATACCAATGGGATATATTCATTAGTCACTAGACTGTTTCTTAACACAATGATATTTTTACTACAGGTTTTATAGAAATGATGGCAGCATATATCCCAGAGTTTGCTGGCATAGATGCTGGCCAGGTGTGTTCATGGGTGTTGGAACTCGAGGCAGAGTTGTCTCGCAGGACTGATTCTGACTCAATATCTAACCATGGTAAGTTTGTGATTATATCTTCTTTTAGTATTTATTTACAATTTTAATAATAATCTTTAGAAATAATTATTTAAATGTTGATTATCTCTGTTTGATGATTGTAGAAAGTAACCTACTTTATGTTTAGTTATGGGATACAATTATTTAGCAGAAATATTAATGAACAATACAACATGAATCACTAATTATTATCGATTAGTAATCAATTTATTGATAATGTTAAAGAGTATGTATCTTTTATATAATATATTTTGTATCATTTTATATAAATGATATATGACTACTTAAAGGGTTTATAGTGTTTACATATTTGATTATTAAATTCTAAATCTTTGAATTACAATTGGATAATATTCAATCAACCCAATTTCTAATCAAAATATTTTATTCCAATTTTTGTTTGTTTTTTACTAGATGAAACAGCAGGCAGTGACAAAATAAGCGTCACTTTGCAGAACTTGAGTGAGATGTTGCCGTCTATTACTAAAAACAATAGGTATTTTCTTACTATTCTTTCTTTATGTTTTAGCAATTCTAATGCCATGTGTTTCCACCTATAAATCAATAATTTGAATATTTATTTTATATTTTAATATAGGTTGTAATGTAAATTGCAACTTTTACAAATTTTGTTAAAACATATATTTATCAATTGTTTATATCATTAAATTATTAGATTAAACAGAAGTTTGAGGGTGTTAAAATTCAATATTAACCTTAAAAACTTATGCGAATAATTCATAATTCTGTACTGTAAAACAAGTTTGGTTTTATTGAAGTGAGTTTGAATATAGTGTGTGCACCCAGGTCTCACACCAACTCTGAGAGCTCTGAGTCAACGGAGGGCGGACGGCGCCTTCTTGACGGCGACGAGCATGCCGCCCAGTGCCGTGCCCTTCACGAAATGTTCCCCAACACTTGTGCTATGGAGGTAAGCTAAAGTCGCTACAAATTTGCACATCTTGTCGAATTACATACCTGAGACTCAATTCTAAACTAACATGATGTCCAATGCGAATGTGTTGCAATAACCATGGCTGCTGCAGCTGTACATAAGCTAGGAATAAATGGTTTTAGCATTAGATTCTTATCTGAAAGCGCAGCAGTAAGCATTACGAAACAACAAGACTAAGAGGGCACAGTGGATCTTATGGTAACGATGTTGCAGACGAACTAGCTAGAAGAGGCTCAGGAATGAGGGTGGTAGGCCCGTATCCACTTCTTCCTCTTCCATTCTCACAACTTCGAATAAGGATTCGTCAAAGATCCGCTGACATACAAAACCAAAGATGGATACAGGCTACTGAATGCAGACAATCAAAATTGGCCATACCTACGTTGAATCAACGACTATCAAAACGTTTATTACATCTAGATAGAAAAAAACCTCAAAATAATGATAGGGACAATAATGGGCCATTGTCCATTAAACAAACATTTATACACAATAGGAGCCACAGACAGCCCTCTATGTCGAGGCTGTTTCGACGCTGAAGAAACGGCTGCTCACGTAATCCTGGAATGTGAGGCTGTGGCCCATCAACGTTTAGAAATCCTCGGAACGGTGAGGTCGCTCCGTGAGGCCTGTGAAAAACCCAGGAAGCTTCTGCGCTTCTAGGCGGAGCTAGGTTGGCTGCACTAGCCACGACTCATACGCACAATGGCCCAAATGAGAGGCTAAGCGCGGAAAATGGAGTCTTTTTCACATTCACTAACATGATGAACATCCATGTTAATAACTCTTCACCACATTTCATATCATCAACAGCAAAATATAATCTTATTATACCACAAAAGTGGTAAACAAGCAAACAGCCCGTCTGATGGTAAACAGTTAAAGTAGCCTATGAACGTCAGCAACACAAGGGGTGCCACATGCATGTTGCCGACCCTGAAGAAACCTTAATATACCCTTTTTGAAGAACCTCAAACTGTAGTCTCTAGGGAATAACTCAGCAGGGAGTTCATCCCACAGCCTGAATGTTCGCAGGAGAAAATTCTTTTGAAATCTCACTGTATTCTGTATCGTACTGTAATCTCTGTATATTCTTGCTGAATGATGGACCTATTGACCTTAAGTCCATACATTTAATTTTACATATTAGAATGTACTATTTTTTAGTTTATTTCTTATTGTTTTTTTTTTTGTGTGCTTGTTATTGATATTTTGACCAAATATTTATTTATAAACTGTTTTTTTCTCTTTGTGTATAAAGGATAGTGTTTCGTGTGTCTTTTTATGGCTAATAATGGAACGGTGATCCACCTACGTCATCGGGGTATGCTGACAGGGTATGATATTGGTGAGAAAGAAAGCAGATAAGGCTCATTGTAAAGAATTCCCAAAGATTTAACTACGATAGGGGACCTCCCAAGTTGGTTTATGTTTTACGGGGAATCCCTCTATTATATTCTTTGTCATTTTGTTTTCAGTATTCCTTAGTGTTGTATCACTTGGATGTTACGTAACCAGTGTGACCGTTTTAAGTGTATTCAGTACCAAATTGGTATAATTTGGGCTCCGTAAAACTAATTTAGTTTTTTTTTTTTTGTATCCTTTCATATAATAATAAGTACAAAAGGGAACACGGATTTTTTGTTCCTTATTTATCTCACTCTCTCTTTGTTATCGTCCGTGTGTAGTAAAGATAATGTAATATGATTCTAGTAGTAGTGCTAGGTGTTGTAAATGTTGAACAGTTTTGGAGCAAATTAGGTTGTATTGTTAACAGTAAAAATGTTCCTAAGTACAAAAATTTGACTAATTTTGTAAAATATCTAATGTGCATACCAATTTCACACGCTGAATGCGAAATAATTTTTTCAAAAGTTAATCACATAAAAACTAAATACAGAAACAGGTTTCTAGCTAAACATTTTGCGTGCCTATTGTATGTTAAGCAAGGTCTAAGTGAAGGGAGTGTAGCTTGTGTCTCATTTGACCCATCGAAAGATATAGTAAAAAATAATCCGTCGAATACTGACTATTTGTAATAATACTTTATGTAAATATTATTTGAATATGTCTGTATAATGAAAGTGTGTAATTGGTAAAATAAAAAAAAAGTAACTGTTTTAATTCAATTTTTTCTCTTCAACATTTTATTTTTACTTTAGTATATTTTTAGTATAATTCAGCATATGTTTTGGTATTATTTAGTACTAGCACCTTATAATTTTAGTAGATCACCACTTTTAAAACGGTCGCACAGTACGTAACATTTAGGGAGAGAGAGGGAGGGATAAAAATCTTTAAAAGTTACGCTACGTAATAAGTACTACGTAACGTAAGGACGTGCAAGTGCACGTTCTCATAGTTTTCAAAGAGGACCACGTGAAAGTTGACTACATAGGAGGGTGTATTTATAACAAAGGGACAGCTGGTCCCCGTAACTAACACTCATGTTCCATATGCGGACAGATCAAGCACTGCGTTTCGATCGCCCGCGGAGACGTGGAACGCGCGGCCGCGACGCTGCTGCACCGCCGCGAGCAGGGGCAGGCGCTGTCCGCAGCCGCGCTGCACTCCGCCGCCCGCCAGCCGCTTTGCGATGATCACGAGCTCAAAAACCGCATCATCGCACGGTGAGTTACCACTTCGCATTCTGTCAGCCAATCTAAGACACCATGAACTCAAAAAAACCCGCATCCATGGTATGCATGGTTAGAGTGACAGCTCTGCCAGCACCCAACCACTTCGCAACAATATTATCGCACGGTGAATTACTCAATACATCAGTTCCACTATATTAACCACAAAACATCAAACTACAGCAAGTACAACGGATTGTGCTCAGAGAAATTATTCAATATGATGCCTACGGCCACTTTCTATCATCGTACGGCTCGCCATCGACAGGGAGTTCACCCTCATACCTTACAGCCTAAATGATCGCGTACAACGCGGTTTCAGAGATGTTTTCTCCCACGAACACTCAGGTTATGGAATGAGCTCCCTGCCGAGGTTTTCCCAAGAGACTACAGCGTGGGGTTCTTCAAAAGGGGGGTAAAGAGGTTTCTTCAGGGTCGGCAACGCGCGCGTAATACCTCTGGTATTGCAGGCGTTCATAGGCTACGGTAACCGCTTACCATCAGGTGGGCTGTATGCTTGTTTGCCACCTCAGTGGTATAAAAAAAAAAGTCACTTCCCAAACCTTTGCTACAATCTTAAGCCTTAACAACCACATCATTGCGCGGTCAGTTACGTCGCGGTTACTATTTTACAGCCTTTTTTAACTGCGTACGATCACAAGTCCAATAGCGTTAAAATCACATTATCAATTATCCCGAAATCACAGAGTGAAGAAGATGCTAAAGAAAAATGCCATTCAAATATAACGAGATCATCATTAAAATTTCTAACATTTATTTACAGAACCTTATATCAATATAGAATTTAAAAAAAAACTTATATTTTTCTTAACATGGAGTTACTATAATTTTTCATATATATTCATAATACATTATGACCTAGTGGGTCATAATATTATGAATAGCTTAGCGTGTTTAACTTCGCCTAAAGTCTCTTTATTGTTAGTATTTTATTTCATTTTACAGTTATTCTTACGTTGACAAGAATTCCGATACAAAGGAACATAAGCCATTAGCACCGAAGATTGAACCTAAGAAACTGGTGCGTTACCGAGACAACAAGATAGTATCGCTCAAGGGAGAGAGGTACACGGAGGTGAGTTATATAAAACTTTTTGCTCTGTTATATATTTTTATTATACATACATGCCTGCTAAAATATCTAAAAATTCTATCTTAACATGAATTCTGATTAAATTTCCCTCTGTAATACTAAATGTGAACACATACTTAAAAATATCCAGCACGAAGGTATGTCTCTCACAGTCTTCCTCATTTCAACAAATATCTCTAATCCCTAGGTACTTATGAATATGGTGATATCAATGTTTGTGCTGATCTCTACTGCTCTTAATATTTAACTATAAATTGATTTTATGAACGCTATTTTCTACTATATAGGTGCCAAAATCCGGTATCGACGAGGAACATTTGAAGAAACCCAAAAAACAGCACTGCCCTTAACCATTAAACCCACGTCAGTACGGTGTAAAAGCGGTGACTCCCGCTATATCGGTGTCCTTTATAAATTTAGTATTCCTGATATATGTCGGTGTTAGCCCCGCACGCCCCAAAGGCGCTTATAAGCGCGAACTTTCTAAGCAGACTCCTATTAGTAAGCCCATGCTTTTGTGTAAGAAAAATAATTCTATTTGTACGCGCGTACTTTCTTGTGAATCTTACAGTAAGCGCGAACTTTTATATTTTAAATCAATAATTACTATTTATAGGCGCATTTTAATGGTTTTATCGTACAATCATTATGCGCCTGAGCGCTCAACAATAGTTAATTCGCGCGGACATGTACCCGATAAGTGCATATTTTTATTTGTTGGTATGTGTATAAAGTATGGTGGAGTGGTTTTGAGTCTACTGTTAAAAGTACACGTAAACCGTGTAATGTACGTCTTGCACGATAAAAACATCGCGAAAAAATCTAGTCAAGCATATGGATATATTATTTTGAATCTCTGTTTTACAAATGTTTATGCGTTATCCTATGTCATATTGACATATTTCTCTTATGTCATATTGACAGTTAACGTCATTCTGATATTGGCTTCAGTTTTAATATTTAGTGTGGCTATGAGCCTCACTTTGAATTATGTCTTTTTAACAATTAGTTTTATTTCGACGTGTATCCCAATGATACTATTTCCGCGTTCAAAGCCCTTGCGGCGTGCGTTAGTGATTCGTGTTTGTAGTGTCTTAGATTTAGAAGCGCGTGATTCGTACATAGTTTATTTTTACCCGCTTTTTGCCGTAACTGATTTATTTTGGGTTAAGTTGTCTCGGCGACAGCAACTTAATGACATGGACTGTAGTTATGTTAAGTTTAAGTTAATTCGCACCGTATTTATTATCGTTCGTAAGCTCACGAGGCAGCTGTGTTCCAGTATTATTTTGTCTGTGGCATCGATTGTATCAAATGACGTCGTAGGGTCGGTATGTGTTCAATTTAGGAGAATTGTAACAAATTGTGCGTGCGTGTATGGTTGTCGAGCCACAGACAAGAAATTTTTATCTATGACGAATATCGGAAAGATAAAATGGCGCTCACTGAATCGTCAAAGTGACGGTGACAATTGTAAGTGTTGTTTTATCGCCCCGATTAGTAACCTCGAATTCACTCTAGTTTTAAGTGACAAGATCTGTATAATACCTGTGATTTTTAATTGTTATTATTTTATTATTAATAATGTAATTCCTATTGTAGTTTTATCGTTTTTATATACATCTGTGATTATGATGCCATTGAATTATACGATAGTTTACACCTTAAGTGGTTTTTATAATTTTAGTTTAGGATTTTTATTGCCGTTTTTCATCCGGTTCGTTATTAATTCCGTTATCTTGCTATTGTGATGTAGATTTCGTTTAGAAATCGATGTCAGTGATTCATATATTTTTAATGTAGCTAGTAATTCGAATTTTAAGCTGTCTTTAAGACAGCATTGAAATTATAGCTCTTTAGAGCAAAACTTTACATTTATTAGAAATAAACTTTGTTAATATATAATATGAAAGAACTGATACCAATTGAATTAAGCATAACATTTCCGGTTTAGAGTCCTGGTTGTGATGTAAAAAAAAAAACTCCCACAAGAAGAAATTGTGTATTGGGATGGAACGATTTTTTGTATAACTATGACATACAATAGCAATACGATTGCTCAACCAAGCTACATTGGACTATATATTAATTGCAGAGATGTTGTTTAAAAATATATAGAAATGTATGGAATGTGGATTCCGTCAGTATAAAAACTAGAAAACACGTAGAGGCTTATCTGACAGGGTGAACATATTATGCCCCGGGATGTTTGGGTCTAACAAAATGTGTAGGATGATTTCTCTAAGCCGCATTTGAAAATGTTATAATTGTCTATGGTAAGGTTTCTGCTCAATAGTGATATAAGTAGCATCATACCGTATTTATGGCTGGAATATATACTTTCAATACCCTACATCCACAAAATACAATCTCATATGAGTACTAATGGAAATAAGTTGCAATTTGTATTAAAATATTTGCAATAGATATATTAGATAAATTGGATGTAATATTGAGTATTATGGAGAGAAATGATTGACCATTGATATATGAACCAATTAGAATTTAAATTATATGAATCACTTACATCTTCGAGTTTATATGAAAATCACATTATATAAGTAACATTAGTAATTACTAAATAAAGGAATCCTGTATCTTATGATATAGGATTCCGTTATGTTCACTAGGGTTGGCAACTTCTAAAAAAATGTATTAAAGTTTGAAGGGAATGAAAATTAAACAGTATTTATGAAAGGCACATATTTTTTCGTAGTACTTACACTGGCTTGTATTTAATGATTTATATGTTTTTGAAATTCTTTACAATTCGCAGCACATTCCAAGTTTATCTTCTGGCTGTGGCTTAATAATGCTTATAATGACATTATAAAAACAGTTTACGTACCACGTTTTTGGCCAATCTAATAAATACAGGGAAATAAATTATAACTAAATTAACGAGTCTAATCGAATGGTTGGCAACATGGCAACCCTAATTCTAAATCTCGAATGTTTAGTATTCAGTATAATAATGATAATGTGATTCTCATACAAATATTTATACTCATTTTTTAATAGACTGATTCATTACGATCTCATGTGATGAGGAATGGTAATCTTCGTTTTTAGTACAGTCGCCAATAAAAATAGTCGATCAACTGTAAAGTTTCAGTATTATAATTCATATATTACTTTTTTTTATTAAATCTGATGATATATTTATTTATATCATTTGCAATGAAAGTACGTCTATGCACGATTTTTCGAGCCATTGACATGTTAACAATAATATGTTAAAAAGAACGGGCGTTTTTGTTGCCGACTGTACATTGTTCGGGTGGCCCGAATTTTCCATCTATGTATTTATTTTATCAATCTGACTATTCGTGTCGTTAATTTGAATATAACTGTAAAGTTGCCTCGTTGCCATGAAATTAGCCGAAGAATTCGATTTTAATGGATCTTGTAATTTGAATTAAATTTAATTTAATATAACTCAAAATCCAAAGCCAGTTCCGACAAAGCGGCATCTTGATAAGTCAATGAAGTATATCTATTTTGCTACCTTTGCCAGCCTCGAGCTATTCACCTCAGATATAATCTGGACGAATGATGTACAACAATACAGATAATAATTAAAAAAAAAAAAAACAGGCCTTAAGTATTGAATTTTCAAATATCTTGTCTGTTTTACATTGCGCAGTAACAGGATAGTTGTTTTGCATAAATTATAACGAAAAGATTTTAGATTTTTTTTTTATTAGTCATGTTTGCTCGCGAATTAATAAAAAATAAATAAAACGAAAACGGTTAACGGTCATGATAAAATTCGCGTCTAGTCTAGCCTAGCAAATGTAGCAGACTAATAAATATACTAATTTATTCTAAAACGACACGATTATTAATTTGGCGTTATAGTTATATTATTGTTGATTATTATGTATGAAACTGAATCAAATGATAGTGAAATCTTATGGACATATTATTGTAATGTTAGTGTTTTTTTTTTCTGTTCAAGAACAACTCGACATACAGCCTACTGAATCATAGACTGTGGTTATTTCGAAAAATTTAATACATGATTTCGTATTATTATATATTATATATATTATATAGCTATCTATTTAATATTATATACAGCGCGTAACAGAAAGAATATAATAAGCCGAAATGTATTATGCATGAAAATGTTCGTTTAGAACCTTCCATGCAAATTGCGCGGTCACGTGATCAGTTTAGTATGACAGATTCAACATTTTTATTATATTCATAATTATATTTCTAGTATATTCCACTGGGAAAGTTATAGATATTGTGACTAAATTTCAGCTTATTATATATCCGTTGTATTTTATATACTTATATTTTTGATAAATAGATTAATGGGTACATGTTAGTATAATTTTTAGCAAATATTTTATTAGATTTATTTTAATTTTTTAACCAATTATTTATTGTGGATCAAATAAATCAGTTGTTCCACATACATGATCATTATGTTGTTTTGTTTGCGATTGGCAGATCGAATGCAACTTTATGAATGATTACTAACGAAAATATAATCACACACTGAACGCTAATTACGGTCACCATAATAATTCTCATAATAAGTTTACCATGTCATTTTCAGCGCCGGTTTAGGGCTTATATATTTCTTTGCTTATTAATTGAATTTTATTTGACTTAGGATAGTTCCTATGGCAAAGATGTTGAGACATATGAATCATTTCAGTTGAATTACATGACATATAGTTATATAGTATAGAATAATAAATTTTTTTTTTATTTTTTCTGTGACTATAATGTTCACACATTTTTAATTGAGAATTTAGACAAGTTTATGATCTGTCCACTATTGGACATAACGCTATAAATGTATACCACTATTCAGATATCACTCACATTTGATTCGGTCTATACTAAGCGATTTAGCCAAAATTTTGGTGCTAAATTAGTATTGAAAATGCCAAAAGCGTTAGATAATGAATGTTTTAACAAATTGACGGTGACCATTACACGCATTTAATGTATTTTTTTTGTTGTTATTGTAAAATTGGATATTTTAATGTGATCTATAAAAGTTATGGCGCTTTTTAATTTAAATGTAGCAAAAGTATTAAAATTATAGGGCTAATGCATCATGCCCATTCCTAGATGTGATATTGTACAGTCAAATGCAGTAGTATATTGAACTTGTTTAACATTAACCTTTAATACCAATTAGAAAAAAAAATGAGTCATGTTACGACAAAGTACTATACGATTATTGCAGATGACCGTCATATCGATTGTTCGATAGTGATACCTAATCTGGGATACATATATGTACATTTATTATTAGTGATAAAAAAAAAATTAAAAAGCGCCGTAAATATTTTAATGTATTTATTGAAATTGTTGTAGACAGAGTTGTCTTATACATTATCTAAAAATGTTGAGGTTCATTAAACTAAGGTTTGATTATTATAACTGAGCGGTTAACAAAACAATATGATTTAACAAATATAACGCATCGTATATCACAAATATTAGGTATTATTACAACACAATTATTTTGGAACAATTTTATTTTATAGATATTATAGTGAAAATTCTTTATTCAAAACAGCCAATGATTTTAAAAATCGATTGGCTGTTTGGAATTTGAAATTGTAATTTGAGAATACATAAATATGACACGTTAAAAATTAATGCGATGTATTTATATATCGTAGTAGTCATATGCCCTTTGCCAACTTTTAATGACCTTTTTACATGGACTTCGTAAAAAGTTTATATGACGCTCCTACGGAGCTGCATCTATGTATAAAATTTGAGGCTAACATAAATATCACTGGACATATTTGCACAACGCCATCTAGTCCCAAATTAAGCAGTGACCACGATTGTCATACATTAAAGAATCGAATATAAAAATAATTATCAAAGTTGATTCAGATTTGTGACGAAAATATCGCGTTCTAATTTGTCTCAATTTTTGTGTACGTTACACAAAAAATTGAGGCAAATTAGAATGGCCGCTCGTCGGTAAAGTAACTACTTTAGAATCATAAATAGTTTTGATTTAATGGATAACACCAATATGGCTAACATGCAAATTTATATATTCTCATTGTATAATTCAAAGTCTGGAATGAAATTATTGTTCGAAGATGTAATTGATGTTGCAAGTACCAGTAAATTCCATTCTTGTGTTTGCTAAGGTGATAGAGCGTTATACATAATAGCAGATTGTTATAGGATTGAAGTGCTACATATATATGTATGTACAAAATTGAGCCCTATTCGAATATAAATTTGACTCTATATTCGACAGTCGTTTCCGAACCGCTCGCTTCTTATAGTAATCAAACCTAAAGCCCCTATATATATTACAACAGAACCAGTACAAAAAATCTGGCATCAAAATCACAGATTATAAAAACATTAAAACAAAAATCGCCGCATTTATTTTCTGAATATTATTATATTGTAATAAGAGGTTTTTTTTATTGAATTATTATAATTATTATTATTAAGTGTAAAATGCGATGAGCGCGCACTTTGATGTCATATCTTCGAGTCTGAACTTGAACAAACATTATATTCAATATAACGTTAAATATCCCTTGGTTTTGAATTTTATTTCGTCACTATCTTTTACCCGCGACTCCATCCGCTTGACCGAGACAAAAGTAGCGTATGTCCTTCTCCATCTCATAAAAAAGTTATATACTAAATTTCATAGTGATTGGTTATACCGTTACAGTAAATATCGTTACTTTCACATTTATAAAATTAGCAAAGATTATATCATGTCTTTCGCCTTATGAGGTTCCGTATTCGAATAACGGAAATAGAAGCTGTTTTCTTTTTCAGTCGTCGATCTATTTTTCCCACTCCAGAAAAAAAAATTGCCGCCCTTAAAATATATTTTTTTTTATACAACTTAGAATTGCAAACAAGCTGACGGCCCACCTGATGGAAAGTGGTAACTATCGCCTATATACATGAGCAGTACCATGGACATAACAGAGTATACTGTTTCGCCCATGATACCCCTATAGTAGTAATAGATAGTTGCAATTCTTGAGGACTCAGGTGTTATTCCTCTGTACCCATTAAATTCAAGCCATATCCCACCCTTCAAACCAAAACACAGCCATGCAAACACAACTGCTTCACGGTTGAAACACGAATGGGACAGAGGTACCCAAGGAATCGACTTTTGTACAAAATCTCCCTCCGCTGAGGGAAGTAAGCTGAAATATGTTAACTCGCAGAGAACTCTGGGCCCGACTGTATGTTCTTGTTAAGGTCTTTCTAGCCGATTAATACTTAAAATGTACCTGAAACTCAAGACGTAGAATACTGACCTTCTTAATGGTGTAAATAATAAAAAAATACATAGGTACTTTTATCGTATCGCCGTATGGTCGCAGCATAGAGTGGGCCACCACTTGCTTTCTCGTAAGTGTCGTAAGAGGCGAGTAAAAGAAGTTAATAATCAAGGGATGAGTAGCAGCATCCCTCAAAAGCAAAATTGCGGCTAAACCCGCCAGCCAATTGTGGCAACTGTTAGTAAAACTACAATAGGGGAGGCTTATGTTCAGCACTGGACAATAAACGGCTGATATGATGGTAATGAGGGATACTCGTATTACAATATTTGTTTCTTTACGATTCTTTGTTACTCCATTACTTTATTTAACACGTTCGGTGCGAGTGTCGAGTATGCCTCGACGGAGCTTATCCCTTCCCCCGGCCTACCGCCGAGGGTGCCTCGACGCTGGGTTTTTCATTTCAAATCCCGCCAAGGAAATTCCTTTGCTGGCGCGTGTGCCGACTACGCCTCGACAAAGCTTTTTTTAATTGAAAAACGTAATTATAATTTTTTTAAATATTTTATATGTGTATTTGGGTGCAGAAGGAATATTTTAAGAAAAAAAAAAGTGCTCGCATTTCGGAAGACCCCGGCAAATACGAGGTTTGTCCGGAAAGTACGTATAAAAGTTTTTTAAAAATTTTATTTTACAATTATTCAGGTAAATCAATTTTATCCCCTTCAAAGTACTCCCCCTGTGACATAATGCACTTGTGCCAACGCCGTTTCCACTGTGAGAAGGCTCCTTGAAAGTCCTCTGGTTGTAGGTTTCTCAGCTGCCCCGTCGTAGCTTTTTTTATCTCATTTATGTCCCCCAAATGCCGCCCCCGAAGTACCAATTTGGTTTTTGGGAACAAGAAGAAGTCACACGGGGCCAAATCCGGCGAATAGGGGGGGTGTTCGGTCACCGTAATGGAATTTTTACTCAAAAACTCACGGACAACAAGAGAGGTGTGGGCAGGGGCATTGTCGTGGTGAAGAATCCAACGCCCCTCTCGCGCCAATTCTGGACGAACTCGTGCCACACGAGCTTTGAGGCGTCTGAGCACATCGACGTAGAATTTTCCATCAACTGTCTGGCCTGGAGGGACGAATTCTTGATGGACAATCCCCCGAACATCGAAAAAAACAATCAACATTGTCTCGGCCCTCTCTGAATCTTTTTAGCCACTTGTGGACGGTTGGTTCCTTCACAGCATCATCCCCATAAACTGTTCTGAGATCGGCAAAAATTTCACGGCCATTCTTGCCGAGTTTCGAGAGAAACTTGATTACGACGCGCTGCTCTTCAACGGAAGCGGGCTCCGTGCCGACGGGGTTTCGTTAAGAGGTAACTTCACAGATGGCGTGACAAGCCAGTTCGCACCGCACGGCGGTCAGACCAGAACTGAAGCATTGTTAGGGACATAAGGAAGGGGTCCTGCGCTTACCTGGCCTCCCCACTCCTCTTTCTCGCATTCCAGAACACTTTTATACGAACTTTCCGGACAGACCTCGTACAGTGCCGCACCGAACGTGTTAAATGGTTACATCAGAATTGTACATCAAGTCATAAACTAACCACGCTATTGAGAAATAAGGATAACTGGTAATACCTATCTTACTTTAACCATGATTTTGGCTTCACGTTATCTAAGAACATTTACAATATCAAATATAAGTATATGGTAATATTATGTGCTTGCTAGATTATATACCACCTGACTTATAAATAATATAAGTTCTTAAGCGAAAGCCATAAGGACTATTTTATAATTTAATTTAACATTGAATAATAGTTTTAAATGCATAATCATAATGTCAATCAAAACAGTGGTATTTTTTACATTTTAATAATATATTTATATAGCTATTTATCGAGTTCCTTAACAGATATTAATTAGTTTAATCCAAATCCACGCGTGAGACAAGTAACTCGACATTGCCTGAAAAAGTAATAATTAATCCATTAAGAATAAATCTGTAGCTTTTATGTTACCACATCGCCAATCAGACTAAATTCAACATAACACCAAAAAGTTAGCCTATACGCGGTCACTACTCAAGGTCATAAAATGAAATTATTGATGTGATATATGAATTAGTCCGCAGTCATATAAAAATGCCTCAAGCACCGATTATACAGTGTAATAGTTTCAATTTCATGTATATTTATATATAAAGACAGAGGGGATAACCCTTACAAAATATTCGTATTTTTTTTTCATTTTCAAATTTAGAATTCAATGTAAAAGAAAAAGTCAACGCTTCAACAGCTAAAATATGATAGGTTTGAAACGTCTGACGTATTTATGAATATGGAGGTTATTAAGTAAAGCAAAGCTATTATATATAACTACCTACATAGAATAAAAAAGTATTAAATTAGAAATCGTAACGAATCTGTAGTTTGATTCTTTGCATTTTCTGATACATAAAATATATGAGTATTAAACTGCCTGTTTATGCAGAAGATACGCATAGATACGTTATCCGTACCTAGTAGGCATGGGTAATATGGATACCGGTCCGATATCTATATACTGGTTTTCTCAGGACTTTAATGGCGAAAAAAAGGCCATTCACCCATTTTGATATCATCCATATCGGTCGGATATTTATTTGCGAATATGTTAAAAGTCTGTCCAATCTAATGTTATTTTTTAGATAACAGACTTTTAATAAATTCATTATTGGACCAATATATAGATATTGTAATTAAAATATATAGATACTGCTATATATTATCTACCCGTAGTACCTAAGCATAATTGAAGTTGAAGGTTGGTATTATTTATATCATCAAAATTTGAAACAATATTTACGTCGACTTATAATTGAAAAATTACTAATTCGATAACTAGGCTAAATAAAACTACGTAGTTGAATACTAAATAAAGTTTATTAACTACAATATAAATACAATAAATAATTAAGTATTCCCAATTTTAAGGTAACTACGTGGTAATAACATAAAAATGGTCGTGCACACACCATGTTCTAAAAAGAAATCGGACTTAATTTTTTTTTTAATACAATGCCACATTTCCGTAACTTAATGGCCGCCATATTCATTTTATACTATCTTCATGTAGCCTTTAGCGCTTCCACGATAATATACAAGAGATACAAAGATACTCTATTAAATTCCAGAAAACATCGTTTAAAATTTCAAGTAGTTATGTGACCTCACAATTTGTATGAAAGAACATTTTTCTATTTCGACTTTTGCTTTTTATGGCAACAACATTTTATTTTACTCTTTGGTACATAAGAATAAAAAATATTTGTATGTGCATGACCTATTTATAATTACTACAAAATAAGATCAACAAAATCAACTTAGAATGATATTAAGCAAATTCGACAAAATAAAATGTTTTCGAAGCTAATATTTGTACAAATTTTACAAGATCTATTCATTTTTGTAATAATTATTTCTACAAACAGTAATGTACTGGTACTACTTATAAGATTTTTATAAAAAGAAAATGTAAGTTTTTACAAGAAAATTCACTAGTAATATAAAAGACAAAACATTATTGTCTTGGAAAAAAGTGTAAGGTCAGCAAAAATATATATATAATATAAAACAGAAAGCTTTCTTCTTCACGCTAACGCTTTGTATTCTTAAAAATTTATTAAAATTCAAGCTGACCATACAAACTACATGTGTAGTAAACAAATACTGAGACATATATTTCTTGGATCTCTATTGTAAATTATATAACTAATTTAGGCTGATGATAAAAATTGCCTCTAAATACGAAATCTAAAAAAACCATTTCTGAGGGTATATTACATTCGTGATTATAATAATCAGTAACTTTATATAATTTTAATGAGTCAATTTATGAAAAATATTAACAAGAGCGAATCTTATTCATGTAAAATGTTATTAACAATGAGTTCAAACTATGTACATGTTATATGACATTCATCGCGATAGGAATAATACACCTCATTTAAATGGTCCATAAAATTATCTATTCACTGTACCAAAAAGTGTTGCCATTGTACTAAAATTTTATATTTATATATAATAGAAGGGTGGGTCAGTGTCACTAAATATGGTTATTTTTATATTGTTTTTTTTTATATAAAATCAAAAATACCATCAATAAATAGAATAATTACACCAACTGGTTTTGTGAATAGACAATAATGAGATTTACATTTTGAAAATTGTAGCGTAGCACCCGATAATTTACTCTAATTATGCTGCATAAGATACAATATTTACAAGCCTATGTTACCTATGATGGCATTGACGACTTCGGTCGAGGTCGCAGTGCCACCAACGTCGGGGGTCAAGATGCGATCCTCGTTGATGGTCTTGTACACAGCTCGCTTCAGCAGATCGGCATGGAAAAAGTGGCCGAGGTGCTCAAGCATATCTATTGATGCATTGATCATAGCCACTGGGTTGGCAATGTTTTTGCCGGCTATTGCTGTGCCTGGAATCAATTAATTATACTAATTAAAATCTATTTAAAAATACTATTCAGTATACTTGTACCTAGTCTTGTAAATAGTGCACTATTTTTTATCAAAAACTATTAACACCCCTTATACATTTTTTTAAATATCTCTTTGGCATTGTCTTGTTACAATTGTATCAGTAAGATGTGACTTATTATATAGTTAACAATCTGTATTCCGCGGCTATTTTGTGTTGTTAAATAGTCTATAATTTTCTTCAAGTAATGTTATCAAATTCAAAAAGAATTTTTCAAATTCAACTACTAATAATAGGGATTAACCCCTTTAGGTCATACAAACTATTCTGCTTTATCTATGGTACATTTTTTAGGTTGTAAAATAAGATAATTAGCATCACCCTAGTTCTTAAGCGCAGTTTTATAATGGTAGTACAATGAATAAAAATTGTCATAATACATGGTATACTGGGTTGTTCATGAATTATTAATTGTATGAGCAATAATGCCCATTTTTGCTCTTAGCTTGTTTTTAGGCATTTATTTATGTAGCCTTTAAAGTGGTCAGACAATAAAGGTAAGAGAACCTTTAATTTGCTAGATTTGTGCACCTCACTCAATGTCCAATAGCTACTGTAACCATCTACCATCAGACGGGCTGTATGCTTATTTGTCATCTTTATGGTATATAAAAAAAATGTGAGATATTATTTAATGTCAATCATCTTTTCAATTATTAATAGTAAAATAATTGCCTACACTTAAGTATATAGGTTTCACCAAGTATTTAAAACTTGAAAAACCAAAGATCTTAACCATATTAGATAATGTTCCATCTCATACCTGTGTTCCTGGTACCGGGCTCGAAGACTGCGTAGTGGTCGCCATAGTTCCTACCAGAGAGCAGGCCAGCACCTCCCAGTAGTCCACAGACCACGTTGGATACAATTGACCCATAAAGGTTAGTCATCAGCATCACATCAAACTGGTGCGGCCTATTAATCAGACAGTCTATATTTTTTTTTTATACCACAAAGGTGGCAAACAAATATACAGGTCTAATGGAAAACAATCACTGTTACATACAAGGCTTGCAACAACTAGGGGTCTGAAGTGTGCATTGCTGTCCCTGAAGAAACCTTATTACACCTTTTTTGGAGAACTCCATACCATAGTCTCTAAGGAAAAGCTCGATAGGGAGCTCATTCTATAGCTGGAGCGTTCACAGGAAAAAAACTCCTCTGAAAGCTCATTGTACGTGACTATTTAGGTTTATTTAATTTCATTATAGTAAGGTAAACTATGTGTTTGTTATTCAGTCTAAGGCCTGATCCCCTCAACTCTTTTATGCGAGTCTAGCATTACTAAAATATAGTTATAAACATTTCACATGTTATAAAAATAAAGTACCATAATGCTATGCATACTTAGCGACAAGCTGCATACAACAGTTATCAATGATCATATCATTGTGCTCAATGTCAGGGTACTCCTTTGCCATCCGCCTGGATGTCTCCAGGAACAGACCATCTGATAGCTTCATAATGTTTGCCTTGTGCACTGTGGTTACCTGAAAAGTAATAATTCTATTTATAATTGGAAACGTCATGTGATCTTTTAGATCAGTTTAGTTGGTAGTTGACTGTATTAATTCCTATTTAAGTTGTAAATAATCACAAAGATAAGTACCGAAAAACCCAATCAAGCTACAATATAAATAATAGTATTGCTCAATATAGTATGACTGGTCACTTTCTCCAAACTTCTAGAAATTAAATTTGTTGATTTAGTTTTCTAAACATTCTATCTTACTTAGTCAAATTAAAGCCAGTCATATTTGTAAACAATCACATTGTTTAGTGAGTGATAAGCTTTATCAGTAATGATAAAATTACCTTCTTTCTGCCGTTTCTCTTGGCAAATTCGAATGCAAACCTAGCGACGCGTTCTGAATTACTGGCTGTCACGACTTTCATGGACTCAATAACTCCATTGACAGACTCATGTTCCAACATGGCATATTCACCTTCGGTGTTTTGCCTGAGAAGCAATTAATTCTTAAAGTTCCTTCATATATATTCATAGCCAAAAAAATGCATAGAGATGTATTGTGTGTCATGCACTAACAAGCCATGATGCTGACTACTATTATCTATGTCAAATTTTAGATTTCTTGCTCCTTCATTGCAAAAAAAAAAAAATAAGAAGCTAAAAAAAGGTCCATTCTAAAATGCTAATATATTCCAAGTCAAAGACTTCTGTTTTCTTTTGAACAAAATTATATGAAGAAAATGCCATTATAGCACATATTTAAATCTTCATATTTCTTAAAATCAAGTGAAGAATAGTTTGTTAAATCTACACTCTTCTACTAAGTTCCCTTTTCATATATAATAGGAGGCAAAAACATTCATACAGAATGCTATTTTTAACAGTATTACCAAAAAGATGTATTATCTTACCTGATAATAACAACATCAATATCCTTATGTCTAGTTGGGACACCAGGGAAGGATTTGCAGTTTAGTATATATGCATACATGTCGAGTTCATTTCGAAGAGCTACATTGCGGGAAGTTACATATGCAGCCTCACTTTTGGTCTCAATGTTGCCCTGAAAATAGTAAAAATTGCCTGATTGTTTACCATATTGTTTTTATATAATTGTTTTCACAATTGTTCTTTTTTGTAAGTAACAAATTATAAAATTTTTCTTTCATCTTCTACACAATGGTTGCCTGGTATTATTCCCTAAATGGTGCAAGAGTAAATAAATAAATAAATATTTTCCAAGAAATTAGTATAAACCACATCTGTAACTAAAATAAAGTTTAATGTGTAATAATGTTTTACATTTTTACAAGTAATTATTTATTTAATATAATTTACCTATCTAAAATCGAGAATCATATATTAAATAAATTATATACTGTTTTAAAAAATATATAAATTACTATTAATATATTAAACATTATATACCCAAATTAAACTGAGAATGTACTAAGAAATAAAGATGTTATTATTAAAACATTAATAAAAATATATAAATTAAAATATGCTTGTGTATGCTATGTATTTAGAATACTTTTTACATTCCATCAAAATTATATTTTATTTTGTATAACAACAACATTTAATCAGTGTAGAAATCTCTTTTAAACTATGTTCTAAATTAAACATGTAAAATGAATAAATAAATTACAGGTTACAACTACTTACAGGAGGTAAAGTATCAATTTGTAATTGGAGGATAAACAATTATGTAATAAATCAGGTACTAGATATATTCATGAAATAAAATGTGTGACCAAAGGGTTGATCAAATTATTTATTATTTACATATATAGCAGTTGCTAATAAGAATAATTGTTTAATAATAGAAAGAAATAAAAATTTTAATTGAGCTGTTACTAGTAAAATTATTACTAGATCAACTCTGATACAGAAACCTACCTTAAGGCCGACGCCATTTCTTTTGATAGTTGTAATAGCATATTGTACATCATCATCATTGTCCATTGTTGGGTCAATATCCACTACCTCAAAGTCAACAGGGGCACCAATATACCTGTAATTCGAGAATCTATAATTACAATTTGATCAATTGATTATTTCAAATAACTGTGATAAAAAAAAAAACACCCCTATAATAAGCCTCTGCTCCTTAAATGTCAGGGCAGGATTGTTGAATACTTTTCAACAAAAACAAAATAAATAATATACCACAGTATTACAATAAAAATAACTGCCATTATGAAGAAACACTTAAATTGTAACATTTAATAATCATTAAAGAAAACTTAGCAAGAATTTAATATCTCTACAGTTGAGAGTAAGGGCAGAGACTGGTTACATCCAGCCAAATCTTATTCATTTTTACAATATGGTGAATATAGTAAAATAATACAAATGTAGGCTATATTTGTATTTAAATCCATTTATAATATTTTTTATGTAAGTTGGTACAGCAAAGAAGCTAATGACTTATCTGATATAATTCATCATCTACAAACATAATAGACAAACAAACATAATGTTACCTCATCCATATCCTGTAATTCCAACTTCATTTTAAACCGAAACACAGCCATTCAAGCACAGCTACTTTAAGGTAGAAAAGCAAGTGGAATAAAGGCAACTAAGCAGAAGACTTTTATACTAACAGTCTGCCTTGCCTGTGCTATACAAAACAAATGGAGTGCATCCAAAGTTTCAGATAGGTGAAAAACACAACAAAAAGTTAATCTTACTTGAAAATATCTCTGACGTAACCCATGCATTCGGGGCCGATGCCTCCACCAGGCAACATGGTAACGGCGTGGCGGCCACCATAATGAGCCTTTGGGATTAACTTCTGTTTCCTGATGACTGGAGTTTTATGCTGGAGATCGAAGTCTGATAGAGTAGCAGGCGCTGCGGCCGAACTCGCAAACGATACATTTCGGAATTCAGGGAGAACCTTCAATTTAGAAAATAATCTCACAGCCATCCTTTTGTTTTATTCTGCGCCAATGGAGTAAAATCTTAAAAACTCAGCTGACAGTTGTTAAATAATCACAGGAAGAGGAAAGAAAAGAAAAATTTTCTTTAATTTTAACAGCAGATGGTGCTGTAAATGTCACAGTTTTACGAGATGGCGCTGCTGTCTACTGTCAAATTGACGTTAAATTGCAAAACCAACTCACATGTTTCATTTGTTAGATTCAAGAAATACTTTATTTTACTTAGATTCTTAGAACCAATTTAATCTTTAATATAAAAAAATATTAAGTTTTTTTCACTACAAATCATAATTAAGTATATGAAAACAGCTTTCAAAAAATTATTGTGGCGGATATTGCATCTGGCAACTTTTGGTATCAAAAATGAAAATGACATGTATAGATGCCTTAGTAATCTATGTACAATTCTTTTGCACGAACGACTGCGGGAAGGGCGTCCATTTTGCTTCGCCATATTGAATTTGGTCGGACATCTTTGGACGCCATGTTTAGTCGGACATATTTTATAAACATTTTCGCGTAATATTCAAATATTTTTCAGTCTAAATAGTGAACTTTTTTTCACTGAAAACTGTGACATTGATTGTAGTGAATATTGAACAGGAAAATTCTGAATCTACGCAGTAGTCCATATCTGTCTCCAGGGGGCCGTCCAGCTTTTGTTACAAGATAAATAGAGGTAAATTATTTCTACCAAAAACATCTTACTTTTTGACACATCGTAACAAGTGTTCCTCTTTTTCTATGTAATTACGTTTTTTATGTTCCAATAAGGGAAGATTAAATGAAGGTCATGATAAGAGACTTTCGTCTTTATAATCATTGGCGTGGTCATTTTATATTTATTTAGAAAATTGGTACAAATCAATCGCTCCGGCCGGTTGCGCCAGTTCAATCACACCTGCTGCAAGCTATAGCTGTTTTTAAATACTTCAATGTAGTTCTTTATGTAGTTAAGTATATTTTATTCTCTGCGGGTGGTAACAAAGAATTTGTGCATATCAATTAGGTACTAATTCCGCAGCAGACGTAACGTTAATAGTACCTATTGCATGATAAGTGTCATTCAATACTCTTCTATACGTTCGATTTTAGAATCTTTCTACACACTATTTAACTAATTGGATCGATTCGTTCTATTTAAGTACTTATTGTAGGACTGTATGACTAAAAATATCTTTGATAAGCAGTTTATCCTATACGGTTATTTATATCATAATTGAGCATTGTTTGTGTACTTCTAATCATTTGTTTATTTTTAATGTGTTATGGAGGCAAAGGAAATAATGTTCTCATGATACAGCCATTTAGTTTTTTTTATTATCCATCAAAACTTGTTTGATAATTCTTGCTTTATTTCTATATAGTTAACCTGCATTTCCTTTTTTATTAAAATAATCAGTTTTGGTTTTTTGATATATAATCTTGGTTATAATTAAGTTTTTATTCCTAAAACTTTAATGGTCTTTGAAACTCTACCAAATTATGTAAATTATGAAATGATCAATAGATCTATTACTATTTTTAATTACCCTTAGGGTATGCACTGACCAAAATTTCCTATTTTACAGCTAAGCTTTTTGTTATACTAGTCAGATTGTAATAAATAATTAAATAAAATAATCATTCAATCATGTTAGCAAGACATTTCAAGTTGTCAAATGTCTAAACAAATATAGAGTAAATGAAAGACATTAAAAGTGGGTAGATAAATGCCCCAATATCATATTACATTATTTAAAGGCAAGTATAGGTATTACATGTAAATCTAAATATATTATATGACTATTGTTGACAAACTTGAATAAATAAATGGCAACAACAATTTCTGTTTGCCTATATAATAGATTGTATTATAATTAAAAATGTTAAATAGATAATAGGTGTGACCAATCAGAAAAATACCTACCTATTCCACTTAAAAGAAATGCTCACTTACACACCAAATACATATTGTGAGGTTATGTGTGCAATTCTTATAAATCAATTAACATTTGTAATGCGAGAACAAAATAGGATTATAAGCTTCCTGTACTCTGGTGCTTTAGTGTGAGATTATTACTGTAATGTACCTATTAATTAAATTCTGTGTTGTTGAGGTTTCAATAGCGTATTTAAAATATTAGTGGATTGCGCTGTTTCAGAGATTAATAGTTAATGAAGATAGTGACACAGGATTTTGAGGTCATTATCAAAGTCAAGATTAATTTATTCAAGTTGAGCTTCAAATCAATTATGTAACCAATGACAATAAACCCATATTTAAATTTTAAATTCAAATCTTTGTTAATGAAATTGTAATCCTGCTTGTGTTGTTAGTTTATGCTATCTAAGTATTGATAAGGATAATAGACAAGGATGAAGGCGGGTCAATCAATCCATTGTGATAAATTCAACAATGTAACCATACTTGAGTTTATCAAGCGGACTGGAGGTATTGCTAGCAATAGGGTAGCAAATACCCATTACAACAAGTCTCTTCCTTCTTGGATATTATTGATTTTTTTAAGAGAAATAGAAAAGTCAAGATCTATTAATATTCCATATTTGTTGAATCTAGCTCCACAACTAAATGCTTGTTTGAACAGGAAATAAATGGACTGACTGGATAAGGAGGTCTTTAATTAACACAATCATTTAAAAGTTATTAAACTTAGTCTAATGATATATAATAATCTTTCCATTAATTTAATAGTATAATTAACATTTCTGATTATTTAAATACTATCATAAATAAATTATAAAAGTAATTTTTTTTTTAATTTCGAAGTGCAATAGACGGAATTCTATTAGCATGGTAATAGAATAATGAATAATAATAGGCAAAGAACAGTTATTCACATAGTTTTCAATGGACTTCAAAGAAAAGGTTCTTAATTCAGCTATATTTTTTTTTTAAGTTTGTTACCATAACTCCATCAGTTTTAAACCAATTTGGATTTTTTTTTTTTTTATAAAATGGCTATACTTACATATTGGATTGAAACTGGCTTTATCATTATTAAAGTCAGTTTTTTTTTTTTTGGAAAACACAATTTTAAATTATTTTAATATCTCAAAATATATGCGAAACTAGCTTATTTTTCCTCTTACAGAGTCCATTTTTACTTATCGGGCTAAATACTATCCTATCTCTAAATTTGGAACGGATAATACGCATTTAGGAAATTTCATTAAAAACGGATAAAATGGTTTTGGAGATTAGTGTGTACCAATATTGACACGGCATTTTCATATATTAATATTTGTATTACATAACATACTGGAGTTCGACAAATAAATACAAGGGCTACTCTCACTCCATGTACAATAGTTCCTTTGTGCATATCTTAAAGTGAAAATAAACTTTTGAACTACTCACCTAAATAGTAATCTGAGAGAACAACATAGTCATCATGTTCCTTTTTCGATAGCAGGTGAAAGGTGGTGCGGTTCAAGATGATGAACCAGGAGATTATGTGCGAGGTGGAGATCGGCACGCACGGCTCCATGGTTGAGATCGATGGGGATGACCAGGTCGGAGTCAAGGTGAGTCGTCAATTGCCAACAAGCCATTATCAATTGTATTTATTATTTAAGAAAGTATCAAAATATACCTTTACATTGAAAATCTATAAAAATGAATCACGGAATGTGTTGCTAAGCGCAAATCTCGAGAACAGCTGAACTGATTTCGCTAATTCTTATTTTAGAATATTCCTTTAAGTACGAGGATGGTGCTTACAGAGAGAAAAATTTTAAAAATTTAAAAATTCTAAAAACACTTCTATACTCCCATACAAACAATTCGTAATAAGACTTAAAAGGCAATTTGAACTTTAATACCATACCATAAAGTTCAAGTGTCAGTGGAGAGGTTCCGGGAAGGCAAAACAATTGAGTGACGTTAGTATCTCAATATTTATACGATGGTAGCATTAGTCAAACAAAACAAATAGCAGATTAAATATTAAAAAAAAAATTAAAGAATCGACTGTTAGGCGGTACGAAGTTCGCGGGGCCAGCTAGTAAATAATATAATAAAATGCAACTGCACATATCACACAGCGCCATCTAGTTCAGAACTAAACAAACATTGTGCTATGGATACTAGACTCTGAAAGACATACTTAAATACTTTTTATATTTTTTTTATAAATACTTTTATATACATAATGAACATCTAGGTCTAGATTCTAGACCAATACAAACAGACATGACTAATACGAATATTTGTATTGTATGAAAATCGAACTCTTGACTATTGGTAGGTGAAACAATGTGTTAAGGTCATCTCAAGAGTAAAATATTTTACACGTTAAGTTACAAATGTACCTTATTCTACCGATTTGTAACTATTATATAGTAAATAAAAAGACTACTATATATTTAAAAAAAAAAAATTGAATGAAAGTTATCTTAGTCTTTTAGTAAATCTATTCTCATTATGAAAATATATAAATATGCACATATTCACAACTACAACTAGAATTATTCTTGGCTGATTAACATATAGTACACCACGCGGAAGTTATTCGACTCCATAATTTAAGCTTCAAGAACTGCAATATTCATTTGATTTACAACTTCCTGCATACAAAGTAACGTTCCATATTGAAAATTATATTAAATCTGCCTATTAGCATGCCGTTTGAACTTATGATTATGTGACAGCGTATATGTGAAACAAAACAATCTCAACACCTACTTATATTGAATGTACATACTATGTTTTACATATCTCTAACGAATGCAAGTGGCAACAGCTTCTGAGTGTGAATGTATACTCAAATACGAAACGAGATATAGCAATCTATACTAAATGTGGCCTTATGGCCGATTTTCCTAGCTTTTTATTCCTAGCCGGGTATCGAACTCTCCTGACATAAACCAGTAAGATAAAGTAAATGACCCATTATTATCATGCTTCTATTAGTTACGCCTATAACCTATACCGCCACCGAGTATCCTTACGGAAATACCTTTTCACACTAAGCTAGATGTGTAAAAGGAATCACAAATCTCGTTTTTAATTTTCCACACAAAACCACAGATGTAATAGATGTAATATAAAATATTCCCAGTGGCGTTAAAACCGGATAGCACTCACGTTACGTTAATACGGCATAAACACTGAACACTTGCATGCATCTGACATGAAACTATGTGAATAAGTTTATACAAAATGTTAACATTTTTTCTCTATTTCTGAAAAATATTGATAGGCCGTTGCCCCATAGCTGTCAATAGCAAATAAAATCCCTTCAATTAACTCGTACCATATTTCAACGCATGTTGAATTAATACAATATCTTTTAAATACACAAACGGGACTTACGCAATAAAACCTTTGCAGATAAACAATACCTACATACCTGTTTCTTTATTGCCGATAATTTAATTTAATGTATAATTAACATAGAACTACAGTTCTAGAGATCCCCTTAAATAGTTTTATGGGACTCTTGATACCTACATTCTTATAATACCTGCATTCTTACATTTCCACATAATTGTAATCTCTATTATATTTGTGTTCTAGTATGAAGAGATAGAAGCAGCTCAATATGAGGAGTACATAACGGATGATCAATATGAAGAAGTGGAAGAACAAGTCATTGGTATGCAGCATTTGGAGGAAGGTACTTAATTCAACATCTTGTATTACTATACTAAACATACCCTTATATCTGGAACCCACACAGATAATGTTCACAATGTTACAAAATTATGACCAAATAGATTTATTTTACTGCACTATAGGTTATCAAATGATACTGAGGTGACTACATCTAATTAATAGAAGCTTTATATCTATGACAATAAGGCTTTTTGTAACTACAAGTGAGTTAAATTTCAGTGGCAATATATATATATATATATATATATATATATATATATATATATATATATATATATATATATATATATATATTTTAAAGTAGACTACAATGTAAATATCAATATTATAAATTGGGTAAAACTTTTCAGAACAAATCAAAGTATAATAAGTTTACGTTCTGAGCAAAATCAAATATGTAGTAATCTCTAACCCGGTTATGGTATAAGTACTTAGTTATTCTTATGTAAATGACAATGAATTCATGTCCATTTTATTTCCTCATTTTTTTTTTATTTATTTTATGTTATTTTTCTTTCGTTTGTTATTATTATTTTATTTCTGCTCTCTCTTTCTCTATTATCACTTTTAATTCATCATAATTTGTTTTCATTCCTTTATATCATAGATCCAGCTCCTGTCCAGCCCTGTATTGCACGCACTTATACAGCTAACATGCGGCCAACGTTATGATTTTGAGTGAGACGGGTTTATAGTTTTGTCTGCATTTCACCAACGGCGTAGTAGCCCCGGGTGTTGATTGCTTTTGTTATTTTTTTGTCTCTAAAATAGAAAGTGGATATAGCTTATAAGCCACAATGGGTTTGAATAATTTACCTCAATATTAAAGTGAACTAATCCTGTCAACCGGAAGTAAGCCGAAATCAAATTGAAATCGTTTTATTATATAGCATATTTTTTAGTCACTTATGCACTTGTGTAATTTTTGTAGAGTAATGTAAAAGTCAACTACTACGCCCGTCTCTCTGTCGTATTTCCTAGAGAGTTAAGACTAATTATGAATACTAAACCCCTACACGGTGTTAAGGTCTAAAATAAGCACAATATTAAACTCTCATCTTTTTTATTTAATTTTCTTTTTTATTGAATACACTTTACCGATAATCCTACTTTCAACGAAAATTCACCCGATTTGGAAATGTCGGCTCGTTGCTGACAGATTACAAAATTGCAGTTGGCAGTGAGGAGGTGATACTGCCCGGTATATCTGGCGAGGAGGTGTTGAACCCTAACGAGAACCCGTACGACCCGATATACCAAACCCCGCCATCTAGCAGCAGGTATGTATATTTTTATTTCTTTTATAAAACTCTTACATTTATACGGTCTTACTACAAAAATAATTAAACATTTGGCTCAATTTATTTATTTATTCATTAAAAGCATTCTCTCCCAGTCAACCTTAGAGAAGTGTCAGTATACTCGAATGCGTTACTAGTAATAATTGATATACATACATACAAAATTTTACTAATATAAACAATACATATGTACACATGTATAAAATATATTGTACACGAAGATGAGAATAATAGATAGTACTTACTGATTCTCTTAATGATTACTCGATTCTTAGGCGTTATTTCTTTAAACCTATCCTCTTAACCAAATATTAGAATTTTATATTTTCTCAAAATTAATCCTTTTATGGACAATCATAAATTAAATTTATAATAGTTTTAAATCTATTAGAAATTTTGTAGAACCTATTCATAAAGATTTCGTTATGATATCAAACTGAAATTTAATTTTTAGTTAAGTGGTGCCTTAGAATCCACTTTACTATGTATCTATATAGATTTTAACAGAACCATAGAATTTACTTCTACATTGCTGTATCAATATGTAATGTATACCAGATTATAAATCGGACCTTCAGGAATACAACTGAAACTGCACCCAATTTGTTGCTGTTGTTTTTACGTTATGTCGATTCAAACATACAAGATAAACAAACTTTCTAAAATTATTATTTTGGCATCAATTCACCTTGTTAAGACCATTCAAGAAAAAATATTCTTAAATATTTCCCAAGCACAGACATAGCCTAGTTGCGATTTCTTTTTATTAATTAGTAAGATAATCTATAGATTATTGTAACAAAATTTACACCTTTTATTTTTAATAAATAATACTTTGTTTTGTTTAGACATAAACAGATGTTATATACGCTTTTGTAAATATGTTTTGAATAGTCGTTTGTATTTTTTTTGTATGACGCATAATCTTTAATTATTTATTTATATGCTTTTGTACATTCACTTCTAATAAAGATATTAGGTTATAATGAAATATACAAAGGCAACCTTGAGAATCTGAAAGGTGCGTACTACAGAGTATAGATAAATAAAATTATAAATATTTATAAACATAAAATAACTATTATACATATAAATAACTTAACTGTCAATTGTATTGTAAATTTTTTTTATTTGAGCTTTGAGGCATGAATGGTCTGCGCCATTCTGATATCATTTGGGAGGGAATTCTAAATTTTTTTTTTCCAAAATTTCCAAAGCAGCTTGCACTGTAAAGGATTTGGTTGGTTTCTTTAATAAGACTACCTAAGCATCACTTATAGTCTGATGAATTATAATTTAAATAAAATGTAAATAAACGAATAATTGACACAACCAAAAGATAGTAAACACACACTTCCTAATCTCCCTCCGTTTCCTTCCCAATCCTATTCCAAGCTTGTGAGCACATCCAACTTTAAAAAAAAATATAACACTTTCCTGAAGTTGACTGAGAGAGAAAGCTTTGAGAATAAAGTCCGCCTTGTACACATGTACTAATGAATAAGTAAATAAGATAGTAGAAAAAACGATAAATTAATTATTTCGATTTGTTACTAATTATACTTAAAGAACGTTTATAATTTTAACAAAACTTGATTACATTTACATTAAGTTGTCGAAGTCTAACAACGTTTTGCATTATCTACCGATTTTCATTGTCTATTTAAAAAGTGCTTCTATTATTATACTACCACCACATAGTGCCTAAACCTAGTGTACAATTTTTTTCTTTGATATGTACATAATAGTATTTACATCAAAATAGAAACCAGAACATAGAGTACTTATTTGAGAGAAAATTATATAATATATTAATAGGCAAATATAAAGGCAAACAAGACAGCGCCATGCTGATTTTAATAAATTTATTAAAGTCAAAAGAGATCGCTGACTCGTCCCGGAAGTGCTATAAACATTTATGTATATTGATAATATAAAAATAATAGGCCACATATATAAACTGCTTCTTTACGTCATTTAACAATATGATATTTGTTCCAGAAGAGGTCGAGGCAGACCCCGTGCCAATGCTAACATAGCAAACAATATTCACCATCTGATGCCCATTGGTAAGTTATAAACTTATATGTCACAATATCAAAATCATATTGTTTTTTTTTTTGTCTGGGAATTGAGTTTAATTCGAACTGATGATAGGAAAACATCACAGTACAAACCCCTATACAAGAGGTAAATGAATCCATCTATGAAATCGATAGAATGAGATAGCGTCGTGTGCTGTCTCATTCTATCTTATGCACTCACGATAACTATTCCATCATTAGATTCGTTTACCGTTTCTAAGAAGCCATGATTTTTAGCATCATCGATCGTATTGGCAATGTATTTATTATATTCTTGTAAAAAGATGTAAGAGTTATTTAAAAATTTGAATTATGATAAAGTGGAAGTTAATAACTAGTTTTGAACTGAACAATTTCTCACAGTATTAATATGTATTGTCTTTTATCTCTCTCATATGTAATTTTGCTGAAAAAAAAATCATAGAGTATTGACATTTTCTAAACAAGAATGTGCATGCACTGTTATCTGTATCTATTATTAATTTTTATCACTGTCTATTTAGCCATAAAAAAACAACCAGTCAGACTTCACATTTATATTATTAAATCGGCTTTTGCTTTCCAGGCGAGGTGCCCATGGGCCTAATGGAGGGAGTGGGCACTAACCGCGGCACAGCGCGCCGGTGGGAACAGAAACAAGTACAGATCAAGACTATGGAGGGCGAGTTCTCAGTTACTATGTGGGCTACTGGTGAAGATGATGGTATTTATTTTATTTTTTTAATTATTTAAATACAATATTAGCGATCTGCCCCAACTTTGCATAAGTAAAAAATACAAATAGATAAATTAATAATAGAATAGAAAGAAAAATTTGTATTTTATGTTAGCATTGAGCATGTTTGATAGGCAGCAGCTTCCCTCTTTAGACATCTCCAAAGCCTTCGGTTGTCAATCCACCTGCCGTGGCAACTACTGGCAAAACCCCCCAAGGAAGAAGCTTATATTCAACAGTGGACTCATATGATGATAATGATGATTAGCATTAATAAGCAAATTTTTGATACCTTTGGTTGGAATATGCAAAAATCTATATCAGTGGTCTTGATAAGGGCAAAACAATAATTATTAGAAATTTTCTCTATGCGTCTATTATGTTTGTTTCGTAATCAAAACTAAACAAACTAAACCTACTTCAATTGGATGTGGTTCTCACATTTCTATTCCTGAAATCATATTTAGAATTTATGTTAAACCATAAATTCTGAATATGTTTTATCTTAGACCATCAAAAAGTTGTATCTATTTCATTAATTTTCGCACTTCTGCAATTCACGGGTATTAAATAGCCGGCAAAAAGTTACTTCTGTAAATAGCTGTTATTTTCTATTGGTCTAAGTAAACAATAAATAAAATAGTATTTTATTAAAATCAACAAAAAAGTATACTTCTAAAGGTATACATGTGAAATTTAATCTTTTTCAATTATACTTAGCATAATTATTCATTCCAAGTACCTTTTTATTATATAGTATAAGTTAATTTGTCTTTCTACCTGTGTGAAGCCGGGGCTGGTTGCTAGTATATAATAGGGATTTTATAGCAACACAATACAATCATATTACTCAAGTCTTCCATATGTTATGGAACACAGCGTAGTCTGAACTCTCTATCGCAAATACACTGACTAATTCTGACCCACAGTATAATCTGGGTTTTTGGATAAACCGTGCAGTGGCCATCTCTTCAAGGCCGCCACCACGGACCGGCGTCTAGCCCGTCAGAAATTTAGACTGTGAGCTTTACAATTTATCAAAAAAAAAATGTATGCAACAATGACACCAGTTAATGACTCGCTTTATAATTAAAATATTATTTTCAGATGATGGTTCAAACCCTGAGCCCGATCCAGACTACACGGAGTACATGACTGGAAAGAAAAATATATTAGGCAGTGAAACTATGCCAGGTAACTGTTGGTATATTTTGTTAGCGGTTAGTTACAAGTTGTATACATATACAGATATACCAGAAGAAGTCTTTGTACAAAAGTTATTTACTTGGGTACCTCTGTCACATTCGTGTTTCTACCGTGAATCAGTTGTTATCATGGCTGTGTTTCGTTTTGAAAGGTGAGATATGGCTGTAAATTTACACGGTACAGAGATATAACACTAGTCCTTAGAAATATATAAATTGTGAGTTATAGTTACTTTTTTTTCACCTTAGAAATGGCAACACATAGAGGATATTATGAGCGAAACAGTATACTCTGTTATGTTCATGTCAATAGGTGACGGTTACCACTAAGGTAGACCATCAGCTTGTTTATCATTCTAAGTTGCATAAAAAAATTAACTTATAACTTTGAAAAAGAACTTAACCAATCACTATTAATATTGGTATACACATACTAAATGGGATGGAGAAGGATATGGGCTACTTTTTATCCCGGTTAGTAAACATACCCCGGCCATGTGGACGAAGTCGCGGGTGAAAACTAATATGTAATCTATTTCTTTGTTTTGTTTAAGGAATGTCGTTTTTATTGTTTGCATTATAATACTCATAATAAAATAACAGCAAACTTCCTGGTTTTATTTGAAATTAATACTGACACATTCTAATTAATTGGCACCTCAAAAATTTTGAAAATGAGTTAAATTATTTTGCTGCAGGTTCCATATAGGAAAGGTAGCCTGTTACTAAATAATGTGATTGTCTAATACGATAAATACCATTTCAGGTCTAGACTTGTCAGATCCCAAGCAGTTAGCGGAATTCGCCAGGCCCGGTCATAAGATACGGTTAAAGAAGCCTTCACCAGAATCATCTGATAGAACTATAGGTAAGTCACATTCTTACTAAACGAACATCTTAATTGACAAATTAGCTGTGTAACCTTCACCTATAGCCCCTACCTGGTGCCGCAACTGCGTATACTAATAGCACACACGCGGTAGCTATTTATTATGGTTTACCGAGTACAGCATGAAACAATAGATGGCAACACTGGAGGTGCTTAAAATTGGTTAACTCAAGTACTTAAATTTTTTTTTTACGTGTGTATGGACGACTTTTAAAAATTGTATTGTATCGAGGCAATGTCCTTTTTTTGTCAAAAATTGTATTTTATAACATTTGTCGAATAAAATCTAAAAATCGAGCTTATTTTTTATCAATTATACCACACTGCCATCTACTGCAGACATGAGTACATATCAGGTCTATTCAAATAATATCCCTAGAGATGTCAACTAGACAACCTTGTCTCAAAAATTTATATATAATTTACAAAAAATAATACATATATACATTTTGTACAAAGTCTAAGTAAATAGTTACTAATTATTAAATATTTTTTTCGACAGCATGTCCACACAAGGGCTGCACGAAAATGTTCCGTGATAACTCCGCCATGCGCAAACATCTACACACACACGGACCGCGAGTGCATGTGTGCGCCGAGTGTGGTTTGTATTAATATATAAAAATATATTCACTGTAAGCCATGTCAGATACCTTTGTGTATATCAAAGATGACCTAGAAACTATTGACCCTCACATTTTACCAGAGGGAGACTTTGTACAAAAGTTGATTGCTTGGGTACCACTGTCCCATTCGTGTTTCAACCGTGAAGCAGTTGTGCTTGCATGGCTGTGTTTCGGTTTGAAGGATGGGATATGGCGTGAATTTACTGGGTACAGAGGAATAACACCTGAGTCCTCAGGAATAGCAACGCGTGAGGAGTATCATGGGTGAAACAGTATACTCTGTTATGTCCATGGTACTGCTCATGTCTATAGGCGACGGTTACCATTTTCCATCAGGTGGGCCGTCAGCTTGTTTGCCATTCTAAGTTGTATAAAAAAAATCATGAGTTTGTGTCTATAATTTGAAATATTGAACTTTATGAGTATTGACAAAGAAACACTTATAATCGTCTGTGACAAAATAAAACTGTATATGGATGGATACAACAATTATGTAATATTCCAAACCAAATTGCAGAGTGACCAAGCTGAAAAGATCTTATTTCTGGGAAACTACAGGGCTAAGGTGCCTCATTGTATGAAATAGTAAAACTTACGAGAGCGTATATCTCTAGACGATATATAGCGTAGCACAACACACGTGATGAAAGCTCAAAGACCTATAATAAATAGATTATCCTTTAAACAAAATAACAAAGTACAGTCAACACCAGTTACCAACAGAACAGTTCATGCCTAGCAGCTACATACATAAGTGTAAATTTTATTTGCAAATTTTTATTTAATTTCAATATATGACAATTATTATTCCAGGTAAGGCATTTGTAGAGAGTTCCAAGTTAAAACGTCACCAGTTGGTGCATACTGGAGAGAAGCCATTCCAGTGCACGTTTGAGGGGTGCGGCAAGAGGTTCTCATTGGACTTCAACCTCAGGTATGACTCATTACCAATTTATCGAGGTATATTTTATATTTGATATATATCACAGGTCAGTTAGCCCATCATGATGAATTCATCAGGAATTAACCATGATAGTTTCCAGGGAGAACCGCGAGGAGGTCGACCTGGTTGGGTATATTGCTAGCAATGGAATTCTCAGTATCCATTACTTACAATCTCTTCCCCCCCCCCCCCCGGTATATTTTATATCTAATATAAAATATATATATATTTTATGGTCATAGAAAATAATGTAGTACTTTGACTTAAACTTTATTGTTGTTTATTTTTAAATCGTGTAAATTTCATCAGGCCATTGTCCCTCTAGACAATGACAGCGAAAAAAAGTTTATTACCTATTTCGATATCATCCATACCAATGGGATATCTTAAGTGTTTAAGAGCAATAGAAGCCAGAACAATATTTTTTAAGAAATTTTGTCTGTGTGCTTAATCCAGTGTCACATAAAAACTACTGCATCAAATTGGTTGCATCAATCGCTTTATGTTTTACTTTATTGATATTCACGCATACGAGGTAAAAGTCGAAAAGCATGTCTACTTGAAAGTAAAATAATATTTATTTCAACTATTACTTTTATTTCAGAACCCATGTTCGTATTCACACCGGGGACCGTCCATACGTTTGCCCGTTCGATGGGTGCAACAAGAAATTCGCACAGTCCACCAACCTCAAGTCGCACATACTCACACACGCTAAAGCCAAGTATGTATGTCCAAATACATTTATGTAGTCTAGCAAATTTGTTATGTTGCGAAACAAATTGCCAGTATTTTCTTAAGCACAAATCCTCAATAATTTTTTTTTAATGTTTGAAAATGGAATAGTAACCCCATCTGTGTTATCACTATACGCTAGTGAGGCACAAATAAAAGATGATAGGTGGAGAAGAAAGCAGGTTATTTGGCCTATAGTGACCCCATTCTAGACTCCATGTATCTAACTATCCCTTTCCCCTCCAGCTCAGTTGATGTTTAAATACTCAATTGGTTGGAAATAGTTGTAAATTTGTGTATTTATAATATTTAAATGAACCTATTTAATTTAAACTGAAAAATCTCTAGTTATTTATATTAAAAAAAAAAAAATATTGAAATAATATTTATTTCATTGTTTTAACCTTCATTATTTCAATTATTAATCTAGTTTTTTATTTGTTACAGCCTCCCCCGCCCTATGCTAGTGGTAAATGAATCTATATACATAAATTAGATACAGTTTCATTAAGAAATTTAAGAAAGAAGATATCAGACTATAATTCTATCTCACTTATATGATGATAGCATAATAACCTATCTTTGAATAGATTCATTTTCGACTTGTCTAGGGATCAGGATTCTTTTTTTATTTATATATCATAAACCTGTCAAATGGTCAATTCCAGATCTAGAAGTTCCCTATCACGCAACAGCGGCAATAATTACGAATCGGCGCGAACGACACCACAATTCGTACAGCTAGAGATGTCACCTGACGACTCTAACCCCCAGCTCATCTTCTACGCACATGACTGAAGTTCCGCACAGCTCGCCACTATCGCCACGTCCACCACGCTCACCAAGCATCTTTACACCAATACTCGGGGGCTGGTACGAGTGTTGTGACGTATCGTGCGATGACGCTCTAGTGTAGTGCTAATTAAAATTGTGAATGCGAGACTCGAATAGCAAGACTCTGATGCAGATTTGCAAGACTGGTGATTGATAGTAACATAGTGTTATAATTTTGTAGTTGTTTTAGTGTAAATTGGATGTGACCAAAGTTGGAGTAATTAGATAGAATAACGAACGCCATTTTCTTTATTAGAGACAGTATTTTCTCTGTCCGCCCATACCTGTATAAACTATGGTACCTTCTGGGCATTCAAAACAATGTTTATGTACTATGTATAGTAATCTCTCTTTATCTCTGCCATTTTTCTTAATAGATGAAACTTTCAATATATTTTGAAATAAAAAAAGAACATGAAATAATTATGTTTTTAGAAATTCTAAAGCAAATACAATAAAATACATTAAGTCTTAGATATCTACTAGTTGTTTGCTTAGAAACAAACATGTAGATGATTCTAAATCTGTTCAAACTCAAATCATTTTAATAACTTTTTTTAAACAATTTTTCAGAAGTTTGAGAGTCTACCGTGAAGTGAAATTCCGAATTTTCGGACTTAATTTCATGTTTTCGTCGTTCATACCGTAATTGGATCAGTAAAAAGAGCTTAACATTTCATTCGTTATTTTCTTAACAATATATTAACATTTTATGATAATAGTTCAAAGAAACTTTTTAATATTTTTAAATGGTAAGTATTATGTAATTTTGACATTAAATTTGTATTTCGTTCGGCCCCGAAATTTTGGAAAAAGTTTTATGGTAGGCCCTCTGTTTCACGTGCTTACCCAAACTGAAGATGAGCAAATTCTCTGACGTGGATACATTACTATACATAATATAAAAATAAGAAATATTGTTTGTTGCTGTAATTGCAACAATGACTTATACTAATACAAATTTTTGCACTTGTCTAAATATGTTCACCTTATCAAAACTTGAAATAATGTTTATTGATTAAATATTTTTGTATACTAGTTGGCAGGGAAGTATACGAGAGGCCTGATGATAAGTGGTAGTTACTGTAGCTTATAGATGCCTGCTCCATGTGACGTAATACATGTAACATACTGTTAAGCAACTGATCACGCGCTGGGATGATGCTAGTCCTAGATGCTTTATCACATGCGCCAAATAATGTCCAATCTTTCCCACATCTAGAAATTTGTATTATTTTGATAATAAAATCATTAAATATTGTGTGACTTGAGAACTGACTGAACCAATTTATCTATTTTTTAATATTTTAAATAGCCCAATTAAGATAAAAAAATGTAAATTAACAATTGTCATCATACTTTCAAATGCAAGAACTTAATTTCTGTCTACCTATATTTCAACTAGATATTTCTAAGAACGGCTTAGTATGAAATACAGCTTGTTAGGCATGAGTAATATTGTGTATGTGTGATAATGAAGCGCAACTATATATTGGATTTTAAATATATCCTTACTATACATAGGCCTCCCCTATAGACAACCATAAGAAACGGTCCTAAGTCACTTGCATCCACTGGCTCCCTGCAATTAATTTGAGGTCGTCTCTCCAACCAGTAGGGGTTCATTAGACACTGTATTTGCCCATATAGGGGTATTCTAAACTGTATTTGCCCGTACTGGGTCGCTACTCAAGAACTTTTTTTCACAATTGGTCTTTGAGTTATATAACCAGCCCATAAGGGCATATCGCTATGCTCGAAGTTTCTTTGTGTAACTGAAATGAGGACATCTGAAATAACCAAAGTGACCAATATAGCCTGAAGGATAAGCAAGCTAAAGTAGCAATTGTGGGTAAAAGTTGCTAAATATATAAAAAAAGATTGACAAATATTTAATTTATAATATATGTCGCCCTCCACTTGCTTGTTACGTGTATTATGTCAATGATTTTTTTAATGAATAAAAATGGAATGGTAATTTCGCCGATAATGATTTATGTTGGCGAGATACCAATGATGAGTGTTGAATGAGGATGAAGTCAGGTACAGGGTACTATTACTGGCAATGGAGCTATGCTAATGGTATGCATTTCATCTAAGTTATTAGTGGCCCTATAGATTTATAAATCTTCAACTAAAAAAGAAATGGTCAAAATTCCTAAACACTAGGTTTAAATACCTGAGAATGTACGCTTGAATAACCTGTAAATTTTGTACTATAATTTATAGATATGCCAAAAAATAACAATTGTAATATATAAGTTGAAATAACGTTAAGTAAGGAGAATGCATAATCTTATGTGTAACTAAAAGAAAAATATGTGGCTTTGAGCCTAATATTCAATTAAATCATAACAGATTTTTATTTTCAGTATTGCTTTCTTCATTATTCTAGTAAATTGAATTATTTGTTTCAATGAACTTTTATTACTAACGTAAGTGTAATGTGTCCTGGGACCTTTTCTTCCTTTACATGTTTATTTTCAAGTTATCTTATGTAAGCAATATCATATCCCAACAGTAAAATTGAAGATAACCTTCTGAAATTACAGTAAAATCGCAATTTTATTTAATTAATAATTTACATAGTGATTAAAATAATTTGATTTTGAAAAGGTTGAGCTTATATTCAATCTGTCATTAACCAAATGTGTATGAAGTAACTTCGTATGGTTTAAAGATGTCGCGTATTTTTTGAACTGACCACTGTTTATTTTACTATTACTATTAATAATATTTGCCATAAGTAATATCGAAATCAAGATATTTGAGTTTAAAATTCTACAAATCTGTACATAGTACTGAGAATTTTAAACTTTAATATCTTATAAATCGATAATTTTACCTATATTCTTTCATTACTTTAAACATAACCTAATTTTTTTTTTAGTTTTACTCAAATTTATATAAAATTAATAAATGTTCCTTTATAAAATGATCATACCAAAAAAGGTATGTTTATACCGTCATCGTCATTACGACGAAAATGTTTTAGTCTCACTAATATGCATTCTCCTTTAGTGCGCACATGGAAAAATTTGGTAAAACCTAAGAATTTTTCAAACATATTAATACCATATTTTTCTGAACTCACTGGCATTTCTAATTGTGTAATCAGTAGCAGCTTGTTAACCCCCAAGGAGTTAACATTACACCATATCTCTGCATCTCATAGTTTGAAAAACGATGTCAGTGCTATTTTACCATTGCAACCAATATTTTCCATATGTGCATTATTAATTTTCTTTTTTAGGGCATATTAAGAGAATTGACGATGTTACTCGTCACAAACATAAAGTTTTGTAATGACTGATGTATATATTATGTTTGTTTTTCATGGAAATTTAGCTGTATTGCATTATTTATATTGAAAACATATATTGCTTTTTAAAATTTGTTTTTAAAGGCCCTCTTGACTAAGAATTGCAATATTATGATCTTTTTTTTTTAAACATACTTTTTTTATATGTTACATCACTCCAATAAAAATTGTCAGTATATGTCTTTTTTTTCTAATATTATTTTTTTTAAACGTATCAACTACCAAAGGATCAATTTCATTACTAAAATTGTTATTAAAATAAATGTTTTCTGCTAATTGGTGTTGTAAACAAATGTATAAATAATTTATGTTCTGAAACATTGGATGGTACATGTTAGTTTAAGTAAAGAGGAGACACAGAGAACATAAAATTCCAATTATAAAAAAAGACTTCAATATACAATCAACGCCTTTTAAGTAAATTACCATGAAATTGCATGATACAAACCTTATTTATATACATATATTTTCATTCATCTGTTTCTATGTAATATACATAAATTAAATTTGTATATATATATATATATATATATATATATACAAATTTAAAAAATATCTATTAGTTGTCTAATACTCACATTATTAGCTGTATTTAATTTGGGACTAGATGGCGCGGTGAGATAAGTCTAACGCACTATATAATCTAAAAGTTTAATGCTATTATATCCACTGCTAATACAATTCCTTATATCCGATAAACATAAAAAGGGCCTTTTAATAACAAATTTATAATTGATTAAACAAAATCAATATAAGTTCCCTAAGAGTAATTTATTGGAACACATACATATTTTTTATATAATATATAATTGTGTAATATAGTGGTGCAATACAACTGAATAGTTTTCTTAATCGAAGTGAGAAGGGACAAACAATAAATTGTAAATATTTATATTAATTGTGTTTAATTTATATATCACCACATCTAAGACTAATAAATAAAATCTGATTACACCTATCAGGCAAACAGTATTGTATGAATTTTGGTGAGATAATTATGATGATAAATAAGAACAAAATGTTTCATTCCTATGGCAAAAATAGAGAAAATTGCCGCGTTATAAATAAATAAATATATGCGTTGTAATCCCAGATGGAGGTATATCATCTATTACTGGTAGACGTTATGCTACGTGCGGCACATTACGCCGAACATATTTGAATTCAACATCGCAAGCCCACTCTTTTTAGCCAAGAGATCTCTATATAAACATAAAATTAAAGACAATTTGACCTAAGGTAAAAGGACACCTAAAGGTCCCGTCAAAAAATCTAATTCATTAGCTTTTTTAATAAGGTAACTTATAAGCAACAGAAAGTTAAAGAAAACAAACCCAGACTCAATATAGAAATGTGCGTTTTCTACTGGCAATTGAACTCGAGATCTCATTTATAAAACGAGTTCACCACTGCGCTGCACTGAGTATTCTATATTATAATTCTAGCGGCCTGTCCCGGCGTCGCACGGATGGACATTTTTAACATTTCCCTTCACTGCTCTGCTCTTATTGTTCGTAGCGTGATGAAAACCTGCCCAGGAATATGAAGAATAATTGTACCAAGTTTCGTTAAAATCCGTCGAGTAGTTTTTGTTTCTATAACGAACATACAGACAGACAAAAAATTTACTGATTGCATTTTTTGCATTAGTGTCGATCAGTAATCACCCCCTGATAGTTATTTTGGAAATATATTTCATGTAGAGAATTGACCTTTACAGATTTATTATAAGTATAGATTTGTTCTTCAAGTAAAAGATAACAGAAAAAACTTTTTTCTCAAACATGCTTGGAAATGTGAGCATTATTTTGACAATCTTCTTCGAGATAAATCAAAATTGCCGTACTGGCCAGATACATGCAGGCAGCGGCCGGCAAAAGTTGTATGAAAATACATATCTGTCGTGTTTTGCGGCCAGATAAATTACTATGTAAACTCATATCTGTCCTATAATTTAAAAATGGAATGACCTTTTACTTCGAAACATAGCTACCAAGGAGGTAACTAATAAAAGGTTTTATTTAAATTTCGAACTGGCTTGCAAATAGAAAGTTGTTTATTAAAAAAAAAAACAAAGGAACATTATGGCGCGTAAAAAATTATTATTGTTGGTTATTCGTCATTGAACTTAAAAAGTAAAATTGTGTTTTTGGTTTCCGAGCATTGTTTGAGAAAAGTACTATACAAGCCTTGACCACAACTAGTCATTGATGGACGATTACGATTACGAATCTTTATGATTATGATTATGATTACGAATGTGTGCCTCGGCTACGCCTCGGCCCACATTTGCACATTCGTCCATCAATGCCTCAGTTGCTGGCCGCTGCAGTAATGTACTATAAGAAACCTCATCAAATCACTCGTCACTAATGAACAAACCTAATTATTTCAGTAACTTTGTCGAAATTACCTAAATTAATAATTTAAAAAAATCCTATATATAAATTTTGTATAATTATAACAAAATCGTTAAATATCGCTATCTTGACTGAATATCCGAACACACAATCTATTAAGCGTGTATTCGAACGCAAAATTTGACAACTAAACATTACTATTGATTGAGTGACGTGTAAAGTGTATTCGTCGGCGCCCCATAATTTTCTTATTTCTAAAAAGAAAAAGCTCAAAATGAGCTCTTTCAAACGTGATAAAAAAGAAGAGGAGGATAGTGGTGGCAATCCATATCAGAATCTGGACAAAACGATTGTATTACAAGAAGCCAGATACTTCAACCAGACTCCAGTGAATCCACGAAAATGCTGTCTGATTTTGTCGAAAGTTCTCTATTTGTTGAATCAAGGAGAAAAATTTACTACACAGGAGGCAACTGAGGCTTTTTTCGCTACAACAAAACTGTTTCAATCGAAGGATGTCATGTTACGACGTATGGTTTACTTGTGCATAAAAGAACTGAGTACACTGGCCCAAGATGTAATAATTGTTACCTCTTCCTTGACTAAAGACATGACTGGCAAGGAGGATCTATATCGAGCAGCAGCAATAAGGGCTCTATGTAGTATAACTGATAGCACCATGCTGCAAGCTATAGAGAGATATATGAAACAAGCGATTGTAGATAAGAATCCTGCAGTGAGCTCGGCGGCGCTCGTATCCGCTTTGCATTTATCGTCGACCGCTCCAGATTTAGTTCGGCGATGGGCGAATGAGGCACAGGTTCGTTATTTACTATTACCTCTAGCTTTTTCTCTGTGAATTAGGATTAAAAGGGTTCTATTTTAAATTAGAATATGGTCTATTGACATACCAATTCGCATTTAAATTTATTCACTTATTCGGACATGATTTAGTAACTTTAACTCTTTACAACCTTTTTCTTTTTTAATTTAATATAGCTGATCTAACTGATAATGTAAATTTCTATGTGAAATAATTTTATTATGGTGAAAGAATTTATAAAATTGGTCTATAATTTTTTGTACAAATAAAAATTAAATATTTTTTCTTAGTGACCTACCTAAGTGATTTTTCATGATGATATCTACTTTTTATTTCCTATCTGTAGAATCATATTTTACAACTGCTATACATTTATTTTACGCTGTATTCTCTCTGAATTAAGATGAATCTATTGATATGACATTCATACTATATATTGTATCAAAAATATTGATAAAAATCATGTACTTAAAAACATTGCTCTTCTTCCTTATCCTTCCTCTTCTAATATGTGTATATATATATATATATATATATATATATATATATATATATATATGTATCTCTGTATCTATCTATATCTGTGTATCTATGTGTGTGTGTATATATATATATATATATATATATATATATATATATATATTAGAATATATATATATTTGAGAAGTAAATTTGTATGTAAATATTTTCCAGTGGTAGTAAAGTAGTATATATAATGGAAACCTGTGTTAAAAAAGAATTTCATTTTTATAAAAAAAAGTTACCAAGTACATGACATAATTTACTTAGAAGGCTTTCTCAAATGTGTAATTGTAAAAATTTTACCTTTTATAATGTTTAAAGGAAAAGGAAGACAAAGGCATCATTATAAGTAAAATAAAAAAAATGAGGTTCTTCTGAATAATTTTGTGCACATATGTGTAAATTCTAACTCTTAAATCTTGTATTGCTTAGAAGCTTATACATCTGAGATTTACTGCTAATATAATAATAAAATTCTAGGAATATGAAAATGGTTAAGATGATAAGTTTTTGTATTTTATTTTGTTACAGGAAGCCATCAGTTCAGACAACCCAATGGTGTCATACCATGCCCTTGGAGTTGTGGCTGGTTCCAGAAAGAATGATAAGTTATCAACAGTAAAACTTGTCACCCGTCTTGCTCGTTCTCCTTTAAAATCTCCATATGCTCTTTGCCTTCTCATTCGTCTTGCTGCACAACTTGTAGAAGACGATGATTCTGAAGCATCTCAACCTTATATTGAATTTATTGAATGCTGCCTTCGCCACAAATCTGAAATGGTAATCTATGAAGCAGCTCATGCAATTGTGAACCTCCGGAAAACTGCAAGGGACCTTGCCCCCGCTGTTTCTGTGTTGCAACTCTTCTGTGGTTCTTCTAAAGCGTCATTAAGACTTGCTGGTGCTAGGACCCTGGCGAGATTGACAGCAAAACACCCTACAGCTGTTGCTGCATGTGCTGTCGACTTAGAAAACTTAATATCAGATCCAAATCGTTCTGTAGCCACTTTAGCAGTTACAACTTTGCTAGCAACAGGGGCAGAGAGTTCTGTTGATAGACTAATGAAGCAAATATCAAGTTTCGTGTCTGAAATTTCTGATGAGTTCAAAATAGTTGTCGTGAGGGCCATAAGACGCCTATGCACCAAGTTCCCGAGAAAACATCAGTCATTGGCAGCATTTTTAGCCGGGATGCTTCGAGATGAAGGTGGTTTGGAATATAAAGCTGCCATTGCTGACGCTATAATTGCTTTGGTTGAGGAAAACCCTGATGCTAAAGAGACAGGTCTAGCTCATCTATGTGAATTTATTGAAGATTGTGAACATACAGCTTTGGCTGTACGTATTCTGCATTTGTTAGGTCGCGAAGGCCCGAAATCCCGTCAACCATCACGTTACATACGTTTTATATACAACAGAGTTATCTTGGAGTCCGGACCTGTTCGTGCTGCCGCTGTTTCCGCTGTTGCCCAATTTGGTGCTCAAAGGCCTGAATTATTGCCTAACATTAGCGTTCTACTGTCAAGGTGCCAATTAGATGATGAAGATGAAGTCAGAGACAGAGCTATATATTTTAGTGCGATCTTAGAAACTGGGGATCAGCAACTGATTAATGATTACATTATAAATGTGTCTAAACCAAATCCAGTTTTGCTTGAAAAGGCTTTAAGGGACCATATCGCAACACGGCCTGAAGAACCGTTTGATATAAACGCAGTACCAACGGAAGAAGAACCAAAAGAAAATAAAGAGGCAATTGTTGAGATTGAAGTTAGGAAACCAGTTCAAGTATCGATGGAAGAGATGTATGCAGAACAATTGTCGAAGATTGCAGGTATAGAAAGGCTGGGGCCAGTATTCAAGACCAATAATCCAGTTGATTTGACAGAAGCTGAGACGGAATATAGAGTGCGTCTGATTAAGCATATTTTCGGTCGTCATGTTGTATTACAATTTGAATGTGTGAACACACTTAGCGATCAAGTACTTGAAGATGTTCATGTAAGATTGGAATGTCCACCTGAATATGAAGTAAAATCCATTACTCCATGTCAAAAATTGGTTTATGATAAACCTGACAGTGTGTTCGTCATTGTGGAATATCCAAGTGCATTTTTGGACAGTCTAGGAACCTTCGGTGCTAGCTTGGAATTTACAGTCCGCGATTGTGATCCTAATACGGGGGTTCCTGATCCTGGAGAAGGTTATGCTGACAATTATCCACTGGAAGAGTTTGAAATGGGTTGTGCTGACCAGATTCGCGCTAGAGCTGCTACAGACGATTGGGAACAAACTTGGGAGCGTGCAGCAAACGCTCCTGAAGCGTCAGACACATTTATACTGTCGCAGAATGACATAAACGATGCAGCTAAAGCTGTTTGTGAGCATCTTGGTCTGCCAAAGAATGCCATAATAGGAGAAGCTGTCAAGGAGATCCGTGGTGGTGGTATATTTAGAGGAGGAGCACCAGTATTGGTAAGAGCTCGTTTAGCAGGAGGTAGTGCTGGCATTACCATGAAGTTGGCCTCCAGATCCCCTAGAGAGGACATCGCACAATTACTTCTTGCAGCAGTAGGATAAACAGTGTAATACAATATTTGATTTCCAACTTATATGTCGAATTATAATGATATGTTTTTATAGGTTATTCTGTCATTGAGATATGTGATGTATACTTTTCATATTTTGTAGGCCTGGCCTACCATAGCCAATATTAAATGTTCATTACAAATTATTACATAATTATACATGTTATTTCCTATGAACGAGTTTTAATAATATTAACTTTCTGAAGCTATAATAATTATACTAATATGGTAACTAACATAATAGCGTGTACATAACAGGCAATAGTAAATATTTATAATAGGACAGTAGTTTTTATTAATGGGTGATAATGGTATGATAATCCCGCCAGCGTTATCGATATTCACTAGCAGGGCACTAGATTTTTTTTTTAATGGGTGAAAATGGTATGGTAACCCCGCCTGCGTTAACGGGATACACTGCCGGGGCACCAGTGAAGGGTGATCGATGAGAATGAAGACAGGCCAGTTAGCCCATCATGATGAATTCATCAGGAATTAACCATGATAGTTTCCAGGGGGAATCGCGAGGAGGTCGACCTTGTTAGGTATATTGCTAGCAATGAGATTTTTAATCTCCATTACTAACAATCCCTTTCCCCCGCAGGGCACTAGTAGGAGATTATAGGTGAAGATGAAAACAGGTCAGTTAGCCAATTGTGACGAATTCAACAGGAATTAAACACGACGGTTACCAGGAAGAAACGATTTGGTAATGTAAGGTAAATTGCTAGCAATGAAGATTACCGTCCCCATCCCTCTTCCCCTATGGAACAGTATTGAATATATTGTCATGGTCATGGCCTTGGTCTGCCTTTTTAAGCCGAACAATATTATATCGCAATATTACACTATTTCTATAGATGGTAACATACAGAATTAAATGCTAAATATTTATTTTGCCTAGAGCGGAAAATAGCCAGACGAGACATTTTAATGTCTACACAGATTCACTAAAAGACCTGGAAAAAACCGTGTATCATTGGTTTGTCATTAGTACATTAAATAAAACCAGCATTATTGATCATATTTTATTATCAATCAACTTTATAACAAATATAAAATTTGGAAAATAAAAATGTAACAAAAAATGCTTTAAAGCAACAGAAAAGGAACAGAAAATTTATAATCAACAATAATAAATTTTGAAACTTATAGCCTTATGTAACAAGGGTATAGATTGTCTAAAATAACATGGCACACTCCTCTAAAGCCCGAATTATAAACGTGTGAGTCAAATTCTTTACAAGGTTTCGACCAAGAGCTATAATACTCCAGACCGCCAGACCACTACTGAAGACGTTTCCTCAAAAACACAAACAGAAAACCACGTCTGTATATGGTAACACACATTCAAATAATTTTAGGGTTGTCATGTAGTGTAGACAATTTATAAATCTCTTTTTGTTTAATGTATTTAGAAGTAATCAAAGAATTTATTTAATGTATGTATTTAAAGATAAGTAATGATTACTTACGAGAATATTCGCGAATCAAGTTGGCCCAAGTTCTACTCAAGAGATATCTACTTACCTACATTACTGTGTAACAGTGTCCATAAAGATATATGTAACAAACGGAATATCCAGCGATACTCATAAAACTAAACTTTATACAAACTGCTTAAAACATACATTTTCTCTTATAAACTATATATTAGTGGTGGGTTATATTTTCCGAAAGGTTACAACCTTTTGAATCTTCGTCCTCAACTCCTTAGGAATAAGAACCGTGGATGTCAACTGTGATATCCAGGTGTTGATTCAGGAGCGAATCCAGCCCTCAAAAAATATGATCAAAGCCACCCGAAAATTGGCCAAGCGAGAGTCTGAGAATGAATTCGCTCATGACTCCTACAAAAGAGATGTTTACAAAATCTGGACCAAGATTTTGTTCAGTATATACCTACGTGGGCAAAGCCGATCACTAATAAATTAATAAATTTATAAAATGTTAGTATTTTCAGTCTTCATAAGTGAAAAAAGTTACAAAAACATAAAAACAATCGATACAATACCATCAGCCTATCGACGATGAAAGTGTGATATCATAACTTTGAGAATTGTGGGCATGCCTATCGTTCCCATAACGGTGGATCCGTGCTTGCATTGATTGTTTTTCCTATTAACATAACATATTGTATTATATTTATATATAAATATATGCGACGGTTGCTGCTTTCTATCAAACTACTTATTTGCCAGTCTAAATACTGTCACCTTATACGCAAATTAGACTATATGAACGCATTGGGGTCGATTCTGAATCACCATTTTTCGAAATATATTTAATTTTGACCTGCGAAATCTTTATGGAAGAATATGAACTAAATTTCTAATAGGTTTATTTAAAAAAATATTATAAATTTAGTTTAAAATAGTTCATAAAACAGTAAATTTGCGAAACTACCAAATTAAAATATTAGCTAAAGATTAAATTTAGAGAAACGGCGCCTCAGAATCGATTCTATTATATATTTACAATATATTTTGAATAGAGTGACTCAAGGTAATATTGCATTATAGAAATATTTTCACTTAAAAATAATCAGTCCAATATTCTTTAAATTTTGCATGATATACCTACACGACGTTCGACTTGACTATGAATACGAGGTCTGTCCGGAAAGTTCGTATAAAAGTGTTCTGGAATGCGAGAAAGAGGAGTGGGGAGGCCAGGTAAGCGCAGGACCCCTTCCTTATGTCCCTAACAATGCTTCAGTTCTGGTCTGACCGCCGTGCGGTGCGAACTGGCTTGTCACGCCATCTGTGAAGTTACCTCTTAACGAAACCCCGTCGGCATGGAGCCCGCTTCCGTTGAAGAGCAGCGCGTCGTAATCAAGTTTCTCTCGAAACTCGGCAAGAATGGCCGTGAAATTTTTGCCGATCTCAGAACAGTTTATGGGGATGATGCTGTGAAGGAACCAACCGTCCACAAGTGGCTAAAAAGATTCAGAGAGGGCCGAGAAAGCATCAAGAATTCGTCCCTCCAGGCCAGACAGTTGATGGAAAATTCTACGTCGATGTGCTCAGACGCCTCAAAGCTCGTGTGGCACGAGTTCGTCCAGAATTGGCGCGAGAGGGGCGTTGGATTCTTCACCACGACAATGCCCCTGCCCACACCTCTCTTGTTGTCCGTGAGTTTTTGAGTAAAAATTCCATTACGGTGACCGAACACCCCCCCTATTCGCCGGATTTGGCCCCGTGTGACTTCTTCTTGTTCCCAAAAACCAAATTGGTACTTCGGGGGCGGCATTTGGGGGACATAAATGAGATAAAAAAAGCTACGACGGGGCAGCTGAGAAACCTACAACCAGAGGACTTTCAAGGAGCCTTCTCACAGTGGAAACGGCGTTGGCACAAGTGCATTATGTCACAGGGGGAGTACTTTGAAGGGGATAAAATTGATTTACCTGAATAATTGTAAAATAAAATTTTTAAAAAACTTTTATACGTACTTTCCGGACAAACCTCGTACAGTAACATAAGGTATCAATGTAAAGATGCAGGACCGATGGAGACCTACTCCCTAATTCATAAAAAACTAAAACCTCCTACAAACCTATTTTAACTACTGCAGTGGTCTCTTTCTTTCAAATTGGGAATTAAACTAAAAAAAAAAAAAGATAAAATAGTTCAAGAGCTAAAATACGTTAATGAGACGGTTAACGTTTTTATGAATAAGAGGACTAAGTAGACTGAGATATATTGAGATAATAGTCGCTGCGAATGTATCAGAGGCGTTATAAAAGTAGATGCAGATGCGTATGAATAAAAGAATAGGTATATATACTTATTTCTAAAATGTAGTTTAACAGCACATAAAAAGTATGAAAGTTTAAAAATTTTATGATACAAACGTTACTTCAAAAGCAAATTATGAAATCTTAAACTTGCAGCAGTAAATTTATCTCTGCATCATAGAAATAACCAACTTAAACAACTTTTTATGTTTATATCATAGAAACTTATATATTAAGTACTTACTTAAGGAAAGATTAAAATCTTTTCTAAAGTTTTGACAACTATAAAATAAAAGTATATAAATTTTCTTAGCACGTATACCCACCTAGCAATAATTAAGTGACTGCCTAATAACAAACTTTTGTACTTTAAAAAGTATCAGGGTGCTTCACTAAATTCAACACCTTGAAGCAATTCTATGGCCACGATAACAATGAACACTTATAATTTATTGTCGAAAAAAATTTACCCATGCGAAGCCGGGTCTCAGTTCTAGTATTATTACATAAACGCCCAATACTCTTGACCGGTGTATCATAAAACTGGCGTGATATATAAATCGGTACAACCTTCTTTGACTTTTATCTAACCACATTTTTTAATAATGTTAGTACAGATACTCTATCTTTGGTTTCGACTACTTAAACAATAGCACCAATTACTTAATTTTTAATTAATTACCCTGTATCATGAGATACTATGAGATAGACAAGGTACATCTAATTTACCTACATAAGCTATTACGCTAAGGTCGAGCCAATTCAGAAATTTCTTAAACACCTGAGTATCAAACCGACCGACCTCATGCAATACAAAGTGCCGAATACGCTACGGTGTCATTGTACAATAACATATAATTTACCTAATATAGGTACATAACAATATCTAAATTAAAATATAGAAAATTTATGTCAATTAAGAATCTTCCATTTTTTGTCAATCTATTTCAACCGAGACCTTTTTCACGATAACATTATCAGGAACATTATCAAGGAAGTAGTGTTTCTCTTTAGATAAAATCACTTCTAAGATATAAATTATATGTATGCTTACGTACGGAGAAACATATAAATTTATACTCTATATAGTATACTTAATTCTCAAATAAATTGTAATATTTAATAGTCTGCAGCGACACTGTGCTTATTGATGCGTCGTCGTCATCAGTCAACGCTAGCATCATCTTTAGAGCATTCTCCAACATTTGTGCTTGCTCCAAACATTTTGTTACCACTTGTCTGAAAACAATACATATGTTATAGTTAATTTTAAACTTTCGCGTTGTTTACACGTATTTTTTAAATACACTATCGAGACGCGATATTTTTTTGCAGTAAATTAGTTATTTTTTAAGTTAAAAGTTAATACCTACATACTAGGTTTTATTCCCCAAGATTATAGTCTGGTCTAGATTAGGGACTGTTTTTCTTTTTCAGTATAAATTGTAAAAGTAACGTATTTTCAGAGTTACCAAATACTGTTGGCATATTTGTAAATGTTCAAACGTTCAATCTCATTTAAAACTTTTATCACTGTTATTAACTGAATCTTGCTCAGCAGTCGGTCAGCTGTTCGACTACATAGTCTGTCTATTTTTTTTTTTTTGATGGGTGAAAATGGTATGGTAACCCCGCCTGCGCTAACGAGATACGCTGGCGGAGCACCAGTGAAGGGTGATAGATGAGAATGAAAACAGGCCAGTTAGCCCATCATGATGAATTCATCAGGAATTAACCATGATAGTTTCCAGGGGGAACCGCGAGGAGGTCGACCTGGTTGGGTATATTGCTAGCAATGGGATTCTCAGTCTCCATTACTAACAATCCCTTTCCCCCCCCCCCCCCCCCCATAGTCTGTCTATTGAAGGATAGTATTGCGGATTTCAGTTCTCTTTAGTCTAAGTTGAATTGTGTCTGTTAACAAGACTCGATGTAAAATTGAAGGAATGATTTGAACGTGTAATATGTAGTATTATTGATTAATCGGTGAATTGCTCTTGCAAAATGAACTTATTATTATTACTATTGTTATTTGCCTGCAAAAAAATCTCATCCGGTTAAGCCCTAATAGCGTATTCAAAATATATACACTAGAGGAAAAAATTAAGGTATAAAAAAAAATCCCACATTTTTTGAGGTTTTTCAAGTACTTGATGTACTTGAGTTAAAAAAAATTTAGTTACCTGTATCTCGTCATTCGTTTGTCAGTAGATGCTTGTATTCCGGCTTTGATAAGTAGTTCTTTTAATTCACTGCTTTCTTTGGATTCTCTTTGAATTATACTGAAAATTAAATAAATGTAGTATCATGGCTTTGGATTCTTGCAAATTCTACGTCGCCAAATTTGCCTGTCTAATGTTACATTACAAATTATCTGTCAATCATTACTTTTAAAAACTAAGGGTGGATGTAATATCTATCGTGTAAACAACATCATCATTATCAGACTTTAACTGTCCATTGCTGAACATAAGCCTCCCCTACGAGGGGCATTTGCCAGTAGTTGCCACGCTTAGCAAGCGGATTGGCAACCGCAGTCAGGTTTTAGAGATGTTTTAATTGGGACGCTGCTGCCCATCTCTCGCCCTCTCTTAGTCGGCTCTTACGACACCCACGGGATAGTAAGGGGTGGACTATTCTATGCCGGGACCACATGGCCAGAACAATATAACTATAGCAATGGTAAACAACTGTATTCCTGTAAATCTTCTATACTAGTAGGATTAGTACTAATTACTACAAAAAAATTGAAGGCATGAAGGTCAAACCGCTTTTTCACTATTATTATTATTATGGTATATTCGTGAAGCAGTTGTGTCTGCATGGCTGTGTTTTGGTTTGAAGGGTGGGATATGGCGTGAATTTACTGGGTACAGAGGAATAACACCTGAGTCCTCAGGAATGGCAACACATGGAGGGTCTCATGGGCGAAACAGTATACTCTGTTATGTCCATGGTACTGCTCATGTCTATAGGTGACGGTTACCACTAGGTTACCATCAGTTGGGCCGTCAGCTTGTTTGCCATTCTAAGTTGTATAAAAAAAAATGCAAGGATGGAGGTTTTATGTGCATACTAATAACTGTAAGTAACTAGCTAAGTATATAATACATAGCATTATAAAGAATAATCACCCTTTCAACTTATCGATGATATTCGCAAGGTGGCAGTGCGTGAGTGACGCTTTGTTGTGGAGATGCCGTTTTTTCTCGTCTTGAATGTTTTCATCATATTTAAATTCTGCTATATTGTCATCTCTGTAATTGGTAAATATATGTTATTGTGACGAGAGACAGAGAGAGAGAAGATAAGAGAAGGATAATGTGAGAAAGAGTTGCCTACAGCTAGGGAGATTTAGCTAGTTGTTAAAATCTTCAGAATTTTAGTTGCGAGGTCTAATCCTAAGGCGTTAAATTGAAGAATCTAATATAATCATCTATTAATGGGTTATACACGTCAGCCTGTTAACCTCCAAAAATAAAGAAAGAGAGAGAGTTTTGCCACGATTGAAGTAAGTTTTTTGGTGACCTAAATTATAGAGAATAAAATAAATTCAATCCTCTTTTCACAAAAAAAGCGTATAGTTCACAAAAAAGTTAAAGTGAATTACAACTACAAAATAAATTTGCACTTTAAATACTTACATAAATTTATAAATTGATTTCAAAGAACCGCTTAATTCGATTAGAAATATTTTCAACAATGAATAAGCCTGCATACTCTCACTCTCGAAACCACTATCGTTTGTGCAATCGTCTCTGTTCGTATCCGAGCCTCCAATTGCGGATTTATTATTCGCAGTATAATCATTGTCATTATTCAATACAACAGAATCAGTATTATTTATTGTAACCTTATTTATGTCATCATCGTCAATTACGTTTACATTATTTGCAATGCTGAAACTTTCATTTCTTATACTGGATAATGGTAATGTGTTATAATCCAACGCTTCTAGGTTACACAGAATTTTCGACTTCTCCTCGAATGCATCAATTAGTCTTATATTTTTTATTACTTTAGGTCCATTATTTAGAACGTCATTTGAAGTGTCACCGTGCACGGCTGTATTAAAATAAACATCATCTCTTTCACTAACATCATGTTCTTTATCTACATTTGCACATTCTAATTGTCTTGTATAATTTGACTCGTCAAGTTTTGTAAAATTGTTATTGTCTGTACTGTCTACTTGTTGTGGAAGTTTAGTTTCATTACTGATTATTATGACGTCATTTATTTGGCATTTTACTTTTGTTTCGTTTGTCCTAGTACCTGTATATGCATCGTCTATGCCCGGTTGGGCAAGTGACAGAGATTTCGTGTTATTAATAGTTAAATTTTTTAAATTTCTCCCGAATGTACGCACTATTTTTGTATCGTTGTTAATCGTGTAGCTTTCTTCTTTCGGTGTTTCTTTTACCTCGACATTTGTCTTCCACTGCGGGAAATGTTTCTGCAGGTACTGCAGAACCTTCGATGGTTCTTTTACAACTGTTGTTTCGGGAAAATACATTTAGTTTACCGATTATATGTTATTATTTAAAATACTTGTACTTAGTTCCAATATTTTTATTGTAAAAAAATTTGTATACATACAAAAACTTACTTTTTTTTTCAACTAACTTTTTTAGTTTTTTTATGTTTGATACCTCATAAGTCCATCAGTTATAAACCGTCTTGGAAAATTCTTTTTTATCTGAATGGATATATTACAGAATGATTCCTTAAATTCTTTATAAATAAGTTCAGTAGGTTAGTTTAAAAAAAAATTGCTACGATTGAAGTTTGTTTTTTTTTTTTGTGGACACTCTGAACTTATTACAATAATATTAAGACAATATTATGATATAGTGTGATAAAAATAAATTACTCACAACATTTTCTTGGTGTTACAGTCTCTTCTTCTAAATTATGGCTGGGGACTGAATGTGGTACCAAATCTTTTTGGTCGAGTGACGGAGGCTTTTGGATGTTGTGTATCAAATTTATAAGTAATTGTTCCGCTTCCGAAAGTGCTTCACAATCTGGATAAACCGCCTGGAAAATATTACTATTTGTTCTACTACTAATATTATTTGATAGTTGGTAAACATGTTTTCTTACTCGATCATGTTTATACAGCTGGATGGATTTGAACGAAAATATAAACATAGATAAACGAGTCTAGATTAGCTCATAGGATACTTTTTCATGCAGATAAAACAATTTTTAATGGGTGTTGAGTGTGAGTGATAACGGTATACGCTTGCGAATATCGATGAGAATGAAAAAGCAGGTTAGTTAGTCCATCATGATGAAGATACCTGGAATTAAGCACGATGGTTTCCAGGGGGGGCCACTTGAAGGTCAAGGTGACAGGGTATATTGATAGCAATAGGGCTGGTAGTCCGCATTACTAACAATTACCTCCCCCCCCCCCTAGAAAAAAACATTAGGTACAGCTAATAAATTTTATAATAATACGATAAGATAGATTACATTAAGAATTACAATGTGTTTCAAGGGGGATTGTGTGAACGTCGACCTATGAAGGTACATTATTAGCAATAAAGTCCATTATTAAAGATACACTGCACTCCATCCCCCCACATCATCATCATCATCAGACATCGCACTGACATGCTGTGGCATCGAGCTTTTTTGAGTAGTAAACCAATTACTCACCTGTAAGCTCTCTAACAATATTACAGAACATCCTGTAATTTGCATAAAGTCATTCGCCTGCATATTTGAGTCCAGTTTACCTGAAATATGTAATAAAAATTAATTAATTTAAATAGAATATAAATTATACTAGAAATAAAATTATCTTTTATTTATTATATATATAATATACCGTTTTCAGAACTACTGTGCAACATTATTAATAATTTGTCTACAACCACTACCGTATTCTGGTCTTTGCAAACTTCTTTAATGCAAACCGTTGCTTCCTGGAGTGTCCATGGCGGACTTAACGGTAGGGAGTTTGAGTCCCCGCATCTCTGTAAATATTTATGTTAAATATGTATGTCAAAACGAATTTAATTGAAAACAAATGTAAGTGTTAAAATTGCAAAAAGTGTTTTTCCAAACTCAAATATTTTTTTTAATTTTTTGATGGTTTATGGCGACTATATATAATTTTTAGAGTAAGTGTACATATATCGAATATTGTATTATTTACGTGTCCATAACGGCAATAGACAATACAATAGCACTGACCCCTGGGGGACTGTCCCCACTGGGGGAGCGCTGCTACCTCCCCCCCCCCCCCATTGTAAATTCGACTTTGCAAGATTCAAGTTTATTGTATATTTCACAATAACTATTGAAGTTGACAGAACATTTGTCAGAATGAACTCAAAATATTACCTGTAATAAAATAGTCAATGCATCTTCCATAATTTGTGAGTATGAACAAAACAATTCATCAATTTTAAACTTGATTGTATCCTCCATGTCTTTATTTATCACATTGAAACTCTTCAAAATATCATCTAAAGAAGCCTCAGGATCAATTTTTTGACTCTCATCTAATACTGGCATGTTTTTGTATCCATTCTCTTTTCTAGTATGCGACAAATTCTCTTTATCAAATTGATTTTGAATTTCGAATGTACAATTTTCGCGGCCTAATTGATTTGAATTGTCAAAAACATTTTGACATCTTTGTTCTATGGTATTTGGAAAGTTAATTAATATATTTTGTAATTTATTTGGCGGTAATTCTTTTCCAGAATTTTGATTATGTGATTCGAATGAGTCTATTTGATTTTCAATTTGTCTATCTGAGTTGTAATCATATTTTTTAATTGTTACACTTTTTCTAAACATATTTTTTAAGTCTGCATTAATATCCGGACAAATTCGACTATCACGTTCATGGTCGACCTCGCATATTTTATTTTGTACAGATATACCTTCAAGATCTGTATTTTTAATTTGGTCAAATTTTATCGGAGACGTATTAGCATCCGCCATATGCTTGACTATTTGTACCTGGGACTTATCAAATAACGGTTTCCTGGATACATTAACTGTAAAATCGATGGTTTTGCTCAATAAAAAAGGGTTCAAATCATTTGCACTTTGCAAAAACAGGTTTTCATTATCGTTTTTTACACTGACGTGTAGCTTTTCCGGTTCAAACGTCACTTGCGGTTGGACGCCATGTTTGATTTCGTCCAGTTTGTAACAATGTAGGTGTAAAGATTCTGCTTTTGTATATAATTTTGCATCATTTGTTAGTAGTACCTAAAATATGAACATCAATATAAGAGAGAAATAGGCGCTATTCCCAAAATTATAGTTCCCTGATTTTTGCTTTACATGAATACATTATTTCATACAATTCACTCAAGTTAATTCGAGCTTTTTTTAAAGTTTGAAAATGAAATAGTAACTCCGCCTGCAACGCTGCCATCAGTATACGCTGAAAGTGTACTAGTGAAAGATGATAGGTGAAGATGGAAGCAGGTCAGTGTGATGAATTCCACAAGAGTTCATCACTATGTTTTCCAGATTTATTGATGCATTAATACGACATAAATCGTATTATGATTTGTATAAATACTTCAAGGTGCCGTCAATGTACATCAGATATAAGAAAAATAGTTTCGATCCATGTACCTACATTGATAAAAAAGGTGCGTGTTTTATGAACGCCATTTTTTCGGAACCTTCGATTTATAAACATTGTCACAAAAACTCATACGTCATTTCCGGACGTATTTTGACCATAGATATATCAATAAAACAATGCAAATTTAACATAATTGTAAATGTATTTATCGTTTGTTTATTTTATCATTTCAACCATTAACTGTCCACTGCTGAACATAAGCCTTTCCCATAAGGAGAGTTCTGCCAGTAGTTGCCTCGCTTGGCAGACGGATTGGCAACCGCAGCTAGGTTTTTAGATGTTTTAAAAGGGAGGCTGCTGACCATCGCTCTACCAGTAAGTTCCCTTATTATCAGTTCGAGGTGAATGTATGAATGTATGTATATATATATATATACATACATTCATACATTCATACATATATATATATATATATATATATATATATATATATATATATATATTAATATATATATATTACTACTAAAATATAAAAATTCTCCATACCACATGGTAATTTTGTCTAGACTTCTTCAGGCAACAATTCAAAATTCTATCTATCGCAGACATATTTTTGGCCGTCTCACTGGTTTCTAATTCCTGAACTGTAAAAAAGAATTAAATTGCAGAATTATCACTAAGTTTTTCCCGCAATTTGTGGATTTAGGAAGTAATTAAGCACTTTTATATGGCGCACCAACATAATCATCATAACAGCTGTTAACTGTCCAATGCTGAACCTTGACTTGGCTTTCCCCATTAGGGAAGTTTTTCCAGTAGATTCTACGTTTGGCAGGCGGGTTGGCAACCGCAGTTAGGCTTTCAGAGACGTTTTAAGAGGGACGTTTCTAGTCATCTCCCGCAAGCGCTAACTATATGCTGGCGGGGCACCAGTAAAGAATGATAGGTGAGAATGAAAAGGCAGGTCAGTTATTAACCCATTGTGTTGAATACACCTGGCATTCAGCACGATGGTTTCCAGGTAAGACCACGTGGGGGTCGACCTGACAAATGTATTACTAGCAATGGGGTTGGTAGTCCGTATTACTAACAATCCCTTCCTCTCGCAATGGGGTTGTTTTTTTAATGGGTAATAATGAAATGTTTACCCCACCTGTGATATCAGCATACACTGGCGAGGCTCCAATGAGGCATGATAGGTGAGAATAAAAAAGCAGGTCAGTTAGCCCACTGTGACGAATCTAACAATAAATCAATCACGATGGTTTCCAGGGGAAACCATGAGGAGGTCGACTTGACGGGGTATATTGATACTATCAATTGGGCTACTAATCCCTTCTCTCCATAATAGGGTTGTTGGACCCCATCACAGTCACGTCCTCCCTATTATAGAATTAGAACTTACCGACGATATGTGGGGGCGATGCGGTCAGTTTGCGGACTATATGGCGCGCAACCACTATTCGCCGCCCGCCGTCCTCACCGCGCCCTGCTGCCACCATCACCTCCATAACGCTACGGGGAACCAGGAGCCGGCAACTCGAATCTACAACACACATTCTGTTTAGATGAATTTTGATCAAACAAGCTAATTTATTATTGCCTTACACTTCCAGTTTCAAAGTTGCCTAAATATTGTTAAATAGAGATTTCTACCAAGCAAATTAAGGATGGAGAGAAATAATAAAAATTGTGTCTGCTCAAGCCCTAACAATAGAAATAATAAGACATATAAATAGCTAAAGAGAAATTTAATCAGTGACGGATGATAAGTGAGAATAAAAAGCAGGTCAGTTAGCCCACTGTGACGATTCTAACAATAAATCGATCACGATGGTTTCTAGGAGGAACCACTATTTGACCCCATTACTAACAATCCCTTTCCTCTCGCAGGGAACGGGTCGTCCTACACTGCATTTGTCCGTACATACCCCCATCGGTTATCGGTACTTCGAGCTATGTGATCAGCCCATTACCACTTCAGCTTGCTTATCCTTAATAGTATTATTATATAGTACTTATTACCTAATTTAACAAAACTGTCTATAAATGCTAACTCCTCCAACAGTATCTCAGCGTCCACTACAATATACCAGATGTCAGATTGTAGATGCGATGGAGCCAAGTTCTTTAAGATTTTCAGAGTGTTCAGTTCCTCTTCATAGGTCTGAAAAATTGACTTTAAAAATATAAGATACGGTCTAACAACAAAAAAGTCTAATTTGCGATAATCAGATATTTAACACATGTTTAAATGCTTAATTAAAAAAGCGTATCTAACATCTGCTTATGTCTATAAAAGTGGCAATTATTGTTTTGCCAATAGTTGTCACTCTTAGCAAGCGGGTTGGCAACCGCAAGCTTTTCGTGATGTTTTAAAAGGCTCGCTGCTACCCATCCCTCGAACACTAAATTCTCTTAGTCGCCTCTTACTCCACCCACAAGAAAGGAAGGGGCGGTCCCGGTATAGAACATGCCAATGTCAAAATAAGCCAGATAAATTAGTGTAGTGAACCTACACGATCGGATTAATTCCCGTCTTCTATAAAGCATAAAGTCTATCTTTTTAGAAATAGAAGCATTTACAGGAATAAATTTTATTACAAGACCGTATCCTATCATTATCTTAATAATCGTGTTTATACGATTTTGAATTATGAAATAAAAAAAAAAACACGATGGCCCTGTCAAAAACAGACTAATTTCAAAATACCTACCATAATAGGAATATAACAGTGTACACTTTTTTTTCAATGATTGGCATATTCAAAATATTTCCCTTAAAAATGGCATTTTTTTTTTATGTAACTTAGAATGGCAAACAAGCTAACGGCCCATGTATGTACTCGCAAACACGTCATTTTTAATGTATGATGACTATATGAAATAATGAAATGGTAACCCCGCCTACGGTATCGGTATACGCCGGCGGGGCACCAATGCGGGATGATAGGTGACGATGAAAGCAGGTCAGTTAGCCCATTGAGACAAATTTCACTAAAATTAACCAAGATGGTTTCCAGGGGGAACCGCGTGGAGGTCGACCTGATAGAGTGTACTGCGGCAATGGCTCTATTACTAACAATCCCCTCCCCCGACATGTTTTTGCGCGTAGTTAAGCTTCACTCGCATCCTGGGGTGGATCATCAGATAATTAGGTAGGGGAAGGAATTATTAGTAATAGGGTTCAACTGTCACATTGCTAACAATACACTCAATCACAGGGTATATCGATAGCGCAGGGGCGGGGGTTACCATTTCATAACTTTCCCATTAAAAAACAGACAATTCGATGTTGGAAACCCCACTCTCCTTACAAAAGTCTATGTACTGTGTTTCCATAAATTGAGTAATTCCGTAAATATATTTAAAATGTAACCACAAATGGTGCCCCATTATACTTACGTTGTTTACATTCCCTTCATTATCGATATAATATACATCTTCACTGCTAAAATCGTCTCGAGTCGTCAGATCAAAACTGACTCTCTTCTTCCCAATTGGTTTTGCGATTTCCTCTAAAACAGTATAACAACTTTCATTTTTAGAAACATTATTGGAATATAAAAATCATATAACAATAATTATTAACCTTATGACCGCGTATTTTTTTTTTTCACAATAATAGAACACATCGCTTTGACAACAGCAGTTTACAAGCAGTACGGGTATTTAGCCATCTACCAAAACAATGTCAATCTACCAAAACAAAAACCGCGGGATAACAACGTCAATGGACATACAAAATGCGAGAAAGTCGAAATCGCGGGGTGCTTAACAGGAGGCTAAGTAATCGAAAAATTACGAAGCGGCTGTAATTCACGTTCGCACCTTCTACGCCTGGGCGAATGCTCGAGTGCAAATTAAAGTCATTTTGCATGCATCAACATTTCATACGGTATATGCTACAGTAGAATCTCGATTCTCTGAATCAAACAAAACCAAGGGTATTCCTTATAATCGGAAATCTGGATAAACGATTTCAAAGTCAAATAAAACAATATGTAATTAAATAATAATATATTTTTATTATGTAAAAGGTTTATTCGTCATTGAAACAATACGATATAAAAAAAAATTATGACCTATAATGTATTACAAAATACCTATTGGCCACATCAATACATAATACCATTTATAAATAAGTACATAGAGCTGTAAAGAATAAGTCTGGATAATCGATGTTTAGATAATTGAGATTCTACTGTAGTTACTTTATTACAGTTGGTTGTTATACTTTCTCATAAACTTTGTATAGGTATTTTTTGTCTGTGGGATTATAGCTTCCAAAAAAAAATAGGTCAATATATCCTTTTTCAACCCCAAGGCAATAATGATTAGAGGAATAAAGCACACCACCAGAGGGAGACTTTGTACAAAAGTCGATTGCTTGGGTACCTCTGTCCCATTCGTGTTTTAACCGTGATGCAGTTGTGTTTGCATGGCTGTGTTTCGATTTGGAGGATGGGATATAGAGTAAATTTACTGGGTACAGAGGAATAACACCTGAGTCCTCAGGAATGGCAACGCATGGGGAGTATCATGGGTGAAACAGTATACTCTGTTATGTCCATGGTACTGCTCATGTCTATAGGCGACGGTTACCACTTTCCATCAGGTGGGCCGTCAGCTTGTTTGCCATTCTAAGTTGTATAAAAAAAAAAAAAAATAAAGCACAATGTCAATGTAAAACTTAAAATCAAAACCTATGCCATACCACTTGACCAGTGTGGTACTAATATGTTAATATTTTCTCTTTTGGGGATTGGTTCCCAGGAGTGGGATGTTAATCCTTACTAATTTTATAAATCTAAAAATGAGTTTCTTTGCTTGTTTGTTACCTCATAGTGTCTTACAGTTTAAACAATCACTATGAAATTTGGTAATAATACCAAGATGAGATGACGAAGGATGGAGAATATGCAATATTATGGTACTATAGGATGGAGAAGAATATAGACTACTTTTCATTCTTCTTCATCTCATATAATATCCTTCTCTTATAAGGATTAGTTCTCAAAAGGAGGATATTAATCCTTACTAATATTATAACTCTGAAAGTGTGTTTGCTTGTTTGTTAGTCATAGTGCCTTACAGTTTAAACAATCACTATGAAATTTGGTATTATATGGGATGAAGAAGGATGGAGATGTATTATTATGGTAGTATATGATGAAGAATATAGGCTACTTTTTATCCTGGTCTGTAAATATATACCAGTGAAGCAGGTGAAGTAGCAGATAAAAGCCACATACCTTCTGTATCCATAGAGAGATTACCCAAATCTATAGATTTCCTTCTTTTTGCCACCAGCAAAAATCTCAAATCAGTTTTGTCTAAAGCATCCAATTTTACAATATTTTTCTCAACATCATCCTCAACTTTATCACCTGATCTTACAGGTGATGTTTTCAGAACTGATATTGAAGTATCAGTTTTCATAGGTACTTGATTTATTTCATTCCTTGATTCTGAGTCACTTTGAAATTTTTTTTTTTCATGAGCTAATGCTAATAAAGTTCTAAATGTTACATTATTATTATTCGTTTGTACTGGGGTTGTTGGTTCAACTACTTGAGTAATTGTGATTTGGTTGTCAATTTTAGTATTTGATACATTCGTCAAGTTGCTTAATAAGTTATTTGTCTCCTTTATTTTATTTTCATCATTAAAACTTAGAAGGGGTGTTTCAAAGTTCTTAAACCTTTTAAACAAAGGAATACCACAGGTCTGTGGAACATGTGCATGGTTTTCTTCTGCAAATGTTTGTGTTTTTTGATTTACTGTTTGTTTTATTGGTGTACTGGTTACAAGTACTGGAGTTGAAAGTTGAATAGGAGTCCATATAACATTTTGCATATATGGACCTGATTCTGTAATATATTTGGGGAAGATAACTTGGCCAAATACTGGGGTTGGTTGCGTTAGGTTTACAGGCTTTTGTGGGGGATATTGATAGTTCATATAATTCACATGTGAACTAGTAGGTATTTGATAATCTGCTGGAGGACTTTTTGGTTCTGGATAATTATGGGATTTATCTGATATATTTTCTATATTATGGTCCTTTCTTACATTTTTTTTCTGAAAATAAAAATATATATTCAAGTTGGTTCTTACTTCAGAAAAATTCATGTTACTTGTATTATTGTTTTCTATACCTGAATTATATATATATATATATATATATATATATATATATATATATATATATATATATATATATATATATATATAGTATTTAAAAATATAATAATAATAAAGTACCAAACAAATAGACTAATATAAAATAAAACTACTAAAAATCTAGAGGCAAACCCCAGAACACCCAGACCTTAAAGTACAATAGAATTTCATTTATGTTTGTCAGATACTAAAACCTGGAAAATTCGTAATTTTTTTACATTATCCAGAAAGTGGTATAATAATTCATACCAGTACCTGGTTTATTAACAAAAAAAATAATATAATAATCAAATAATCAAAAGAAAATAATAATATAATTAAAGGGTTCCACCATTGCAAGTTAAATTTAAAAATAAATATATTTGTTAAATAATAATTAGTGTACTAGACACATACCTTATTTTGATAAAGCAACATTGCTCTATCGTCAAAAGTTCGTTAAAAATAAAATAAAATTTGTATACTTACATCAGTATCGTTCAAACTCCACGCGGTCTCACCATTTGTAACATTAAAATAATAGAATTTGCCTGGAAAACTTTTCGATGGACATAAAATCCAACCACTATTATCTTTCTTATTGGGATTCATTGTTTTGTTTTATATATAGTATCATATTTTATTACAACTCCACATTTTTCTTAGAATTCGATTTTTTATTCTGAATGAGAAGAAATCTGATAACTTTTGTAAACATTGAAATAAAACAACCCGCTAAACTTTTTGCTGACACCCGCGAATATTTTCATTTGTAATTTTTCTAACGAATGAGATGTGATATCACAGAGCCGGCACTGCTGGTATATTGATGTAATGGGAAAATACATCTATGCATCCATTTAGAAATATCGAAACTATAAAATAAATTAATACTCATAGTGTTTTACGAATATTTTAAATATATCTTTGTCCAAAATATGTATATAAAACATTAATATGCGCGGTAAAAGAACTGTCTACTTTATAATATAAAATTTTTAATTCTATGAACTGGAAGCATATTTATGCTTTTTTGTTCAAAGTGATGTGGGTCTGATGGGCTGAGTTACAGATTATCTCTGCTACTGTAGATGGTATAAACATGTCTGTCGTCTGAGCATAGACAGAGGATAGTAGTAGTAAAGATAGTGAAAATCTTTGGCTTTGCAAATTAGTAAAAATAGAAGGTAAACTAAATTAGGTAGGTATAGTACATGTTCCGTAGTACAGGTTATTATTTTTTTTTATTCTTCTGCTATTAGGTAATTAATTGATCGTTAATATATAATATTCTAACATATAATCCTATAATCGCTGTAATCCAAGGTTGTATTCAGTTGTAATGTTATGATATGATGACGTCATCTTTACAGAACTATACATAAGCTTCCCTAAAAAACTTCCCTATTGGAATCAAATAAACATCACATTATAATAATATTAATAAAAAATATTATATTATTTACTTATTACTGTAATACAATACATATCCTTTCAAATTCAATAGTAAAGATGGTAATCGTTTCATATGACTTAAATAGAGGACTAAACTACACTGTTTCAGTTGTCAATTAGTAAAAATTAAGCTAAAAATACCTAACATTCTAAACCTAACACGTACCTACACAGTTTCCATCACCATGTGTTCTTTTAATGAATCTTTTCATGAAATTTCCTATTTTAAATATTTAAGATAATTAAATTATTACAAGTTTAGGATCAAATGAAATCAAAGTTTCATTTTAACCCTACTAATATTATGAAATGTGAAAGTTTATAAAGACGTTTATATATATGTTACTCAATCACGCTTAAACGATTGAATAGATTTGAATAAAATTACGAGTATAACTTTATAGATATTCTAACTTAACATTTAGGTTCACGAAGGCAATGCTGTGAGGAACAGTTAGTTAAATAATAATAATAAAAAAATGCTCACGACAATAATACTTAGACGTTATTCTGACTATATTTCTTCGAGCGTATTAGAGACTAAAATGGGTTGTATCACAATAACAGAGATAATATAATACTATGCAATAGGGAATGAGCTTATCATCACTCAGATTAATTTTCCTAGTTATATCACCTAATAATTGAACGATACATAAATTTAAATATAATATCATAACCAGACGAAGACTTTGTACAAGTCTGCATGGACACTACCCTCCAATTTGCGTTTCTGCTGTGCTTGTATAGGTGGTTTGGTTTGAAGGGAATATGACAGTGATATTACAGGGTACGGAGGCATAATCTTATAATACTTAAGAATGGCAACGCATGAGGGACACCACAGGCATCATGCTGTATGCTATAACGTCCATGGTGCAGTTAATATTTAAAGGTGACAGTTATCACTATCCATCAGGTAGTCGGTTAGCTAGTTTGCCATTCTAAAAAAATATGAAAAGGTATGAGAAAAATAAAATATATGTGTATTTTTTGTTATATTGTATTTTTTATTTACAAAACATCTCCTTTATAATATTAAAATAAATTGTGTCATGTCTTAAAGCTAATAATGAGCAAGTTAGATAACAATATAGGAACAATCACAGCTACATACTACCACCCACATTGATTCTTAGTTAATTATAATTACCATACTGTACAATGTGCCGCCTTTAAACGTAGTATAACGTTCTCATTACATCGATCTTTGAAACGATTCGAATGAAGAAAGTCTCCGATCAATTCATCTAATCGATCAATCTAATCAACATTCAAAAGATCGATTACGAGAAATTCGATCAATCTTTTTTTTTTGTATAAGTTTACGTCTACAGAAAAAGGAAAACTGCATAAGGTAAAGAATATTTTTTACACCAAAGAAAAAAATGAAAAAGCTAACATAATCATAGGTATATAAATTAAACAATAAATTTAATTGTTCTAAAAAAGAAAGTAAATTACAAGGAATGGCAACTTTCAAATGATATACTTGTATTATATACAATATAATTATTATAGATTTTACTTCGATAATCCTTGGAAAAGATCGATACTAAAAATCAATATTCGGTCAAATCGAATCAAGATCGCAAACCCTAACACCACTCCTTTGTCTGTTTTCATTATTGCCTATTCAAGATGTAAAAAATGATTAATGAAACAAAGTACAATACAGTAGTACAAGAGAGGAAAATCTGGAAATAAAACCCTAAACCAAGCCGCGTGGCAAGCGTGGTAATAGTACTTATAGTTTACGTCCCCTTTGGAGAGAGACCCGTGCCCAACAGTGGGACGTTATGGTTGTTAATGGGAAATACCAAACCGTACCGTAATTGTTATTAAACCATTGTACCTAATAATGAGAATATTAAATTTTATTTATTAATTAATTATAAAAAAATATTACATTATCACAATTTTGACACATGTTTACTATACCTAATGACATTTTAAGTCCATATTTTAATTAGACTATAAATAGTTAGGTACTTAAATAATTTAGCAAAGTAGGTACCTACATAATTACAATTTTTAATATAAAATGCCACTGTCTATATTTTAATAGCTCTTTTCCCGTAGGTGTCGTAAGAGACGACTAAGTGAGGGCGAGAGATAGGCAACAGTGTCCCTCTTAAAATATCTTCAAAGCCTAACTGCGGTTGCCAATTTGCCTACCAAGCATGGCAGCTACTGACAAACCCCCCAAGGGGGAAGCTTATGTTTAGCAGTGGCTAATATGAAAGATGTTCACTATAGGTACATTATTTATTTAAAAATAGATAAGATACATATCTTGAACATTTTAATAGCTGTTACTGCATATCTACATCGATATTTCTATAACCCACCACATAGATGTATGCTTATGAGTTACATTTATCAAATTTCTGCAACCTCCAGAAGGTTGTTGATCTATCTAATGAGAGATCACCAAGCTCCATACTGCAATTATTAAATTTGGAATCATCCACAGAGTAGTACAGTAAAACATAGTTTTATTATATAAAAAAAAAATGCCAGATCCTTGTCAATATTCCTTTTTGTTCAATATAAAAAAAGGTAATCACATAGCTGGGAATTACGCTTACGGCCAGACCGATGGCAAACAGTGACTGTAGTATATGGATCTTACAAAGTGGAGTGTGTGTATTTTGCTAGCTCTAAAGATACATTATCGTCCTTTTTGAAGAGCACGATTGCTGTAATGCATTATGAAAACAACGACAGGAAGCTCATCTAATTTCATTTATATCTATTTAATTTTTACTAATATTTTGGTAAACAATCATAAACGATCTATACCAACACAAGTATCTACTTCACATTATTGTAAAGTACCAACTATATTTATAGGTATTCTTGCAATACCAATTTCTATTTTAATCACATACTGTAAACTTATCAATTAACCGTAATTTATAGGTATTTTTAATTTTTAACGCCCCACATTTCTAATTAATATTCAGTCTTTACTGTTTATTTAAATTTAACATCTAAAGAGACAATTATATGCTTACAATATTATTTTCGCTTATAAATTTTAGCTAGGAATTTTTAGAAAGGCTTCCTTTTCATAAGCATATAGTCTATTATTTGACAATATCTGTGAGTTACTGCTCTTGTAGTGTAATAGAGAATTCAACATTTCACTACGTACATGATAATTATAAATATTTTTGGTTAGAAAGTAACAGCCTAGTAGTAATAGTAGAGATAAGATCACATATGATAAAGGAGGTAGAACAACTACTATGAAATATATGGTCCATCTTATTTTTGGTGGCAGCCCTTCTTGATTCTGAAATATAAGCAAACAATTATGTTATTAATAAACATTTGTTTAAAGAAAGAAAGAAAGAAATATTTTTATTCAATTAAACTTAGATTTACGCATTTTTTAATTACTATTTTTTCATTATTTTTTTTTAAAAAATTTTATTTATTAATACTAATTAAAGACTGTGTCATACAAAAAAGGACTTTAATTAAGAAAAAACCAATTATTTTAATTTAAAAACTAAACAACTGAAACAATTTTGATAATATTATATGGGTCCAATTTGGGGGAAAGGGATTGTTAGTAATGGGGTCTAATAGCGCCATTACTAGCAATATACCCTCTCAAGTCGACCTCCACGCGGTTCCCCCTGGAAACCATTATGTTTAATTCTTGTCAATGCCACCCAATGATGGGCCAACTGATCTGCATTCATTCTCACCTATCATCTTTTACTGGTGCCTCGTCGGTATATACCGATAGCACGGGCGGGGTTATCATTCCATTTTCACCCATAAAAAAAATATGGGGCCAATTTGTAAGAATCTCCTGTCAGATAACGGAAGAATTTTCCAAATCGGTTTACAACCTTTGGAGTTATGAAGTAACAAACATAAACATATACAACCGAATTGAGAACCATCTTCTTTTTGAAGTCAGTTGAAAAATGATACTTATCATAATGAAATAAACTTACGTATTCCGCCCAAAACAACGGCAGCACGAGATTAGAAAACTTGGAGTAGGGAGAACTGAAACGGGAAATGTCATGGACCCACAGGTTGCTTTGCATTCGTGCCACCGATCGAAAAGGAATGCCAGTTAGCTGAAAACAGACAAACAAATAATAATTATAATTACATCGAATTTTTTAATCTACTTAAATAATCGTATAATTTCCTTTTTATGATATTATATATTTTTTTATACAACTTAGAATGACAAACAAGCTGACGGCCCACCTGATGGAAAGTGGTAACCGTCGCCTATAGACATGAGCAGTACCATGGACATAACAGAGTATACTGTTTCGCCCATGATATCCCCCATGCGTTGCCATCCCTGAGGACTCAGGTGATTATAAGTATGATTATATTTCTATTAGAATACATTTAAATGTAAATTATATGAAGAAGCAACGTTCGTCTCCAATTGGGGTAGACAGAATGTAGGCACAATGTTCAGCTCGATCCAATATAATCAAATGTCTAAAAATTTTGAGGTGGGCATAAGACAATTCTGAAGTGGGCACGCCCCTCCACCCCTTACAATTCAAACCACCTCCAGATAGCGTATTAAGATAAAACTATATAAGAAATAAATAAATTCACATTAGATGAAGAAATCTAAATAATTTTACCATAGTTTGTCATCTATAAAGGTTTTTTTAACCCTACCGCCTAAAGGTGGATACAAAAATAAAAGAAATATAGATATATAGATAATTTATACAAAAATAAATCCAATCAATCTACCCCATTCTAAGTTGTGCTATTCAGTCAATATTGATCAATTTCTTATGTCCGTTTTCGAGATCGATTTTTGTAAGATCAATATTGTGAACTTTCGTTTTTGTTCTTCCTGAAAGCATGATGGAAGCTATCCATTGCATAATCCTTTCCGATTTGAATCAAATGCCATATTTTTGACCAAGACAAGTAGCACTGCTCCAATTTAAACTAAGGGTCTACCATGAAATAAGATTCTGAATTTTCGGACAATTTTGTTTTTCTGTTCATACCAAAATCTATCCAGTAAATGGAGCTGTATCTATCCAGTAAATCGCATAAATTCTACCATAAAAGTCTAAAGGAACGATATTCTAAAATTTTTAATATTTTTAAACGTCATATATTATGTAATTTTAACATCAAATATCTATTTTCTTCGACCCCGAAATTTCGGATTTCATGGTAGACCCTCTAAATTCTTTTACGTTATCCACATTCATAAACGTACTTATTTATACAAGTTCGTCATTAAAGGTACTAAAATTTAATGTACTTACAGGTTCAACTATTATGTAAGAGTTGTGCTTATATCTATCCGGTTGGAGTCCTGTCACGTATTGATCTTTTGGTGGTCTGCCGGTGTAGAAGTGTGGATAAGATGCTACCATTGGAATGTCTAGAAAAAAATTCACTCTCACACGATTTTTAAGAAATAAAACAACAGCACAGTCCCACATTCGTTCGTAAGTATTATCCTTAATTTACTTGTATGGCCAGATAGGAAGTTTTAATCGTTGAAAACAAATATTAATATATTTTATTATTTTTTTAATAATAATATATTATTAATAATATTTAAGGAAGAATAAAAAATCTATCTAGAAAAAAAGAGAGCAGAAAATTTTTATGAAAATTCCAATAATTTTTTTTTTAAATTATCACAGAATCACTCCCTAAATTAAATTAGTGACAAATGTAAGCATTTAATAAATTAATCAAATTTTTATTTGTATTGAAAATCAGTAGTCAATTATTTGTTTATTTATATTTTTTATTATGTTCAATCAATCGTGGACTTCTCATTGTCCGCCTTATGTTGTGCGGGCGGGCGAGGTAGGGGCCTCGGGGTAAACTCCTCTACCCCGGCTTCAACTCCGGAGGCGACGACCTCCGGGTCGCTGGGTTCTTCAGCCGGCATACACTGATGGTCTGTGTATGCCCGCGTGGTGTCTTTTATGTTCAATATCAACGAACTATAGAACATTAGCTTTATGCACGCTACTTCGTAGATCAGTAGTACAAAAAATTTTAAGTAGTACTACTTCATACTACTAGATGGCGTATCAAGATCAAATACATGCCAGTTTTTAATTTAGAACTTCAGGAACGCAACTGTGATGAAGACTGTATCCAATTTGTTGCACTAGCTTTTGAGTGACACCAGAATAACAAAATGCAAGACACAAGATAGACACAGACAAACAGACTGACAAATTGATCTTCTATAGGTCTTATTAAGACTCCTTATATTATTTTTTCTCAAATATCCCCCATGTACAGACATTTTCAGTCCTATTACAATTTTATTATATTAGCACGTTTCCCATAAAAAAATGTCAATAATTTTTACCTCGCTATAATAATCTTGTTTTAAATTATTTATGAGAATTTATCACAACTTACTGAAATAGCATTTCGAAGCGTCGCTCAAACCAGCTGGCAATGAAGGTACCATGTCGTAACAGTCAGTTCCATTGGTGACCCTTTCAAATACTGACTCGGAGAGATTGTATCTGTATAATGGCACGTTGTCTAGTGTTAATTCACCTAAAACATTTATATATTGTGAGACATTTGAACAATTTATTAATTAAAATTGTTTAGTTTAGTTAATTGTTAATTAATTTTAAATTAATTTGTTTATTCATCAACTGGCTTCATGAATACTCATTGTTATTGTTTCTTTCACACACGCCCACTCTAATTTGCCTTACTTATTTTAAACTTATAATTTTCTTTTGTAATTAAAATCCGTTATTTGCTGTATTTTACCACAGGGAGACTTTGTACAAAATTCGTTTGCTTGGGCAGAGGTGGGAGGGACAGAGGTGTCCCATTCGTGTTTCTACCGTGAAGCAGTTATGTTTGCATTGCTGTGTTTCGGTTTAAAAAGTGGGATATGGCAGTGAATTTATAGAGTACAGAGGAATAACACCTGAGTCCTCAGGAATGGCAACGCATGGGGGGTATCAAGTGCGAAAGAGTATACTCTGTTATGTCCATGCTACTGCTCATGTCTATAGGCGACGTTTACCCTTTTTCATCAGGTGGGCTGTCATCTTGTTTGCCATTCTAAGTTGCATAAAAAAAAATATAAAAGACTTAGCATGTAAGTTATTTTGTAAGAGAGCTGTGGTTTTTTGTTTGAAGTAAAATAAAATGGATAAACTATTGAAAGCGTAAGGGATTCGAATATGCGCCTTCTATTCTATGCTGTCCCGGAGTTAGTGTTCTGACAAACTATTTTTGGAACTGATAAGATGTTTGGCCACCATAGAAAATGCGGGTTTAATCTCTCTCTCTCAAACGTTTAAATGTTTTTTTACTACGTGAAATGACATTGACATGACCATAACCATAAGAATAAGGATTGCTTATTCTTATGACAAAACTATGGCTGTAACAGAATGTTAGTGCCCCGCCCAGTGGCACCATTATGCATTTATTGACTCAACGCCACTCCTGTATACTGAATTGCAGTTATTAAAAAAATACCTACGCAGTCTTAACACAAAAAATATTTAAAACACTGTCTATCTGAACAGAGTTTAACGAAACTCTATTTAAGTGACCAAATATTGTTTAGTTAGTATTTGTTTGTAATTTTATGTATATTTAATTATTTCATTTATTTTTATTTTATTTATATTATTAATTTTATCTATATTATAAACAAATGTTATAAAATGTATTACTTCAAAAAACCTTTAATTATTATTTTTATTAAATAAAACAGATTTTATTGTATTTAGATATAAATAGATATTTTTTCATTTATTTGCGTAAACTAACAATGATAAAATAAAGAATAATACATAACTCTCTGATTGCTCAGCAGCCAGATATTAATATATTTAATGACAAAATAGATATATTTTTAAAATGTTGTTCAAAATTTTTAAGTTTGTAAAGTAAACCTATGGCTCACTACACGTTTTGGAAGACTGTAAGTGTGGTGAGTAATTTATAAATAAATAAATAAAATAAATAATATTAATAAAAGAAAACATTGAAGAAATTTGCCACCAACACCGATTGCCACAATTTCAAATTCATGTTAAATACGCTTTTGTAATAGAACATCCAAATATATATTAAACACCTGTCTATCGCAAGTTTAACTTTTTTGTGATAAAACGGCCAATAGTTGTATATCTACTTTGTAATAAACTTTAAAACAATCTTAGGTGGAATTTTTGTACAACTAGGTATGGCAAACAAGCTAACGGTCTGTTGGAGAGTGATAACTGTTGCCTGTAGATACATGAACAGCATCGTGGATATAAGAGACTGACATTCATGGTACCCCTAATATGTTACTATTTCTAAGAATTAGACAATTCTGGAGTGGCCTCATCCCTCCACCTAAACACGCCTATGCTAATAAAGAAAATAACAAAAAATTTCTTACCTGAGTTTCCTTTCCTTTTTTGCTTAAATTTCGCAATAAAATTGAAATAAAAATGATATTATTATTTTTAAAATATTATATATTTTTTTATTAATATTAATTAACCATACTCACGGTCGAAGTAAAGAGGCATCAGTTTGCAGACAGTTTTCCTCCAGTAAAGTACCACGTCTTTCTTTGTGAGACGCTGTTGGTACATAACTCCTTCAGAGGAACCAAAAATTCTATCCGGACATTCCTGGAAACAGGTATAAACCTAAACAGAGCCGGCCTTAGCTTGCCTGCCTAATTTTCAACCGACTTATAAAAGAAAGACGTTCTCGATTTGGTTGTATTTTTTATGTTCGTTACCTGAAAACCCCGTGTGACGGTTCGCCTATAGTACAATAGGTTTAATACCATAAGTACATAGAAAAGAAACAGGGGTTCCTATGGGTGACCGCTGCGAAAGCTGAGCTATTTAATATAAACAAACTTTAAAGTCAAGGTTCACAATAGTATACAGAGAAGACGTTACCATATATGAAATATTGACACAGAAGGGAAACTCCTTTGATATGTTTCCAAAGTGTAGTGGACGTCACAAGAAAATTAAATAAATTAAACAAAAATATATTATATTTTATATTAACCAAATTATAGTTTACCTTTTTCTCATCAGGTATAAAAAGGATGCATACAACACAGTTAATAAGGTTTATGAGAGCCTTTAAAGTTTTATAAATTCGATAATCAATTTAATAGAAAATACCAAAATACGTTAATATATAATTAAATTGAATTTAAAGAAAAGTTCAGTTCGAATAATAGGCTAAATCTGATTATTGAAATATCTACGCTTCGGTGACATAATCTATGACATTACTAGATGAATAGAAAAAAAAAAGAAAAAAAGGGAGAGCCGGCAGATCGGCGGGCGCGCGGGGGTCGCTTTTTAGGAATTGCGGAATAAAAAAAAAAGAAAAGAAAAAAATGGCGCGGGAGTCGTGTTTTAGGAACTGCGCAATAAAATAAAAAAGATAACTGGAATATAGAGCTAGGAGTGACTGGATCTATGAAGGGGTTTAAGATCTTAGTGTATCACTATCGATTAAGTGTGTGAAAAGAGTCAATGGAAGACTGGAGAATCCGGTGAGCTTGTTCCATTTATTACTACGTAGTTAGATTTTTGACTGTGATCACAGGCAAAGTTTATACTTAATATTTTTCCCAACAACTATTAAAATACGTATTTAATCGAGTCCATATACCTTTAGGTAATGCATATCGTTTGTATATCGTTAAATGCAATCACATTTGAACAAAGATCTACATCAATATAATTTACGTAATAATAATACATACTTACGTTATTCTACTCATATACAAAATTCAATTATATGGCTGTTTGATAGAAATTCATCGATTTGACTCAATATTCTAATTGTCCAGTTTTGGCAAATACTTATTGAATCAACTATTAAACTATTATAATACTAACTAAATTCATATCTAGTTACTATAAATTATTTATTTATTGAGAATAAATAGACTGAGGTGGCTGTGGTCTGGTCTCATTGCTGGGGAAACAACCATTGATGAGACAGAGGGGTTATTGAGTGGCGACTATGTATATGCAAGTGTGGTGAGGGCTGCCTCCATTGGTTGGAGTGACTGTTTTATGGGTATTATGGGGACTCGGTGGGTGCAGGAGTTTGGGGCCGTTCCTAGTGGCGGTCTATGGGGAATTGCCTGTGTTCAGTCGTGGATTGGTGATGGTTGGGATGATGATGATGATGGAATAGTTGTATTTATTACACTATTACAGTGTTGGTTTGGAATATCTGCTCATGCTTAACGTCTCATGGTAAAGTGTTTTCATACCATTGCTCGGTCAACTGTACTAATGATTCTTTTGTATACTTTTAATTACCCATGATTACATGTGGGAATTTGTTTTACACCAGATGTACAGAGAAACAGCTTAGCTGTTGCAGGTGATTTTATGTGAATGTATTACTTTTAATACATTATTGTGTTAGTAGATAAATTAATGTAACGGTGGGATGTTTATGGTAAACAAGCCTGTATTGTTTAAGTAGATATTTTGTCTTGATTTATTATAAACTTTAATATTGATTTTATTGTAGTAAACAAGCTGATAATAACAATTCTGTGTGTATTACTGGTTTCTAATAATATTTAATTATGCTGATATTATAGGTGTGGATTTAATTCCTAGTGGTAATAAAATTATCAAAGGATTCTCTGACTATAATTACTATTAACTAGGTAACTGTACCTCATGTATAGTATAAAATTAGTACTAAATGACAAGTATGAGTTATGTATTTTACTTATATTTAGGAAGAAAGTTGTCATGGCGATAAAGTTGTATGTGTGTTGTTTGTTCATGCTATATTGACTAGACAAGTTCAGACAGGGTTAATATTAGTGAATATTTGCTGGATTTATATTTAATATACATGTTTTGAATATTTTATGGGAATAGTATGGAGATATACAAGTAGTAAAATATAATATTAGTATTTTATAAATTTAATTATTGAGTTCTATGTTTATGTCGGACTGTATCCAAAGAGATATGATCCTATTAATATCAAGTTAGGACAATTACCTTAAATATTAATAAAGCAAACACTAACACTGATTATTCACTTCTTTAATAAATTTACATTAGAGGTTAGGAATCAAATAGATAGCATATTGGGAAAATCTTCACCACACATGTATTTGAGGAATGTTCTTGATATAGTACTGTATGTATATATTATTGCGGGTACAATTGCAGTAAGAGTGTTAAACTTCTAATCTTCTGTTCATTCTTGAGTTTGAAAGTAAGCTTGGCTACTGATATGAATATAAAACTGCAGCATTACTGGATACTATTGGTTATTTCTGGTGTAAACCATGATTATTTATGTCACTGATAATTTAGTTGTATATTACGGTTGATATATGATGATTTTATATTTAATTATATTAAACAAATACAAATAAACAAACTTGCTGGTATTTGTTACGTTGACAGTTGTGATAGATAATCAAAATTCAATTCAATACATCAATACGTCATTCAATACGTCATTAATGTGACAGATGTCAAACAAAAGGAGATTATACACGTTATGATTCTATATCTAAGTCTATAGAAAATTTATATAATTTTCTGTTATTTTATAATAACTGTAGGGGAAATATTGGAATTATTTATATGAGAAATTTCACTTAAATGATATGATAATTATTTAAAGACCTAATTTCTTAGGGATTTAATCATGATGATTTAAACACTAAAACACTTGTTTACCTGAGAAATCCTCTTAGTAAATAGGTTTACTAAGACACTAAAAGGAAGTAGATATAGTGTAACTATAGTACAGCTACAATAATTGTATGGGACTTACTGTCCTTTCTATACAAATATATATTTAATCTATATCTTTCACATTATAATTATGCAATATATTGCCTCTACTACTACAACATACACAAATAGGACTTATTGTCCTTCCTATATACCTATATATAATAATTGACCTGGCACTTTAATGTGTAATTTATCAGTACTTATGACAATAACCAATTAGGACTTATAGTCCTCTCTATAAAGCTAGATAATTATTTAATCTGATTATTTCACAATGTGATTAATCAAACCTCTACAAATATTACAAAAGATCTCTATTACTCTCAACACAATAATAGCTTGTTGGACTTAGTGTCCTCAAACTTATAGAAAACCCAACTGGTTATTTCACGAGACGTTGTTAACTTGTGATTAATCAGTGTCTTTTAAAGGACTTATAGTTCCTTTAGATATATCTCTCTCTATAAATAATTGGTTAATTCACAATGTGGTTAATCAACAATAATATTATATATAATTGACTGGACTTATAGTTCATTCAATAGCACTCATTACTTTTAGTAGCTCTCGACCTATGGGTTGGACTACTCGTTCTTAGGCTCCGGCCTAATCAACAGACTTAACTTGAACCTTGAGTATTCTTGGTATTAAGTAAATAATATTAAATTGACAATGCTATGTTATGATATAGCAATTATCAACATTATATGGCTTGGCCAATTCCAGGGTGTGGAAGGTATCCCCTATCACACAAATCTTCATCTCTATCGGACTGTCTTCACAGGTGATCTCTAATGTCACATTATAGGGCCGAAGGGTTATGTCCCAACAAAGTAAGTTCTGGTGTCTGGGTGATCTCGCTTCTTGGTCTGATCTCTTGTGGAGCCGAAGGGAAACCCCCATTGAGTAAGCTCGTAACAGGGTGACGCTGGGAAACAGTTTCGTACTGTTAGTGGGTGATCTCTATGTCGCCATATAGGATTGAAAGGGTCATCGCCCATGAGTAAGCTCTCGTGTCGGAGTGATCCTGGGATTTCAGTTCCGATCCGTTTGCCTCTGGCAAACACTAATTTATACTGGAAGCATCGTGGGGCTGGTGGAGCCACTGTAATGTTGAAGTAAATGTACTTATGTTTGGTTTGGAACTGAGAATACTCATTCCCTTATTACCATCAGAGTGCATTAATAAATAGTAATACCCTTCCCTACCTGCTAGGAGGAAGAGTTATAGATAGTTGGAAAGTCTTCCACTGGTCCGGGCGTGTGAGGGGCCCGACCGCTCCCCCATTTTTTTTATTATTACAGTTATTCTGTAATTTACTATTAAATTAACATAACTTCCTTGTTACATGAATTATGAGTATAATTCATTAATTATTCGTAATCCTTAAATATTTATCAATCATCTTCATTATTTAACTCCTATCATATACCAATTAAAGAACCTTTTGGTTATTACAAACACAACGGGTCCTACATTACTAGACGATCACACATTTATTTATCTGGCCAATGATCAAGTGTTCTACTAAAGATCTGTTCAATATTATGTGTTTATTGTAAGGTTTTTTAAGATTCATAAGATGTTTAGGGTGTATAAGGTAATATAGGTATGGCCTATATTGAGGGTGTTAGGCCTTTCTTTAGGGTAGATTTTCATTATATTTTCATAGATTTCATTAGGTAAAGCCTTCGTAGGCTTTTCATAGGCTTTGTAGGTTTTCTATGTGTAGGTTAGTTTAGAGGGTAGTTATTATAAGGGGTGCAAAGGGGGGGACCATCACACCCGACAGTTATAAATTAATTTGAAAGCTTATTTTTATCTGAAAGGACATATTTACAGATTAGTTCCTTAGAATTTTTTTATTATAAATTAAAATAATTAGTTTTGCCACAATGCAGCCGATTTTTTTTTTGCAAAATTCAATCTTAATTATTCGATGTCGAAAACGTACATATCTACAATATATTCCTATATGTATTTATCAATTGTCCCTTCAAAGCGATGTTGAAAGGAAAAAAGATGTTCATACAATTGTTTATAAGCAGTAAAAAATATAATTATTATGATCCCGTAGCGAAAAAGAAAAAGGGGTATCGAGCAGGCCGACAAGTTGATTTTAAGTACCGTTCTCTAAATTTATCTCTAAATTTAGAGAATTTAAAGGTAAGTTACACTGTAATTTTTTTTTTGATACTTTAGAAATGTTATTAGAGTATAGTATGGACTTGTAAGAATTTAATGTAAAACATTTTTGACGCAATTCAACTGAAAATTTAGTTTATACTGATCTTTAAATAATTATTTCGCTATATCAAATTGAATTTTTAATTTTAAAGATAGAAAACGATGTTTCGTAATCGTCCCAAGGTTAGGTACGTTACGTACCTAACCTTGGGACGTTGTTAGGTATGTCTTTTGCTATCTGAGAGTTCCTTCCCCAATCCTGAGATGGGCACCAGACAATTCTTAGTTATGCACGAAAAAACCGGCGTCTCCTTATATAGATAGATAGATAAGTACTCTATATTGTTTCCTCCAAAAGATTACAATAGTAAACTTATTATAAATATAAACAATTACAAGAAATAATCACAATGAGAAACCAATGGGCGACCTTATCGCTAAAAGCGATCTCTTCCAGGTAACCTTTGGATGGAGAGGAGTAATTATAAACAGTTAAATACACTTATGGCTGTTTTTTATTCAAAAAACCAACATAGAATTTTATTGTTTAGTAAATACACATTATATTTTATTACGGTTTAATAATTACTATTTTAATCAAGAAAGTTCGACTGGTTTAGTTAGCAGTTAGGTTCGCGTTCGTGTTACAGTTGCTCATCACTAAGGGTCCCCGATAACACCGTAATTAGTCAAGCTTTCTCGACTAAAATACACGTAAGTTAAATCTGTAGTTAACATCGAATTTGATACGTTTCTTTACAAATGCGCCTTCAAAGGCTCTTGGCGTCCTATATAAACCTTGACGCGCTGGCTCCAGCTCTAATCGAAATATCCGAGTTCTTGTAGATGGATCAACTTACCGCTTACTCAGTGTTAAAAGTGCGTGAACTTACATTAGGATCATAACCAGGTAACTGTGGTTGTCCTCGAAATCTATCTATTTGGAAGAACTCCTCGTCGCCCCACTGTTGACCAATCTTCACTGTGACCTCGTCGGTGAAATCAGCGTAAATCTATAGAATTAATGATAAAGTTCATCTTATCTTAGTAATATAATTGTAACTAGAAAGTTAAAAAAATAAAGGATATATTAAAATATCTAATAATAGGAGGAGTCTTAATAAGACCAACAGATGCCAAAACAATAAATATACAATTTTATAAAAAAATTGTCTGTCCATCTGTCTGTATGTTTGTTTTGGCATCACCCAAAAACTACTGTATCAAAATGGATGCGGTTTTCACAAATGTATTCCTAAAGGTCTAAGTACAAAGTCTCTCTCTGGTGTACTAGTATCCTCAGTACACAAACAAAGCATAGCTTGTGCTTAGTTTGAAACTAGATGGCGTATTATACGAAATAACGTGTCATTCTAAGAATATAACATTATAATTGTTAAAAAGACCTACATTAATTTTAATTAGAGAGAAGTAAGCAAACAAGGGCAAACACAATGTAGAACGACCTCAACTAGATGGAGTGACAACCTCAAATGCACTGCAGAGAGTCAGTGGATGCAGGTGGCTGAGGATCGTTCTTTATGGCAGTTTATGGAGGAGTGGAGTTTATGTTCAGCAGTGGACAGACAATGGCTGAGATGATGATGAAGCAAACACTTACTCTAGCCAGCATTCCCATATTATTAACAGGCACTAAACCTGGGGCAATATTTTTAGACGTATCCAATATCGGCTCTCTGTAGTCCCACAAATATTCATAAATAGTCTTCTTCAAAAAGAATTTGCTGCCATGCGTGGTGACCATCAAACGGAATGCAGTTAGTACGAAATAATTCGCGTCGTGCAAATACGAAGACATTGCCTGTAATTAAAAAAAAAAAAAGCTATTATTTAACATTATCACTAGAATTATATGCAATTAAACGGCATTATAAATTAAAAAAATAACAAGTTGCAGACTTGCTGTTATTATGGATCCTATAACAGTATATTTTCATTATTATAATTTAAATAAACAATGAACAATAAATGGCTAAAATTGATGTAATTAGGTCATTTAAATAAATTTTTCAAGAAATAAAAATAATATATTGTTATTATTATAATTTATATAAACAATGAACATAAAATAATGGCTGAAATTATTATAATGAGATCGTTTTAATACATTTTTCAAACGATAAAAATACGATATTTTCGATAAATGTGATAAGTTATGAGCAATATAGAATTGCAAATAGAGATTTTATGAAAACAATGGACACTAATTTATTTGAGTTTTATTGTATAGTAGCCTTTGCTCTCGAATCTTTACATGTGAATTTTGAAAGTAGGGAAAATATTATTATGAAAATAAATTATGATAAAAAAAATTTACTAACAATACGTTAATTAGTATTAAAATATATCAAGTTCGTAGGAAAGTTTAAAAATTAGTTGGCAACATTTTCACTTTCAGTTTTTAATTTGACTTTGGCGCGAACTACTGACTCACTTCTTTTTTAATTGCTAGGTGAATATAAGTACAATATAAAATATAATATTTTTTCCCACAGACAATTTACATAATATTTAGGACAATCTAATACAATCGACCTCAATGTCGCTGGACCAAGACCAAACACTTTTGTACTTCACATAATTTTCATCGTTTGCATAATGAACACTAATCGTCACTACACTCAAGATAGGGTTGCCATTGATCTATTAGATCAGAAGAGTAATTCTCCTAAAGGAGATCTAGATCTTATAAATTTGTATTTTTTCATGACTGCCCTAAAAACAAAAACCCGAAACTTTATCAGTTGCAAAAATAATGATCAAAATCGGTTTTGATTTAAATACTTAATCACGTTACATAGCTATAAAAATACAAATGAATTGAGACCCTCCTCAAAATTATGCGTTTCTCATATATTGTTGTAGAGTGGATCATATAACACTTATGCTGTATGATGATGATGTATACGTCTTACCCCAGGGGTAACTATACGGCTGGTAATCACCCTCAAAGGGAGGGAGAAGAGATTGTTAGTAATGGGGATAAAGAGCTCCATTGCTAACAATATACCCTACCGGATAGTACTACTCTCTCTCGAAACCATCGTGGTTTTAATGTCCGGTGAATTCGTCACCATGGGTCAATGACCTGACTTCACCTTACCTATCACCGTTAAATGGTGCCTCTTTTTTTAATGGGTGAAAATAGAATGTTAAGCCCGCCTGGTTTATCAGTATACGCTGGTGAGGCATCAATGAAAGATGATAAACGAGGATAAAAGCAGGTCAATTGACCCGTCGTGACGAACTCATCAAGATTAACCAAAAGTGGTGGAGGGGAGGGGAAGGGATTATTAGTAATGCAGACTACCAGGCCTATTGGTAGCAATACATTCTGTCAGGTCGACCTCAACATGCCCCCCCCCCCCCCAAAACATTATGCTGAATTCCAGGTGTATTCATCACGATGGGCTGACTGACTTGCCTTTTCATTCTCACCTATTTATTATCGCTCACTGCGTATACCTTTAGCGCAGGCGGAGCTATCATTCCATTATCATCCATTAAAAAAACCCTTTAGTGATGGCTCGCTAGAGTATACTAACAACGCAGGCAGTTTCCTTCCAATTTTCATCTCATAAAAAAAATTACACTCAAAGTCCAGGGATAACTAGTTTATTGTTTTCTACTCTTTATTTTTTTTTTATAACACATCGTGATATAGTATAATATTATACAAGCAAATGGCAACCCTATTGTTAGGCTGTTACTTACGTACTAAGTATTTTATAGCAATTACTTAAATTATCAATCCTTGACACGGTCTTTTAAAGAATTATGTGGCCCTATGTTATTATCTTAACATGTATCTAATTGTGGGCGTGTTCCGGTTATTTTGAAAAGACATTAAAAAGAAGTTTGTTGGTGTTTATTATAAAATAGCTTTGAATACTCAACTCCGTCCGGTTTAGATAAGTACTGTGATTAAAGTTCAATATGTGTGTGTGTGGTTCCGGCATAGAATGGGCCACCTCTTCCTTTCCCGTGGGTATCGTAAGAGTCGATTAAGGAAGGTCAAGGGATGGGCAGCAGAGTCCTTCTTAAAACATCTCTAAAGCCTAACTGCGGTTGCTAGTCCGCCTGCCAAGCGTGGCAACCACTGGCAACCCCCCTCCCCCAGGGGGTGGCTTATTGTCAGCAGTGGACAGTTAAGGGCTGATATGATGATGATGATGTATGTTTTATCTTGGCTTTGTGCTCCCGGCATAGAATAGGCCACCCCTTCTTTTTCCGTAAGTGTCGTAAGAGATGACTTAAGGAATTTAATCAAGCTATTCGCTTATAAGATATTACGAAACTAATAAAAAAAAAATACTCACCAATAAAGCTAAATTTGGCACTAATAAGGTCGCATTGAGGTCTATAGTGTTCTCTTTGGGCAGGAAGACGGGATACCTCTGACCCGTAAACGTCATTGTACTATTTTCGTTAAACACTATATTTCTATGCACCAGTTTCTCTCTGAAAAAAAAAAAAAACAAAACAATACCTAATTAATTTTAACGACTCCTAAAATAAGGAGAAGATTTCCTCTCCTTTTTGTAATGGACATACTTATAAATACGAGATTTAAAAAAATATTTCATCAACAGTAAGCTATCAGCGAGTAATGAAGGCTATACATTATTTTCTATCTTCTATTTACCCGTGCGAATCCGAGTCGGTTCGCTAGTCATAAAAAATATAATCTAATTGAGAATCTTCTCTTTGTAATAATTGCGAATAGATACAAAAATATGATTATTATATGGATGAAAGAAAAATTACGAAAGAGATTTATCAAGCAAGAATGAATGGAGATGTCGGTAGGGACCACCCTAGACGGACGTATGTCGACAAAATAGGCGACGTGCTGAAGAAGGGCCAAATTAAAATTACCCGTAACCGGTGAGCGTGTATGAAAATATTGATGAATGTGAAGGAAACGAAAGAGGTTTGTTTGAATCAAATCATTTGGCGTTCCATTGTTTCTGCCTACCCTAATGGGAGACAGGCGTGACAGATATGTATATATGTATGTATGTATGTATGTACAAAAATATTAGTATCCTATCATATCTATCGAAAATCATATTTCAACAACTATTAAATGATAAAGTTCAAGTTCAATGCAGTTTCAAGTCTCGCACGCTTCGAAATTTTTCTATCACCTGGGGAATTCGTCACGATGACCTGATTTCATCCTCACCTGTCATCTATAACTGATACCCCGTCTACATCTATCGATAGCGTAGGCGGGGTTACCATTCCACTTCCATCTAATTTAAAAAAAAAAAAAACATTACTGTATAACTATACAATTGGATATGAAAGATAAAGAATGAAAGTAGGTAGATTAAATGCGGTCAAGATGCGATTATTGCGCGGATTATGCTGAGTAACGTTGACATGCCATTCGTTATAGAATAAAGCGAGAGCCAGTTGGTTCGAAAGAAAGTATCAGTCCAAAAATGAGACTGGCATATAAGATACAATAAAAATATTTTTTATACAAGTTTATATATTATTATATTTATATTAATTTTTAAATAATCGTTTTTTTTTATGAATCTTATACCGAGTGCAATTTCAGCTGAGAATAACGGATACAAAATTCATTTGTTGCTTTTTCGAACAAATGTTGAATTTATAATATAAAAATGTGTTTGAATACAATGACTATCAGAAACTTGACATTAATGAAAATTACAATTAATCGCAGTATACTACTTATAGTACATAAGTACAAACAATACAGATATGTAATGTAAAAATGGAAGGTGCCTACTATGTATAGGCACCAACCGGGAGAGCTCTAAATTAATCTGTAATGATTAGACCCTACTCTATCTGAAGGCAATCATTTATCCAATCATCTGGACGAGTGGCGGTTTTCCACCGTGCACTTTCTTCCACGCTTAACCATTCTTTGGAATCAACTTCCAGCAGCAGTATTTCCGAACCGATACGACAACATAACCTTCAAGAAAAGAGTATATTCCTTTTTAAAAGGCCGGCAGCACACCTGCAATGCCGCTGGTATTGTGGGTGATCATGGGCGGCGGTAGTCACTTACCATCAGGTGAGCCGCATGCTCGTTTGCCTCTGTGTTGTAAAAAAAAAGGCGAGGTCAAGAATCTCCGGAATGGACATCCATGCAAAAAAGTCATTAAGTCAGTAAAAAATCGAACCATTAAATCGATTAATTAACTTTTGATTTTTACTACTAAGATAATAATATAAAATAAGAATAAGGATATCAGCAGACTCTCTTATGGTCGTGTCAGTTATTATTTTTTGTCATTTTAATCAAATTTCTTTAAAGTAAACAGAGTACATATCTGCCATAATGTATAGACTCTGACAGTATGCCTTGAACAGACTGACAAACTTTCAACAGGCTTGCAAAAAAATCAAACCGTACCCGGATAAGGCTAATCCGGTTTATGGTACTCATAAAACATTACGGTCATAGTATTCATTTTTTTCTATAGCACACCTAAAATGACAGTAACAATTTTGAAGAAAAAAGATACTTAATAGTAACAATATAATGAGTATAAAAACATAATGAACCGAAAAAAAAACTATTGAGTGTCCACACCTGTACATACGAGTGTCTACTTATTTCATCAACTAGTTAGTGCTTGTGAATTCGTTCACGTGGTAATCGGAATTTCAATCGTACACTTTACTGTTGTATGTAGCAAAGCAGACCAATCTCTACAAGCAATGGTTCTTGCCTATAGGAACTAGTTTACTGCAACTGATTTATTTTTTAATTTGATCTAATTTAATTTTCACGAAATTACTGTTTTATAGATTATAATAAATTTAATTTATTAAATCTATTAGAAATTTAGTTCATATTGATTTTTAAAATTGAGATTTTGCTGTATTATTAAATTTAAATTTAAATTCTAGAGGTTTTTGAGAAATTACACCTCAGTATAGGCCTCATTATCTTAATTTTTATAATCTGGTATTGATTTGTATTCATGCAAATTCTTAATTTATAACATTCAATCATTTGAAAATAGCAACAGCTGAGTTTTTTTTTTTCTATTCTTCTTAACTGAAATGTGCGCTCGTTTGGAATAAATGGGCGATAGAATTACTCGTATATAAAAAAAAAACTATTAAAAATACTTTAAGCGTTCATGAATAGGTTTTTTATTGCTCTACAAAAATAACGACTTCAGTCGTGACTTGTAGAGACGAATTGAGAACCTCATTTTTTTTGGAAATGCCATCTAAGAATGTCTTTGTTAATGTAATCCTTAAAAAAAAGCCTTATTTAATTTAATTTATCTATCAATTAGATGGTCCTAAACATAACTATTCAATTAACAAATAAAAAAAAACTTCATTCGTGAACGAGAACACACTCGACGATGAACTTGAACGACAAGATGTTTCGTAAATATTGTGAGTATTTAACTTTTAAACAAAAAAATCGTGTTTTTGCAAAAAAAAAAAATTGTTACTTCAATCGACACAAGGACCAACACGAGAAGTCTAAACCCTGTTGATTTCAAAAATTATTGTGAAATTCGGAATTGATGTTGTTATTGTGTAACAAATCCTACTTCTCTTAAAAATTCCTTTTAGATGGCGCTTTACTGATATTATTTGCATCTAGAAGATATACAGGCGTTGAGCTATATGTTTTATTTGCTTAAATTTTATTTTATTAAATTAATACTAGTGGGAGACTTTGTACAAAAGTCGTGTTTTTACTGTGAAGCAGTTGTGTTTGCGTGACTATGTTTCGGTTTGAAGTGTGGGATATGGCAGTAAATTTACAGGGTACAGAGGAATAACACCTGAGTCCTCAGGAATGGCAACGCAATGGGGAGTATCATGGGCGAAACGGTATACCTACTCTATAGGCGACGGTTACCACTTTCCATCAGGTGGGCCGTCAGCTAGTTTGCCATTGTAAGTTGTATAAAAAAAGATACTAGTCAAGTTTACTTAAAATTGAATGGGCAAAGTAAAATATAAGTACTTTAGTACTATTACTTAAACCGTGACATTAGCTGTAGATAATTATTTAAAAAAAAATTGGAAAGTATGTCAAAATGTTTAGTAAATGTTGTTATGTTAATCACACTAGTGTTAGACACACCACGTCCTAGATTAACACTTATCTAGAATACTTTTATCCTAATTCACGCGAATAAAGTCGCGAGTTAAAACTAGCAAATGATAATATGTATACCTCTGTCCCATTCGTGTTTCAACCGTGAAGCAGTAGTGTTTGCATGGCTGTGTTTCGGTTTGAAGGGTGGGATATGGCGTGAATTTACTGGGTACAGAGGAATAACACCTGAGTCCTCAGGAATGGCAACGCATGGGGGGTATCATGAGCGAAACAGTATACTCTGTTATGTCCATGGTACTGCTCATGTCTATAGGTGACGGTTACCACTTTCCATCAGGTGGGCCGTCAGCTTGTTTGCCATTCTATGTTGCATAAAAAAAAAAATGTAAAATTATTTAGGTATTATCGTTTGAATCGAAGCATTTGGCGTTCCATTGTTTCTGCCTACCCTAATGGGAGACAGGCGTGACAGATATGTACGTATGTATGTATTATTTAGGTATCACATGAAATAAAATGTGACTACGATACCACAATGTCATAGGATTTACTTCAGTCAAGCTTCATTGATCATCAGCGTCATTGCTTTATAATTCGTGCATTGTCAGGGTTTTGCCAAATGGAATAGTTAAAAAAAATCGTAATACAGCGTGTAGAGGTTCCGTAGTAATGTTTTAACTCGTTTTAACTTTGTTGAAACACTTTTGCAATATAGCGTTTATAATCACACTGTACTCATTAAATATTATTTAAGATTTTCTTTTACAACAAGTAGGTTTTGTTTAAAAGAAGCGGCTTTAATCGTCATAAAGTAAATGAATTTATTAAGACATATTTTATATTCAAAATATTTAAATTTTGGAAACCGAATTAATAGTTAAATTTTTCTTTTAAAACACGTTTTTTTTTTTGCTTGCAAAGAAAAATTGTACCTAGTTACAACTATCCACATAATTAATACAAGCTTCTCAAAGGTTGACTATAAGAGATCCCTTTATGAGACAGGCAAGTCCGCCATTCTGTATTAAATCTTTTAATGTGTCCAATATGTACAATAAAGATTTCACAATACAATACAACAAATAAATTAATCCTATCGGTTGCAAAAATATTTTTTTATTTATTTTTTTACTATTGAAGGGCACTACGATTGATCACGATCTCATCTGATGGAAAGTGATAATATGATATAAGATAGGGCTCGCGGGGCCACAAATAGCCTATTCACATTTGAAGTTGTGAATAAGCTATAAAATATTTGAAGAGTAACCATAAATACAAGTATAGGCATGTTTAAGCGTCGTCTAAGAGAGCATTACTTATCACTATGCTGACGTATTATGTATATGTGTATATATGTGTATATGTATGTTTGTGTAAGTATATGTGTATGTTTACAGGGTATTTTATGTAATTTATAATGTGTAGTTTGTATTGTTCTTTGTGTATACATAACTTATGTTTTTATACAATATATGCAGATCGTACGATTGCCTATTTTTATTTTTAAAATAACACAATTAACATGGAAAGGTTTTGCTGGAAGAAATCTCTTATTAGAGATAAGCTCGCCTTTGTACATTATGTTCATAATGAATTGTAATTAACAATATGTTTTGTGTACAATAAAGAATAAAGAAATACAGATGAATTTGTTCTCCTTTTGGTCATATGTACTTATTATATACCAGCTATTAACTGTCCACTGAACATAGGTTTTTCCAGTATTTGCTACGCAGCGAGTGGGTTGGCAACCGCAGTTTGGTCCTGCTAATAATTTAATACAGACGTTTCTGCCTGTTCCTTGACCATTTTCTTGCCTTAGTCGCCTCTTATAATACCCACGGAAAAGGAAGATGTGGCTCACTCTATCCCAAACCACATGGCGAATGTACCTATTACATAGAAAAAAATATTTACCGCTCAGTTTTTATACAGACATTGCATCGTTTACTATATATTTACAATGATAGTTATGATTTATTAATTTAATAACAAAAATTGGTGGAATTAGAGCTTGGATGTTTGAAACATTGCGTCACGGAACCCTAAAAAGTCAAAAGGGTACAGTTGACCTTAAAAGAGCACGATTTGCATTTAATCTCTACGAGTAACGCAAATTATTCACGATGTGCTTAATACTGTTGTTTTGCTATATGAATTAACGGAGTCTAAAATAATTAATTATATTTCATTAATAACAGCCAGGGGCCCCTGAGATATGCCCAAGGTGTATGATCTATAAATGATCCACAGTATGCTATGATTTTTCCGTATGTCTTGTGGTCCCGGCATAGAATAGGCCACCCCTTCCTTTTCCGTGAATGTCGTAAGAATCCACTAAGGGAGAACGAGGGATGGGCAGTAGCGTCTCTCTTAAAACATCTCTAAAGCCTAACTGCGGTTGTCAACCCACCTTCCAAGCGTGGCAACTACTGGCAAAACCCCCCAAGGAGAAAGCTTATGTTCAGCAGTGGACAGTTAAAGTCTGATATGATGATGACGATGATGACGATACTGTGATTTAAGATCATATTAATAAAGTACATTAGATATATAGCTATATGGATAGTCACCAGAGGGAGACTTTGTACAAAAGTCGTTTGCTTGGCTACCTCTGTCCCATTCGTGTTTCAACCGTGAAGCAGTTGTGTTTGCATGGCTGTGTTTAGGTTTGAAGGGTGGGATATGGCGTGAATTTACAAGGTACAGAGGAATAACGTCTGAGTCTTCAGGAATGGCAACACATGGGGGATATCATGGGCGGAACAATATACTCTGTTATGTCCGTGGTACTGCTCATGTTGATAAGCAACGGTTACCACTTTCCATAAGGTAGGCCGTCATCTTGTTTGCCATTCTAAGTTGTATAAAAAAAAAGCAAAAACAGGTCAAAATTTCAGCCAGAACAGCGTTTAACTGACTAATTTTTTTATTAGTTTTATAGGCTGTTCTTGTCCTATTCTTTGCTACTCTAAATATCATACAAAAAGTAAGAGAAGCATGGCAACTATAACATTTTTTTTTTTATTAAAGGTAAAGTTACTATAATATAATACTTACAAATAAACTATGGGTCCAATTTCTTCAATATTAATTTTCTCGTCTAGACCTGACATGAATCGATCGTGGTTGGTTACATTGAAAACGTAGACTCGGAGTTTCACTTCGTCCGGGGGATCCGCCCACCATTCGTATGGCGGGAAACCTGCAACAATATTTTTTTTAATTATATATAAATAGATTCATTAAAAGTCATTTTTGACGACTTTAATAAGGATGTTCACAATTTGTCTAATTTTTTTTTACGTTACAAAAACACGTTGCCAATTATAAAAGTATTTTTACTTTTGTTTTTGCAACCGATACGGTTTACACCCGTGATCCCATATTAGTTTTGTTATAATTGAAATCGCTATTGTTTTTTCGAAACAAAATAATTACTTCGTTACATTATCCGGGTGACTGGAATATATTTATTGAATACGAAAGTAAAATATGTTTTGCAAATGTATGAAAATATTATTAATATATTACGTCACACTTGTTCCTATTGACAATATCATAAAATTATAATATGTACATAGACGTATGATTAGCCTTTACAAGCGACTTCATCTACGTAAACTGAATAAAAAGTGACCTATATATTTTTCTATACTAAATGCTAATATATACCAAATTTTATAATGAATAGTCAAAAGGTTATAAAACCAAGAAGTAACGATTAACCAATAAGTACTGATTGTATTAGTATGGACCATTTGTATTTTGTGATTTTGCCTATATAAAAAAATATTTTGTGTTAAGTTAGGATTTAACCTATTCGTGTACTAAATTAATATTAAAATCTGTTTAAGCATGAAACAATAACAAACATCCGTCCATGCATTCTCAGAAACTTTTGCGTAAATAATAATAGGATATTCAAATTTTGTATTGCTTTTATAGATACTTGCCTGGTCTCATATTTAGTTTTTCTTTCAGTACGAAGTCCAACGGCTGAAATATGAAACCACCGATAGACATGAAGAGCAGTAACACGCCCCATACACACTGCGCCACGGTGTCTGTAACAAAATAATCTATTAATAAAATGTTTAAAATAAACCTTATTTATTTTATTTATTTAATTCTTTATTGTACACACCAGTTATATGAATATGACATAGGTAATCAAATGTACAAAGGCGAGCTTAACTCTAATAGAGTTTTCTTCCAGCAAACCCAAAGTGGAAAGGAACATCAATGTCAGCGAGAAGAGCGGTGTACAATATTGTGACAATTTTTAAGCAAACCTTACCTACTCCTCTTGCAACAAAAATTTAAAAGTAAACAAGCATTTAAAGCCATATATTATATAATGTATTTTTTGTGATATGTTTGCAAATTGTGAAGTATTTTTTGTAAATAAATTGAATTTAAAGTAATTTTTGTCCAAATAGCGTATAAATATAGTTGTATATTATAGTTTACAAGCACTTTTAAATCATCTTTTATAATTCCACTGCTGTCTTTGAAATGTTGTTATCTGTTAAAAAGCACCCGCAAGAAACTTAAGAGTTACTCTCTTAAATCTCTGTTAATAATATTTATATTTATTTAAAGATGATATGTCTAAAATAATATTTCGATAGACCATTTCTTTTTCTGTAATTTTTGTATACCTATTACATTTCATTACGAAAAGTAACGTAAAAGTAACATTTTGATTCATATAACGAGGGGAGTAACGCAACTGAATCAAAAATGACGTAAACGCTTTGTTTTTATGTAAAAGTGTAACAAACGTCTTTCTATCCATTTATGTTTTCAAACTTTTGCATTTATAATACTACTAAGAAATAATGGAATCTACTAACATTGTTGGATAATAAATATATTTATTTTTACAACTTAATTATTGAAAAGATCAAAAGCTGTTATTTTGACCTGTAAATACTTAGGTCAAATATTATAATGCCTCTTTTTTATAATTAAACGCTAGGTATATTATTAAAATCATTAATCAGTGTTATTAAAGGCTGTAAATATTATTGTGGTTACATAAAATATACAATCATACAGAAGACATAAAAATAATGGATATAACATTGTATTTATTTTGTATTGATGTACTATGTACTCATGTTTTACTGTAATTGACAAATACATTGTTCCTATCTCTCCATGAAAAATATTTGTAATGCTAATTAATAAACACCAAAGTCCAAAACACAGTTGCAGAACTGCACGCATTGACTATCAAAGATTAACCCTGTTAAAAACTAAAATAATAAATAAACCTATTTTGTCTCTTGAACTGTTTTGTAACTTTCTTTCAAATTGGGAATGTAGCATTAAAGAAAGAGATAAATTCAATAGCTAAAATAGATTCATGCGAAGTTTGTCATTTTATGAATAAGAACGTTGTTTTTTATATATGTTTCCGTGCTTCCGACCTGCTATACATCCTATGTAAGTTACAATCGCTTCCCTCGATGTAAAATATGTACTCACGTACTGTACAAAATAATACTTAAGTATATGGGGGGAAAGGGATTATTAGTAATGGAGACTGAGAATCCCATTGCTAGCAATATACCCAACTAGGTCGACCTTCTCGCGGTTCTCCCTGGAAACTATCATGGTTAATTCCTGATGAATTCATCATGATGGGCTAACTGGCCTGTTTTCATTCTCATCTATCACCGTTCACTGGTGCTCCACCAGCGTATCCCGTTAGCGCAGGCGGGGTTACCATACCATTTTCACCCATAAAAAAATTAATAAGTACTTAAGTATAGGTATAATTTTATATTATTTGCTTTACAACCGACCAACACAGTACAGGGACAAAATCTTGTAAATAGATTTATCCTCACCGTCAACTTTTTTAGTATTCCGCACTGGATAATAAAAACGGAATACTTCAGCACAGTTTGGTTTATTCCAAGGGCTTATTGGAATAGGTGCAGTTTACGAAGTTAATGATAAATCTGGTTGTTTACATACGTATACTAAATATAAGATTAATTTCGAACCCTGTAAATTATACCTACGGCTACAAATGGCTAACAAGTTGACAGCCACTTTATAAAAATTGATAATCGTCGACTATTAAGCCATTCGACGGTGTCATTCGTGTTTAAAATAAAATATTAAACAAGAAGTCAATGGATCAGGCGACTGGGACTGTACTTTGTGAAGGTCTACTATGAAAATGATAAAAATTAGTCCATCGGTAAGAATCGACACTTTGTCGCTCCCCTATCACGGGCTAGGAGTGCCATCTGCTCTCGCTCCTGCACACGCGTCCGGTGAAGCTGTAAAGGCCATCAGCGGCCAAAAACACGTACGTAGAAAAATAAAATAATGGTCCATCCATTATTATTATTTTTTGTTTAGATAGAGATAAGTAATGATGATGAGAATTGTTAAAAAGCTTTTGCTCGTATCTTAATATACTTGGATTTTGAACATAGATCATATCACATTAGAACATAGAACATCTCCAGAGGTGTGAAAGGGATTCTTAGTAATGAGGTCAAATAGCCCCATTGCTAGTGATATACCCTGTTAGGTTGAGATCAATCTGACAGGGTATAGCAAATGGTTTACAAGGCGAATCGTGCTTTCATTCTCGCCTCTCACTGATGCTCCTGAATGGGATGTTGAAGCATTTACCGATAGCGCAGAGTTACCTTTCCATTTTCACCCATTAAAACTACCTCCAGGTGATTTATCAAGATAAAACTATATTATATATAATTAAAACATATACCTGATTTTAAGTTCGACTTTGAGAAATACAATTGTGAAAACCTCATCCATTTTGGTGCAGACGATTTTGTGTGAAACCGAAATAAACACATAATACTCGTAGAAATAGACAGATAAAAATTCAAAAAATTATTGTTTCGATTTCTACTGTGCGCATCAATCTATCATTTTTTTATTAAAGTTTAAACATCTAGTTACAGTGTTATTATATTCGTAATAAGTAAAATATATAACATTTTAATGACCTAAGTTGACCTTAAGAAAAAAAAATAACAGAGAACTCAACTATAATTTCAATGGATAATCACTTAATTAACATCCATTTTCAAACCTTGGATAAGTAAATAAATAAAGAAGGTAACAACTTAAATCTTTATTCATAAATGCACCATTGGAAACCAATAAGTAGAAACCATCAACTATGGTTCCTGTACACTTATAATGGAGTGATGCTAATGCCTTCTATTAAAATAATGTAACCTCAAAGTGTAGTTTTATTAAATTAAAATAAATTCATCATTTTCTACGATCTAAAATAAGATTCGGTTGAAAATCTGCGCCAGAAAGTAAGAATATTAGAGATACAAAAGAAACAAAACAAAAAATTACAGAGAACTGTAACTCTTCAACATCTCATTATCACATATTTTTATTATGTAGAAGAAAGAGGATGTTAAATATTCCGGTGTAAGCGAATGGAACGCACCTTGAGCTTAGTGTCTGAACATAAATCTAAAGTTTCAATCTCAAGTTTATAAAATATATATATATATATATATATATATATATATATATATATATATATATAAAAATAAAATGTATATATTATTTAAAATAGCAATTATTAAATTTTATAATTGTTATTTTTTTATACATAACACAGGGGGCTAACTAGCATGCAGCTCAACTGATAGTAAGTGAGTAAACAAACTGATCAACAGTCATTCATTAATAGTTGACATAACTGATAATATATAATAACAATACCTACTTCTGTATACAGGTCGGTAGGTATATATAGGTATCTATCTTAGTAATGCGGACTACCAACCTCATTACTAACAGTGTACCCTGTCACGTAGTACTCCACATGGTCCCCCCTGGAAACCATCGTGCTGAATTCCAGGTGTATTCATCACGATGGGCTAACTGACCTGCCTTTTCATTCTTATCTACCATCCCTTCACTGGTGCCCCGCCAGCGAATACCGTTAGCGCGGTTACTATTCCATTATCATCTATTAACAAAAAAACGAAAAAGTTTCAAAATATGCTTGTTATTTATTTATTTAATTTCATATACTTTTTTCAATAAAAGAACATTCGACTTCAATCGTGTGACTTCAATTGACTCAAATCGTAAACAGTAATATTATTATATTCTTTCTAAATCAGTTTATAAATTAGGAGACATGAGCTAACAAATAAAAAAGAAGTTACACCCGAATTAGAACCTCTTACATCTTTAGGAGTTGCTCGAAAACCGGTCAAATGCGAATTTAACTCATACACCAAGGTTTCCGTATATAATAATATGTAAATAAGTTTTTGTTTCCTTTAATTAAAATATATATATATAGATACTAGCTGACTCGGCAAACGTTGTTTTACCATATACATTATTTCAATAATTATACATGAAAATTTCTCGTACTACAATTATTATATTCGATCGCCATCTTGCTACCCTATTGCGGAATATAAAAATCGCGATTTAAAAACAGGAGTTGATTGTAAAAGCGTGAAAATTGGAAGTTGTGTGTATTTTTCAATGCTAAATCACACTATATTTAAAATAAAAAAAATTGTCGAAAAAATAAAAATTAAAATTATTTAGGGGTGGGTCATCCTTATCATTGAGGGGTGTGAAAAATAGATGTTAGCCGATTCTCAGACCTACCCGATATGCACACAAAATTTCATAAGAATCGGTAAAGCCGTTTCGGGGGAGTTTGTTAACAAACACCGCGACACGAGAATTTTATATATTAGATGAGTTATATTAACCACAAATGTAATGTATTGTGTTATGTAAATAAATCACCATAGCAGCCTTTAACTCCACTGCTGAACATAAGCGTGCCCCTTGGAGCGTTTTGCCAGTAGTTACCACGCTTGGCAGGCGGATTGGTAGTTAGGCTTTAAAGATGTTTAGAGAGAAACGCTACTGCCCATTTCTCGTTCTCCTTTAGTCGCCTCATACGACACCCACGGGAAAGGAAGGGGATAGACATAGATAGGGTGAGACCACACGGCAATGTAAATAAATAGTTAATGTTTATTATACAATTCGAATGCCGTGTGCTTCC